ATCTTGCAATTGAGCATGCTGACTGTTCAGAAACCACACCCCCTGCATGTTATCCCCTCCAATTTTCGTGTTCAGAGCGCTCTAGGGCCCAACGCAATTCCCAACATTACCGACCCTGTTGACAGCTTTCTTAGGGAATTGCTACACGGGCATGACACTTTGGCTACACGGGCATGACTCTTACACGGGCATGACTTTTACCACTTCTGATTGGTCGCATACTTTCTTGGCCCCACAGATACTTCCTCGGAAAGGCGGTGTAGCCAACTTCACTAACAAGCTCCTACATCACCATGAATTGCAGTCACTTATCGTTGTGGGCGCGATTGGTCTTCTGCTATCTTGCAAGCCTGCATTTCGGATTAAACTACCGTCCTTGTACTGTTAGCCAGTAACTGTCAAATACTGGCAAAAGACGTGATGTGGTCTACTTAATTTATTGCCTCACAACGATACAATCTGGATCTTCGTCATCACTCTTAGCCAGTTCCCATTGACTCCTTGTCCTGCGAATGTTTCGTTGCGTCCTCCGTCCACTGTACCGCACGCCTGTCGTATTCCCAGCATTTAGGACTTTAGAAGGTCTACCTGGCCCTTGCTGGGCTGAGATGCCAATTTGGCCACCAGTTTGTGTGATGGTTTCTCGAGTAGCTTTATGCACTCTCCTAGCAAGAGTTGGCTTATTGAGACTTCCTGGCGGTCGACCTCGTCGCCCACTTGGTTGATTATCAGATCGGCTACTTGATGTAATAGCTAGGCTTTCTGGGATAACCTGCGCTGTATTCTTTGGCCTTCCACGTAGTGCAGTGGCAACTTTCGGGTCAAGAATTCGTCGGTATGGATCTTGAGATGCCGATTCCCGTAGTCGCCAGCGTGGGTGGACCTCCCATTTAGTGAAACGTGTGTCAGAATCTAGCTTTGCGTAGACTTTATGATAGCATGGGATTCCCAGCTCAATAGAGACCGTACAGTCGTCGTCGCAAAGTCCAATAGAGTCGGGGAAGGGATTCTTCCCCGTCGGCAGAAATTTGCGAGCAATACAGTATTGCTTGTTGATTAACCCAAGTCCTTTCGATGACATGGTTGTTCGTAGTTCACCAAGATAGTTTCCCATCGAACCTAGGTATTGTGGAGCAGTCAGGACATCATCCTGTCCACAGGCATCCTTAAAGGCACGTTCTTGGTCATGTATCATATCCTGCATTGCCTCGACGAGTCGGTAGAGGTGGCTCATGCCATTTAATAGATAGCTTTTGATATTATTGTTGCTTGCTTCTGTGCCGGACGTAACTCGGATTCCGAAGTTACGATAACGACGGATAAAGCAACGTGCCCATTGAGCACTAACAGGCATATAAGTCGAGTAGAGGTATTGTAAGATCGCTCGTTGGTCGTCGAACTCTTTACAAAGATCTCTCCATGCCTGCTCAAACGCTTCCTCAGTCTCGGCATAGAGAACCTTTTTCCACATTAAAACAACGCCTTGGTAAGTATGAGGAATCTTATCACTACTCGACCGATCTTCGATCAGATGCTTATCTGTAGTGCTCAACCCGCCATCCGCCTGTGAGGGAATGTCTTCACTGTCACTAGCGCTAGGGCTAGTAGTACTGTCCTCACGTTGGCCCGTCCACCTAGTCTTCGATTTAAGCAAAACGTTTGAAAGGATATGATGAATACAAAGCTGTTGCTGTGCATTTGGAAACTGATCATTAACGGCAGCTTTCATAGCCTTGTCGAAGTCTGTGATGATGACATCTGGTTCCCTGAGTGAGTGTTTTGTAATGAGCTTGCGAACACTCTCTGCAAGGAATTGGAACCCCTCCCTCCTCTCGTTATCTATTAAGCCAAATGCAGCATTGAACACAGTTCCAAGACAGGTTTGGCCAGTAGCCTGGAATAAAGGAAGCTTGAAGCGATTAGTGTTATATGTGTTATCAAAGCTAATAACCTCGGGGAAGCGCTTCCACATCTGTAGACAGTACGGAAAGGTCCAGACAAGACCAAGCAGTCTATCTGGATCATCATCGGCCCATTTCGCGATGTATGGGATCTTCTTCTCATCAAAGAGTTTGATCAATGCCGCAGTAGGTGTATAGCCATTTAGCTTCTCTCGGTTAATGAACGAACGGGCATTATAGATATCCTTCCGCAGGAGTGTTGTATCGGGGAATTGCTCCTCAACCATAGCAGCTACATCACTGGCTCGAATACCCGCGCGACGGCTTGCTGACTCGATGGTTGCTTTAACTGGTGTAGTAAGGCGGCGGTGGGAAACATGCGCAGATGGCGTAATACTCCGTTCATGGTTATGCTGGTGATGTTTCGGGTCTCTATGTTGTCGAAGAAGCCACTTGCCTTCCTCTAGGGCTTCAGCAATTATCATCCATTTGCAATCACACTTCCGAGACCTTCGGGTTCGAAGACCAGAACCCCCCGAGGCCCGAGATTGTCCAAACCGGTCGCATTGAATGGAGTACCTAATCAACCGTCCCTTATAGGAATATTTATTCCGCCGAATAATACCAAATCCGTTCTCCTTTGCAAATGCGTTGGTTGTTTTAAAAAGAACTTCGGCCGAGGGCGCTGGGTCGCCAGGGATTATTGGGTTCGGAATTGGCTCCGGGGCGGGAGATAGAGACTGTCGCATAGGCGAGGAACTAATATTTTCGGGCGTCGGTGATATTCGAGGAGGTTGTGTGGGTGACCTACGAGGTGGAGAGTACGGTGGAGGAGAGTCATATGCTTCGAAACTTAATGGTGACCATCCCCATCTCTCTCGCCAAGCTTGTACACGTTCGTATGATCGAGCAAGGTCTACAGTTAGCCTTCGACCTTCGCCGGTAACCTCTCGTACTATGCGCATTGCGGACTCGAACTCGGCTCTTGTCCTTGTTGGGAGATGCTGGGCGGATGGGGGTGATTCGGGAGGTTCAGAGGCGAATGGATCAAATTCTGGGCCTGGTATAAGCGCTCTGACTCGCTGGCTCCATCTTTTTCCACGGAAGAAGTCATTTTGAAGATATATCTCATAGTCAGATCGAAGGCCCCATGCAGGCTCATGGCGGCCCTGTGAACCATGGGGGTGTGGGAGACTTGAAAGTGTTTGCGGGAAAGAGGCGAACAGGTTATCGAGTGCATTTTCGTCCCCGAGGCCGTAGAACTGACCGATACTCGTAGCAGAGCTACTCGCGGATTGTGGTCGGTCTTCAACTGTGGAAGGACTAGATCTGCGTCGCCGACTGGATTTGTGTCGCTTTCCTCTTTGTGATTGATCACTGGGACTAGGGCTCCGCGACCTGCGAGGAGGTGTGCGAGGCAAAGACATTGACGTCTTGAGAAGAGAACAAGATTGTAGTGAAAGAATTGGTCGCTATCTCTACAGCATAGGGTGCCGTATTATGGTTTATTAAAAGCTACGAAAATGAAGAAAGCAAGCTCGAGGGGGTCGCCCCGACTGCGCGACCACTGGGTTGCTGCGTAGTAGCTTAGCCGAAATGAAGTAATTTACACAGAAGCAAGGTTAAAATGGCCCAGGTACTTGCGGCTGAGGTGGCAGAATCCAGCGTCGTTAACAGAGACAATGCGACCAATCAGAAGTGGTAAAAGTCATGCCCGTGTAAGAGTCATGCCCGTGTAGCCAAAGTGTCATGCCCGTGTAGCAATTCCCCTTTCTTAATAGATCACGGTTGGTTATAATCCAGCAGGGGTTAGCTAACGTGTAGCGCTTTACGCCCTATAGTTTGTCTTGTATATGAGCCGGTTCCGCCGCGTCGGTATTATTTCTTGACAGGGCTGCTTACCACCCTGTCGCTGTCATATATTCCTGGTACCCCAGGTTAGAGTCCACCCCCCCGGCCAGCACCTGTGCACTGCTGTTCAGCATATTCGCTTCTCTTTGAATCTGGACGCAGCCGCTTTGTTTTCTTCAAACATTGCGCGGTGGCGTGCCACTACTGCGCCGAAATGGACACACCTCACGAACTCCCGCTCAGGCATCGCCACCTGATCGCCGACAAAGCCACCATTAGCATCTATCATTCTCACGCATAGTCTGCCTCGAAGAACAAGACCAAACTGGCCATAACCATAGCCCCTGCGGCGGGTCCGCCTCGACCATGACCCGACCTTCACACGTGCGTCCGTTTATTGCCTGGGAGGCTGGTCTACTCAGAAGGGCACGTCAAGGAACAAGCCGTTTAGTCTGGTACATCTTGAGTCGTTTTCCTCTCGAGCAGAAGCAGGAGGCTTGCTCAGCCGACCCCCAAGTGACTTTCGGGCAAAAGTCAACCACGGGAGAGATCAGTTCTGCGTTGACTTTGCCAATCGCCAGAACAGGGATGCCAGCGGCCATGGCTTGGCCACCTAGTCCCCATTGTCTGGGCACCTTGAAGTGGGATAACTTTAGGCTTTCTGCATGCGGCTATAACAGCCGAGACGACTCCAAAGCCGCCGCTTCACCACCTGCCAAGGCGTTTCCACAGCCTTGTCGGCACCCCCGTGGCCCCTATCCCTGGACTTTCCAAGGCTTGCTTCGCCTTGACCTCGTGCACGATTACCTCCAGGGCCAAGACCGCACGATGCATGAGCTCTTCATGCTGCCAAGCCGTCTTAAAATAGCTTGGTACCTAGGGGAGATTTGAAAGGCGAGACTGCACGTGATGGGCAAGTCAGGGGAGTTATATCCCATGTACTACCGGTGGGCTGAAAATTGGGACGACTCGAGCCTAGGGCAAGAAAGAATACTACCGGGCATTGGGAAGCGCGTGCCTACCTAGTTAATCATTCTTTGATTTTTTTCTCTTACGAAATGTAAAGAAACTAGCCATGCGCACTCCTCATTAGGAGGCGGCCTCGAGCTACAAAAGTAAAGTCTCTAACCACCGTGAACAACATGGACAGCAACGAGAGTCACATCCATACGTGCACTCTATTCGTCCCGTGAAACATACCCTCGAAGCAAGGAGCCGAGTGAACAAAAGATTGTTCCACCGCCTGCCATGAAGACACTCTGGGTGTCCCCGTCCGTATGGATAGCGGCTCTAGTTGTCTCAGCATCCGGCCACACCCTGCCCTCAGCAGACGCTGCTTCGTACAACGACAAACGCAGCACAGAGTCCCAGCAAGTGTCCGTCTTCCGCGGCGAGTACGGCAGAACGCCGCAACAGGTCGCAGATGTCGGAGGTCTAATGTCAAAAGGCTACGCGAGAAACTTCGACGTCCCGCTCACTCCGGCCGAGAGAGGCTGGGGAAGCAGCCTGACCGAGCACATAAGCGGACGCAACAAGGCCGTCTCGCTGTTTGTTTCCACGACCTACGACCCCGTGATTGCGATGAAGTTTGCCAGCGGCGGGGAGACGGCCGAGTTTTACATCTACGAGGCGGCGCTGGACGACAAGGCCATCGACGTGGAGAAGTCGATACGCAAGTTTGAGAGGTCGTACGCGGCCACGCAGAAGGAGGTAGCCTTCGTCAAGGGCATCCCGAACGAGCAAATCAGGGGCCATTATGTCATGAGACCGGGCGACTATGACCCCACGACGCATCTTGGCATCGACGAGTTTAAACATCGGTTTGCGGACCGCTGGGTTCCGAATCCGCAGTTCAATCAACGCTACCTGTCGACCAAGTCTGCCAGGACGCAAAGCCAGTTTGATAAGTTATATAAAGGACCTACCACGGCGCAGCAGGAGGCATTCGCCAAAAGCTACGCGGCGCAGCTGGGCAAAAAGGACGTACAAACGCCACAGTCGGCAGCGAAGGCGCTCGAGTCGTTTTTCAAAAAGGCTAGCCCGAGCGAAAAGCTGCTTGAGAGCTCCCGACCGAACAAGAGTCGCCTGCCGAAAATGAAGCCCGTCGACGGGTCCAAGGTCCGGACCAAACCGGGCAAGGGGCCGGCCGAGGTGGGGCCGAGGCCGGGTCCGCATGTGCCGGGGACTCCGGAGGTGCGGCCCAAGCCCAAGCCGGTAGATCTGGCACCGGCGAAGCCAAAAGATGTAGCGCTAGCCAAGAATGCAGAAATGGTGGCTGCCGCGGAGAGGCTGTCAGAAAAGGAGTTTGCAAGCGCGTCGCGCAGGTACGGGCTTAAAGCTATCGTCGAAGGACGGTGGAACACGGACCTGTCCGTGGTGAGGTCCAAAGCCTTGGGCCGTGGCAAGCTCTCGCTCAGCTCGCCTAAACTATTGCCCAAGGGTAGCAAGCTGAAGGCTGGTATGGGCGCGTTGGGGGCGGCAGGCATTGGTCTCTGGATCCACGGCATGGTGGAGGCCTTTACGACCGAGACGAGCGACTGGGATAAGGCGGCGGCTGTGACGGCCATTATCCCCTTTGTCGGCTGCGGCACGAATCTCATCGCACAGGCGGAGAAGGCCGACGCAAACACCGCCCTCGTTGCCGTTGACACGGGACTATGCGTTCTAGGCGATGCGCTGCTGCTCGGCGGCGTTACGGCCCCCCTCGGCGTCGTCGTCCATCTGTCCCGGTTCCTCGTCCAGTTTTTCGAGCCGCCGCCGGACCTACCAACCTATCAGGAAATCCACGCAATGCGGGATAAGCCGTGGCAAGCCTTCCTTGAAGAGCACCTGAACAAGCACCTCGTCTCCGAGGAGTGGCGCAAAAAGCTGGAGGCCGCCGTCGCCATCGAGTCCCTAGGCATCTGGTCCAAGGCCGCCGACCGGGTCGGCCTGCTTGAGGCCGCCAAGGCAACCGTCTTGCAGACTCCGGACCTGTCCGAGTCGCGGGGCGAAGCGCAAAAGGCCATCGAGCAGGTCCGGAACGGCGCCAAGGCCGAGATCCTGCGGCGTCAGCGCCGGTACCTGCTCAGCCTGCCTCAGACGCTGCACGAGGGCTTCGCCAAGTGGTTGGCGGCGACGGCAGACACGTATAACGCGGACTTTGTGAGAAAGATCAAGTCCGACGACATGGTCGAGCGGTATCCCAGCTACAGCAAGGTAGTCGCCTGGATGTTCTCGAGGCAGAGAGTATACGCGGCCTCCCACGAACGGATGGCAACTGCCGCCTGGCTACTCGAGGGCGATCCGCCGCCAATGCCCAGCCTCTTCACCTTGGCCTACTTCGTCGGCGTCTCAGCCGGCGTCGACGACCCGCCGCCGCCAAGGATCAATCCGAAGGGCGGACCGGGCTTCGCCAAATTCACCCCGGCGGAGCCCGGGGACTGGAAGTGCGCTGTCGACCCGGACGTCATCGACCCGATGCTGTACTTGGAGGAGAAGACAGGCCGAAAGCGACACCTGGTGCTCGTCCGGCACACTGTCGCCGTCGTGCGCCTTCTACTTGGCCATATCAAGGAGTTTCAGCTACCCGCGGAGGGGGAAGGCCTGTCTAATGTCCAGGAGTTTCAAATGCTGATAGCTATGTACATCGGCAATACCTTTGCCGACTGGAAGGAGATACATAGACACAAGGTCGGCTATATCCACAAGGATTTTGAAAAGGACATGATTGGGCTTATGCAGCGTCTCTATAATATTCCTCGAGCCGAGGCCGGGCAGCTTGTTCGGACCGCAGGTGAACACGCCTAAATAACGTATAACTCTACAATATCGTCAGCCCTCTATTTTTGTTTAGAGTTTTACACTAAAAATACTTCTTTTTTAAAAAATTAATAATAAAAGGAAATAAATACTAAAAAATTGTTATGGTCTGAGCTATGCTCGACCCTAGCAATGCGATGCAAGGCGCTGCAAGGGATGCGCTGCACGCTAGGATGTGTAATAGGACATAGCCCGTGCTAGGACCTAACTATATAGTGCCAGATTGAGCAAGCTGTGGGCAGCTTGTTTATTACGTACCCTTTTGGCTTAATAGCTAAGGGGTCCAGCATCGCTGTGATGACTGCGGCTGGCACCCGCTATAGCTCAATAGGGCCAGTCTATTATGAAAATATTATAAAATAAAAAATATTATTAAAATTACTTATATTTATATATTTTAAATTAAAATATTTTTATATATTTTACTATATAAAAAGTATAAATACTATTTTTAAATACTTTTAAGTATTTTATTTAATTAATTATTTAAATTTATATTTTCTTAGTATTTACTAGTAAATATAATAAACTCAAGCTGTAGGCTTAAGTAGACATAAGGCACTATATAAGTGCCTTATTAGATACTTGTTAAATACTTATTAGATGCACATTAGACTTATATATATATAATAGCTAGAAAAGGAGAGACAGAGAGCTTCTTTCTTTCTTCTCTGTCATAGTCTGAGCTATGCTCGATAGCGATGCGATGCGATGCAATGGGCAATAAGACAGGGGACATAGCCCGTGACCTATATAGTGCCAGATTGAGCAAGCTTAGGGCAGCTTGTTTATTACGTACCCTTTTGGCCTAATAGTTAAGGGGTCCGGCATCGCCGGGATGACTGCGGCTGGCACCCGCTATAGCCCAATAGAGCTAGTCTATTACATTCTCTTTCCTTAAGTTTATAGTTAATACAAGTACTGCTTATATGCAGTTGCCTATAAGGCTAGTTCTAACAGTAAAAAAGGTTTTCTAATTAAAAAAAATAAATAAAAATACTTATAAGCTATAAAAAATATCTTATAATTTAATTTTAATTAATTTAACTAATTTAACTTATAAATATTATAAAAGTTAATTATTTTATATTATATTTATAATTATATTATTTTTTAAAAATATAGTATTTTAGTATAAAACTCTAACAAAAATAGAGAGCTAACAATATTATAGAGTTATACGTTAAATACATTTGTATCCTGTGCTCCTAACAGCTAATTAATTATTACTTAAATAGCTCATTAATAGCCTCGTCAAAGGCCCCTATGACGGCGTTGTAAAGTTGATCCGGTTCACCTGCAGGGGTTCCGATATTCAGTCTCGCCGTTTCCCCAAACATGATAGACCTGATTTTGAAGCAAAGGGGCTTGACAGCATGAAATGAATTTGGGAATTCGTCTAGAATTCGTTCAAGTTCATTTACAGTCATATGACCTTGTTTAGCGTCTGCAATATCCTTAAAACGGCCAGCCTCCCACTTCCTTAACATGCTCTCTCTAGGGGCCTTGTTTGTGCCACCAAAGCTATTGATCCAAGAGTATCGTGCACACATCCACAGCAGAACATAAAAGAACGACTCAAGATCGTGACGGTAAGTGTGATCAACGTTCTGTAGTACTTCAATAGCTATAAACTGCATTGTGCCGGTCTGGTGTCGCGCCCTACTAGGACCACTATCCCGAACTTTGGCAAGATCAAGGTCAATAAGCATACCCCTACAGCCATTAGCATTAGCTGCCTTTGTATCAGTAATGATAATGTTATTTGGTGAGATGTCACGGTGCAGGATGTTGCCAGTAGTGTAAAGAGATTGGTGTGCCTTGATAGCGTCCCGTAATGCCTCCAGCAGTTCCCTGACTGAAAGAAAGTCGCAAATAACGCGACCGGCAGGCGAGACAACGAGGCAGGAATAGATCCTGTTCTCAAATGCGTTCCCAAAAGTTGAGGGATACAAGCTCGGTTTGGCTTTTCCATTGGACCGGTCATCGGAACGACGAATCAGGTTTGACCTTTGGCGGTTCAAACGCGACCTTTTTGACCGTGATGCGTCGTCAGAAGATAATCTGCGCTTGTGGGCGAGTTTGTGTATGCTCTCTGAGCCAACAGCCTGAGAACTCTTGACCTCTGTCGCCATGTTGCGTGATGCCAAGTCATGGAACCTGTGTGGCTTCGGAAAAACTAATCCTTTCCGCATATCAGCAATGCTGGTGATTTGATGATATAGTTCAAGTCTCGCCACTCCTTTGACGCCTCTTTGGGCTACCAGCTTGAGATGTTCCACCTCTAATGTACGCTTATCTGATGCCCACGATAGCTTGGCAACGTTTCCATTCTGTGTTTGATAGCAAGTAGTTCCTCGACATACTATAGCTTTATGTCTGACCAGCAGGTTCTTCAGCTCAATCCTTAATTCTTTGCTGTTTATATCCCTTAAAGTAATATAGCGATGTCCTTTCTTCCGCTCGATGAATGTATCAAGACCTATCGCCTCGCTATCCATTGTAGAATATCCAACAAGAGCCCGAGCAAACTTCTCTGGTTCTGTATGGATATTAAATGTACCTGAGCTATATAGGCCAGAGCGGTCAAAAACCCACAACTCCATTGTAGAAGCACATAAGAAGAATCCGTGAACAAACCGGCGTGTTGGCTGATCAGCGAAGACACTTCGCACATATCTTGTAAGCTGGAGGAGGGTAGCCTTAAATTTACCGATCGATTTCTTTTGTTCCCCGACGATAAGAACATCCTTGTATGTGAACGTACTGTTATCTTTCCCAGTTGGCCGTCGAAAGAAGAGATCCATCTGGCCTTTACGTTCTTTGAATTGGTTGGCAGTCCTAGTGGTATAGAGCTTATTTTGCGCGCCAGTTAAGCAACTTGCTTCTAATGACTGCAACCAAGCCCAAACGTGTTTTTCGTCCGGACTAGTTGGGAAGTGCTTCCACTTCTTCCCATTATAAGCTGCCATAGTCTTTTCCAGCATTTGCTTTTTCTCCTCGCTCCAGCTCTTCGTGCAGAAGAACTTATCCCAAAATCCGTCAACATTGCGATAGACACAGTCCTTAATCTCAAAGAACAGTTCCCTTTCGATCATATCGCGGGTCTCGCTATCAGCAAGCCAGCTAGAGTTGCTTTTAACAGGTGTCCCATCAAGGGTTGAAATCACGTTGCGAGTAGGAGGAGAAATGAGGGCGCTAAGCGTTTCGATGAGACTGATAACAGCTTCCCAGATTTCAATGTCCGGCGTCTCGTCAATGACGCAGCGGACAAGGGGGAAGAATAACTCGCGGCTTAATCCTGGAACATGTTGCTTTATAGATAGCAGGGGTATTGCAACATTGGCCGTTCCGTCAGGGCCCGGAAGATTAAACGCTGCTGTAGAGCCAACTAAAGCGAGGAGGAGGTCTGCGATATCTTCGTGTCGTGTGTGCGGAGATTCTTCGAAATTATCGAGCTTGAGCTTGTCTCGAAATCGATCGAGCGTATCGTTAAGCGGGTGGTCCGAGATAACACTGATCTGATGCTTGGTGAGAGTCATGTTGTGGACGAAAAAAGGCAATCAATCGCAGCAGAACGGAGCGCCTTGGGAAAAAATGAAGAAGAGGAAGAAGATAGTGCAACGAGAATAGGCCAAGGGTGTACGGAGAAATTAGGTATCACGTGCTCAGCCTTGTGATGGGGGCCTATGTAATGTTGAAACTGTGTGTATTGCACGCAAAGTACAGAAAACTTAGGTACTATAACAAGAGGGGGGGGGGGTGTTTAATATTATGTAGAATAAAGTATACTAGGCAAAATAGCTTATTAATATAATATTACTTTAAGAGGTTAAAAAAGTATTAAAGTTTATTTAACTATAAAAAAGTATTAATATAGTAATATTATAAAATATAATAAATTATATAAATAAATATTATATTAAGTTATAAAAGCTTTAAGATTTATAGTTATAAAAAGTATTAATTTATAATATATATTATAAACTAACTACTATTATTAAATAAATATTTATTACTAATATTATAAAAGCTTTAATAGCTCTTTATAAAAGATATAGTATTTAGCTCTATAAATATATATTATTCTTTCTAAATATTCTAGGATATTTTACTATAAATACTAAATATTATTATAATAATTTTATTATAAGCTTTAATAATTAAAAATATATATTTAAAGACTTTTTAAATATAAACTTACTATAAAGCTAACTACTATTAAGCTATAATAGTACTATTAATAGTATAAAAATAGTATTATATTTTCTAGTTATTTACTATAGTAGAGTTTTCTTAGTATATATTATAATACTTATAGTATATAAAGTAAAGTACCTGTCATAGTCTGAGCTATGCTCGACCTTAAGGGAATGGATGCGCAATGCAATGCGCGATAGAGGACAAGCCCGTGCAGAACCTATATAGTGCTAGATTGAGCAAGCTGTAGACAGCTTGTTCAATACGTACTCTTTTGACTCAACGGTCAAGGGGTCCGGCAAACCACCGGGATGACTGCGGCTAGCACCCGCTATAGCCTAATAGGGCTGGTCTATTACAGTACCTTTCTATAAAGTTATATTAAATTATTATAATAGAATTTTTAAGTATTTTTAAATAATAGCAATAAACTTACTTATACTATTATATTTATATAAAGTAGTTACTTATTTAATACTAATATTTAGAAAACTATTTCTAAATTATAAAGTAATTTACTATTAAGAATTTAAAGAAAACTTTTTATCTATTTTATAATAGTAATATCTAGTATTAAAAATAGATAATACTAATTCTCTCTTTTTATTAGTTAGATACTATTTTATCTAGTAAAAACAGAGTAGCCTGGATAGAGGAATAGAGTTTAGTGTCGTTCCCGCAAGGTTCTGTTAGGCATCCTGGGGGGTTTCAAGCTGCGTCCCAGTTGTGGATTAAATGCCGACATATGTTGTACGAATTAGAGTTGAATTATCTGGCTGTTTTGTTGCGTGTCTTCGGGCTATGACGGATCGCAAGAAAACGTGTCCACGGTACAACGTCAGGATCCCTACTGTGCTCTGTTTATTGCGCCACAGTCCCACAGCTAATCGGTATCACGATCGCCACCGCGACCAATGCTTCGGGACGGTCCGCCCAGCCATGCCTGGTCAAGCGAGTCGAGGCGCCTCTGTGGACTCTTCCCTGGCGGCAACGCTACACACTAGCTGGAGAGGAGCTAACGTCAAGGCACATACATCACCCTGGGAATCTCGTCCGTAAAGACCTCGCCTTCCTTCGAAATGTCGAAAAGCGCAGTTTGCAGGTACGCCGCAACGTCAGAGAAGAAACGGTGATTCGACGGGGATGAACCAAACCTCTAGAGGACGCACCATCTGGCTTGAGCCCAATGATCGTGACAGAGTTTGCATGACTGACGGATACACTTCATCGACTCTGGTGATGCAGATGTGAGAGGCAATCTTGTTTTGCCGTCCCGTATCAAGGGCATCCAACTATAGGCCTAATTGTTGAGCGCGGTCGCGACACCAGTTACGGATATGTACATTTGAAGCCTTCAAGTCCCATGTTATTGTACGCCGGGAGTCTGGGACCCCTTTGCAGCGTGTCATGTGTATTGAAGCGGGCTGCTTTCCCGTCACTGTCAAGTAGAGTCTCTCGCCGGCCAGACTTGCTGGCCTCACTGGAGACTACATCAAGACGTGCCGAAAGGGCGGCTTCAAGAACGACAAGCTAGTACCGGTACGCTCCATCACTGCATTGTAGCATAGGCTATTCCGCCTCGGGCAACAAATCACCTCTTTCTGCCTACTCGCTGCGGTAGCTTCAGCAAATGCGCTCATTATTGGACAAAGGACTTTGCAGCGCCACGTGGTGTCCCCTTGAATCTGAATACGTTCACTTCAGGAGATAAGGCAGCCCAGGGTGCTCCGTGGCAGCCTGTCGCTGGCCTATGGGAAAACTCCCGTTTCCAAGGGCAGATTGGATTTTACCGGGACACGAGGCGGCTTGATAGAGATGCCCGTTACCATTGACAGTATGGCTTGATCGTGCCCCGCATTAATTACAAAAACTATTGACCGTGGCCATGGTTGCACATAAACCATTTGTACAATCTGAAGCTGGTGCAGTGCAGGCATCATGGGAGTCCGTTCGTTTCTGGTGGTTTCCCTGCCAATCTCCCGCTGCTTCGTGCGGCGACCTTATTTTCGCGGCACTTGTGCACTGCGCCCTTTGGCTGCGGAGCTGCACAACGGTTCTTCGTGGTGACACCTTTCCTCCGTTGACTCGTCGGTACAGGCTGGCGTTTCGACCGGGGCCTTGGCGTATTCTGGTCAGGCAAAAGCGGCGAGATGTCCACTGTGTGTCCGGCCGTTTTGCCTGTGGTTCTGCGTGATGGGCCCTGCGTACCATCGTCCCCCACAGCCTGTCCTGACGGGCTTCGAGTCCGCCGACTTTTCTTTGGTATACTCTCGCCATGCTGAGTCCGCTTCCGCTTTCGGTTCGCCGCGATGGTGGCCGGTGCAGATGTAGCTCCATCGTCTTGGTTCACATTGGTTACATCTAATTTGCGGTTGTCGGCTAGGCGGGATACTGCAGTATCACGGGTTTCGCGAGATGCCCATGGCAGCTCGAACTCATCTAGTCAAGGCAGGTCAGTGTCTCTTCCGGTGAGCCAGAAGCATGAGCATGCACAAACCTAGTGAAGGTTCCTTTCCAGCTGAGTTAGGGCCGAGAAATGATGCACAGAACATGATTATACTGTCAAAGCTGGCGTTTCGAGAGAGTGCTAGGTAATGTTTCATTTGTTCGTCGTTGAGCCGGGAAAAGCCTGAAAGCATGAAACCCGATATGTACCTCTGAAAACTCTTCAGTTCCTCAAGGCGTTCACTCTTCCGTTTCTCAAGTCTTGTAAGGAACTCTGCTTGGGTTCGAGCATCGTCAGCAAGTTCGGCTACATCACGATGGAACGATTCTGGATCCTGGATAAACATTGTAACAGTATTAAACCGTTCGTGTAGTTCGCCAAAAAGGTCTTCCCAATCATAGTCAACTCGCCAAGCTGGCCAAATGTACTCCGGTGAATCTTCAAAGTTGATGTGTGGGACTCTGCTCCAAGGCATGACTTAGCGTTCCGTTGGGTGTGATGTGGCGAGGATTGAGGAAGAGAAGTTGGTCGAGTTGGTCGTTGATGTCGTCCCGCCGCCTTGACAAATGGAGTGGGGGGGTCTTCCGGGCCGACCCAGCTCCGTGCCGTCCCCCCCACAGCCCTTGGTCAACTGGTGCCTGATGTCGGCTAATCGGCAGCCTTCCAGATGTCGCGTGAACTTTGCTGATGAAACACGGCGGTTTACAATGGCGGTTAACGGTGACGGTTAACGGTGGCGGTCGACGGCGGTGTGCAGGCAGTTTGGCCGTGAACGTGTATATATAGTCCTCGAGGGGGCCAAACGGTCGTGCCGCGGACATTGTCATACGATATATCTAGTATCTACCTCTAAAATCACAGATTCACGGTCCACCACTTGCTTACTGACAACATGGACTCGCCTACCAACCCCATGTCGGAAGGTTCAATAACCCGCGCGGTCGAGAGGCTCGGGGCTGAGATTGAGAAGAAAAATCTACTGGGCCACCAGATCCTCACGAATTCTTTGGAGGATCTGTCTCTTGCGGACGTGCCAAACGACGCCAGGGTCATATTCCCTCCCACGGCTGACGTCACAAAGCACGACTTCGGCTCTTCCACCGCGGTGCATATTACAGCGGAAGATGTAGTGGTAGTCCAGCAAACTTCGAAAGAAGCCTGGTTTACACTGAATTATGGACACCAAGCTTGTTGCTTCTTCTATGACCCAGGAAGTGACAATATCTTGTTGCAGAATATCGGACGGGGCCAAATCGATGTCGAATGCATTGATCCTGCAATAGGGGGTACTTGCGTCCGCTTAAAACGCGTCGAAGCAGCCCGTGTAGCCCCTGGACCTTGGAGAATTTGGTCAGTGTCGGCGACGCGGGAGATTCTGGTCGAGTTTCTCTTGTTGCGGCGGCGTTACAATCTCGAGAAGCTGCTTCCGGGACCGAGAGCTGGAGTGAAGAGAAGAGAGTCACCGGTTATTGAAAGCTCCAAAAGCAAACGTACAACCGGTGGCGGAAACGACAACGAAAGTATAATTTTGTTCAACAGCCCGGATCAAGTAAGTTGACCAGATTTCACTCCGAAACTGTGTTGATCTAATTTCCGCGATCAGGGAAAAATTCTTTCGGACGGAGCAAAGACCATAGACGTGGGAAATCCTCTGATTGAGCTTGAACCAGGAGCAGAAATCTCCATCAAGACAGTGGATCAAACAGGTTCAACTGTCGGGGATGCGGCAGAAAACTACTCCGTGATGAGTCTACGTGAGATCTCCAAGTTCAGAGGCATAAGATCGGTCTTTCGCGCGAACCATTCGGCATTCGGCGACATAGTGGTCAAGGTAATAACCGAAAGGTCTGGACCTATGTCGTCAATACCAAAGATAGCACGGATCTGGTCAAATGAAGTACGCAGCATGCGCGGCCACGACCATGTAAAGTCTAGCCCCTGAAATACTTGCCCACGTGGAGTTTGAGCACTGACTATGGTTTCCTAGCCTGCAATTATTAAGTTCCACGATTTAGATGCTAGATTATACTCTATATATATGGAATATTTGCCGTACGCTGACCTTGCAACATCACCATGGGCAAATAGACCTGGAGACTTTTGCTTCACTGGCACTCTTGACGATGCCAATTGTGTTTTTACTGGCATGGCGTCTGCAATTGAATATCTCCATAACAAAAGAATCATCCACAATGATGTCAAACCCGGAAATATCATCTATCATCCTGGGCGAGGACCCATCCTTATCGACTTTGGTCTTTGCACCAAGCTCGGCGATCCCCCTGTACGAGGCGGAACTGCATGGTATGTTCCACCTGAATTACTGGATTTTCAATCCAGGGGACCTGAGAGCGACGTTTTTGCGTTGGGAGTTGTAATGTTGTATCTGTTGAAGAAACTTCCGTTGCCCGAATCTACTGGTCGTCAATGGCCGATAGCATCTATTTCGATTGCTCCCGCGCAAATGCAAATGAGAAATTGGCTCGACAGAGTGGCTGCCCTCAGACGTCAACTTGAACCGACAGATCTAGAGGGCTTAGTCAAAAGCACTCTGGCTTCCCTCCCAGAAAAAAGGGCATCAGCCCAGGATTTAGTACGACGTCTGCAAGAGGCAGTAGGTCGTGTCAGTCTCACAAACAGTCTCCAGCCCCGTTGCTAATACGGTTGATACAGAAGCAATCTATGGAACCATAAAGCTAGCTGCTGCGTTGATGCATCTGGACAACGGTACATAGCGGCGTCTCAGTCCCTTGCTTCATTATTTCCTGGGTACTAATGTCATTCTCAATAGGCGCTTGTCCGATTTCGGTCAGCATCATCTATCGCCGCCAAGACTAGCTGCAGCAGCACGAAGAGTGCATAACCAAAGATCGCAGAGGGGATGGGAGCACAGATTGTCACGGACCTAGATGCCTCACTCATTTAGGTCAAGTTACGCCCACAAAGGTTATCGTGTATATATAAATGTCGTAGGTCAGGTCCTCAAATTGAACCTTCATGGTCTTTTGACGCTACATTCGATGTGATATGAGTTGAGTGACTACTACTACTGCAAAAAGCCCTCGTATTGGGCCCTTAACACATCCAATACTTCAAGGTACACAGCCAATACTTCAAGGTAGGATGTGATGACTTGGCTAACCCGCCATCAGGAAGCACCCTACCGCGGCGACTGTCGAACCTGGTCGTGCAGTACAAATCGACACGAGCTGCCGCATGGAACCATGACGAGATGGTTTCAATTTAGTCCGGCTTCCACTATAGCAGTCCAATCCGCGGAACAAAGTTCACAGACCGGCACGATGAAGATTACTCTTGGCGATTTCTTGGATACGCGACGTCATGATGAGTTGGTTGGTCGCCCCTCAAGCCGACTGCGCAGTCTCGTTGCCTTGAGATTCAAACCAGCATCTCGCAGCATAGCGAAAGGCAAAGAGTCTGGAGTAGTGTTCCTGCTTCTAAACGCCAGACGAGGTTAGTAGCTTGTCCGGATGTAGTCGAGATGCTTGTAAGCAAACACGTGTACTTGCCTGCGGCAACTTTTCCCGTCCTCGGCAACACTGAGGGCGGCTAGTCCTGTCGTTTTTCCCCTCGCGTGCGCACTTTGCGGCCTGCAAGTAGTGTCAGTAGGCTCTGCTCGAAACGTTTCACATGAGCTAATCAGGTAGACGTGCTTGTTTGCATCCCTAGTAAAAGGTCAGTTACTCTTTGGTGGAATAAAAGCAGAAGTGGTCGGTCGGGACTCACAGCTTGCTCCCAGTTGTGGAGGGCAGTCATCCTCTTCTCCATGGCAGCGTAGTTCATGGTGTCGAGCTCATGACAAGTGAACCACTTGTGCTGCGGCCTGTCACCCATTTTCAGCTCATATTCCGGCGCGCAAGCCCTCATGTAGCCGGTGTAGAAGTATCCAGCCTGGACACGGGTATGGGCATGTTAGCCGGCGGGCTCTGCTGCGTGGCCATGACACGTCCTTACGTCAAAGGGGATCCGGTCCCTGCTGTCACAGCACTTCTTCTTGTTTTTGCTGTCCTTGCAGATGGTCGCCTGGCTCGTGAGTTAGCACCGGACCCGTGTCATTGGAGAATCTGTACCAAGAGCCGGTGCGAGACTCACTTGGTGGCAACCCTAACGTGGGCCAAGTCAGCTTTGCTTCAACGAACAAGACGTGGATAAAACTTGCAACTTGCTCCCAGGCGCGCAAAGTGCATTTGGCGCGGTTGAGACCTGTACAGGAGAGATTCTTTAGCTTTTCGCAGTCGATTGCAGGCTGTGCTGGCTCAGCGTCGGCCCTCAAACGGAGGAGCCCGGCCGAAGATGCCTCGACGTGAGTTGTGTCGGCACTGACAAGCCAGAGTCCGACGGACAAGATGAGAGAGATTTGGAACTGCATAACTGCTGCGGAAAAAACACCTTCTCTGATGGAATCTCGCAAGATGGCGTGGAATGATGTTGGAGTGTGGGATTTTGCTGCCGCTGCGTTGCCCTTTATATGCGTACGGAATAGTACAGAAGAACCGAGAGGATCGCCGCTGGCCTTGAACTTGTACTTGAAAACGAGGCTGTTGTTTGACTGTTCGATAAAACGGTGTCCCAGAGTGCAACGAGTCATGCCGAGATCCCTTGTGCCCAGATAGCAATGGTGCCGATCCTTGGACACCACCGCTTAGCATGTAATAAGATTCTCGGAGTGGCCCTGCGTCGCATGTATTAACGCTATCTGGTCAAGTCCCACTTTTAGCCTAGCGGTGTGACTCTGTTGGGGTAAAAGTTTCGACTGATAAACTATCGAGAACCCGTTGGTCACGATAGTTGTTAGTTTCGAGCTTAGACTGAGGGTCATGACAGGGGGTCTTGAATCAATCCAGCAGAGTATATGGACAGGGTGGAATTAAAAGGATTCTCGGTGGGCTTAGCAAAGAAAAAACCCTTTTTTTTTGGTCGCTGATAAGGGGATTTATTGCGTTTAGCCTTTAACCACACTTGCAATAATCTCCAACTTCCCTGTGTAAGTTGCCCTCGATGACGTTGATTTCCCAACAAGTTCTCTTGATATAGCCCACGTGATCCCGGCTGAAAAGCGCGCCGAGGACCAATATTCGCCTCGAGAGTCAACGCTAATCGTGCTGTGCGTTCAGTTTCTGCACTTGGTCGGACCTCTCCGTCAATGTTCCTCTGCTGGTTCGTGTCTTGTGACCGTCACGGTTCCACCCTGATGGCCTGCGCCGGATCCTTCAAGTAAAGGACTTGGGTCATTCAATAAGCCTCAAAGGCGTTGGGCGTTGTGACGCTTTCGGTATAATCCAGCGACGCTTAAATCCATGACTCGATTCCCGCGGACCTCTTGAAACGAGGCAATCACCGATCAAATGTTGTTGACAAGCCAATATCATTGGTTCACGAAGCGGAAGAACAGCGTAGAGAGACAACCAAGTGGAAAGTGGAAATTAAGACATAAATAGCCTCCTGTGGCCGATGGAAGGGCTCTCGAATCCCACACCAGCATGCTCAAGAGTTCATACTATGAGAAAATGTCCTTGAAAACATTATTTCTAACGCTCTTAGGGCTTGCTGTTACGGTCCAGTCGCTCCCTGGTGCTGGGCCTGCAGATAAAAGGGCGTTGAGTACGTCTAATCGAGTTCCGTGCACGGCATTGACTGACGTATTCCCCCCCAGATGCCGCTGCGGAAAGGGGCGGATTCAAACGATTCACCTGGGTAACTGATCGCCTCCGCGACGGCGACAGACTCGCGCGTGCCTCTGCCCCCTACTACAACGACAATGACGCGGACCACAAGTTGACCGAGGAGTCGATCAAGTTCCTACAGGAGCAAAAGATAACTCACGTCATTAGTCTCAACCACAAGGCTCACACTCCAGAGATCTCCAACGCTCTTCGCTGGGCGGGCATTGCCTACACGCCACTGCCTGTCGAGGACTACGGCAACCCAACGTCCAAGGACTTCCGCAAGGCCTACAAAGCCTTCGACAGGCACCGCACAGGAACGCTGGTCTGGTGCGGCTACGGACATGGCCGAACCGGGACAATGATATCAGCCCTGCAGGCGTACACCGAGGCGGAGAAGACATTGCCTCAGCCACTCACACGTGCCGACTACGACGCAAACCACGTCGAGAAACCCGGGCAGCGAAACACGCTGAACCAGCTCCAGTGGGATCTGGGGATACTGTCGGAGCTGCCGCCCCTCGAGGCGTTTGGCGAGGATGGCGAGCCGCCCGCCAAGAAGCCCCGTCTCGCCTCGGCGGCAGACGCAATATTCGGCCTCACCCCGTGGCAAACCTTTGACAGCCTCCTCGAAACTGAGGGCCCCGCCCCCGAGGATCTGATCTCGGACGCCGACTTGAGAAGCTTCTTCGACCAGATGCTCACGGAATATCCGCCCATCCCGTCGCCGCCACAGACGGACGTGTGCGTAGCATCTCTTTCCGCCGACGAGCAGGCCATCTGGGAGTCGCTTGAAGCATACGGGCCGGTAGGCTCCATGAGCGAAGCGCAAGTACAACAGGTCCTCAACGAAATCATGGTCGAGTACCCGGCAGCGGAAGCCAGTGTCACCGGTGGCAGCTGTGCCAACGGCGCGGGCGCCTTTGGTGACGCAGACCTGATGGCCTTGCTAGACACGCTTCCCGTCGTTGCAGAGACGGAGCTCCTGGCCGCGGATGCAGGGACGACTGCCGGCGTCGAGGCTGGTGTCGAAGCCTTGGGAGACGAAGATATCTTGGCTATGTTGGAGGCTGCCCCCGCGGCTGTTGAGGAACCACTTCTGCTAGAGGCACTCGCTGAAGAGGCTGTAGGATCGTCCTTGCTTGAGTCCCTTGTCAAGGCGGCATTGGAACTTCACTTTGTGCCTCGTGCCTTGGGGAGCCTGTAGTCGCGCCACGCGGTCCGATTTATATTTGGCTTGTTCTGTCTTTTTGCAATGCAGCAACAAGTATCTTAGTTCGTATCAGGCGACGAGTGGATCACATCCATGATGCGGTCCGAGCGGTTTTGCTGCGGACCGAGTCATATCAGGGCTAATTCCATTTAGTTCCGGACACGATGTTGGTCAAAAAGAGCAAACATGTGCCGTGGGCGGCTACTGCGTGGCTTCAATTAGAAACGGTAGTACCCTATACTCTGATGAACCCAGATGTCTTGGGCTGTAAGAAAGATGTCTTTGGCTATGAGAAAATCGCCGCAAACAACTTGAGAGTGTAGCACCTAGTCGCCGGCATTGCAGTCCAATCAAGGGGATTCTCGACGGAGATCTTGTCGCCTCCACGAGACATTGTCAGGACTCCATCGACATGATCCTCCTTTTCCTGGTCGATACGCCATCTGTCCACCCCCAAAAGTACGAATTTCCAAGCCTCTCAGGTCTCAGCAGGATGATGACGCCATGTATTGTTCGGGACTTGTATCACATTGTCGGCGGCAAAAGGACACAAAGAACGCGGCGTGTAGCGAGTTACATTCGACGAGGGCCGTGACTGTCGCCTCTTTCTAGTCGACGACTCGATCAGGAAACAAGATAGATTGCTACCGTGACAGCTCAGAATCCCCTTACTACCGCTTGATGGCGACGCCATACGCCGCAGTATCAGTCTGTCCTGCTTTGGCCGCATGGGTTCGCCAGCGTGCAGAGTAACATGGTCAAAACTTACAACGTAGCAGGAGGAATCAAGCGCGTTGATCCACGTCACGAACTATACAAGGGCGAAAAAGTGTATTTATACCGAGCAGTGAGCATCCCCCAGCCTGAGGGTCAGGGACGCTTCCGAGGCATGGAGCTGGGCCATGATACTCGCGGACGACTCGGCCGATACCAACAACGCCTGGGTATCAGAGTCTGCCGTCGCCGACGTGCTGTTTGTAGAGACAATCACGGGCGACATGTCAGGAGATGCCGCAGAGTCGACCACGTCGCTTATAGCTGCTAGCCCGGTCCTCGAGCGCAACTGTCTACGGTCCCCCCCGACGCCGACGCAATGGCTTGTCGGTTGCTCAACGCCGGCCTGTACAGCACTTGCTACAATCTCGCCCGCTGCGGCTCTCTCCTGCCCTGATCTCGGCCTACCGCAAAAGCGCACGCGCAAGCACCCTGATAAACGATCTGTTCGACTATGATTCCGACTTGGCCCACAGACAGCCAAACATCCTCGCCCACGGCTACGCCGCCGGCCGCCGCGATATCGACGCGTGGCAGGACACCGTGACCGAGGTATACTTTGACGCGCTGGAAAAGGGCCACGGCTGCTTGACGGGGGACTGGCCGGTCTGGGCCGACAGAATTCCTGACCTCTCTGTCGACGGCGTTGACCATGGCTTCATGTGTGCTGCGTTTGCGGCCCTTGCCCAGCCTTCTGCAGCCCGAGAGATGCCGTGAATCAGGTAGCGGCCCGAGGGGCGTCGGCGAATACCGCTGGGTCCGGGTCGGGTCAGTGAAAGGGCTGCTGGTGTACGTGTACATGCCATTTGTTGCTTGGCTTTGCTGCTTTTTTCTGCGGCCCCTTGGAGCCAACTTGCTCGGCTAGGTTGGACGGTTGAACGGCAGAGGTGATGTCAAACAAAGCACGTGCTGCTGCTCATCTACTCCTGAAACTTGTACTTTATGTAAACAGATAATACGTATTTCATTACCAAGTCGTAGCTTTGAGCTACATGTTCGAGCGTATAACGAGACTTGTGCGTTGTCACTGCCCGTTGATCAAGGATGGCAGTCAGCGCCTTGGAGTTGGAAAGGAACAGTTCCGGCATTATCACCAAGGCTGCGTGCAACCTGATGGCTCAAGGCTGGCAATGCTCCGCGTCAAAGTAAGTATTCTCTCCAAGCTAAAAAAGCCAGTTCGCGTCCGGAACAGGCCATCAACGTCCCGGAACGGATGTGGCTCGCAAGCCGAAATGCTACCAGTCTAGTCTGGCATCAGGCCCCGGCATCCTTGTTGCACGATTCAGTACAGTCCGCTCCCCACGGCTGGAGGAACGGTACCAATACCAATCATAGCCAGGGGCATTACCAATTCCATCATATTTTCCGGGGTAAAGAGCTAGCAATACGTAAAAATATGGAGACTAGTGGCCGTACAAGGCACACACACACGACGCCCGAAAAGATTGCGAGAGGAAAAATAAACTGGACATTTATAGGAAGAATGAAGGATTTCTCTCTGCAGCAGAGATGATGAGCGACTGATCAAGTCCTCGTGGCCGCAGCTCGCCGCGTAAACATCGAGGAGGGAGACAACCCATCATCTCGTGTTGACTAGCAGAGCACCACGCGACAGGGCGCTGACAGAAGTGCTGGAAGTACTGCGTCGGTACCGAACACGTCCGTTTTATATGACAGGAAGCAGTGGCAGGACGGCAGGGGCAAGGAGGCAGCCTCGACAGCCAGACAAGCCGGCCTTGCTTGGCCGTTTGCGCGGGCAATTTGGAAGAGGGGATGATCGGGGCGGAGGAAATTCCCCGTAAGCGCCGACACGGAAGTTCTTATTATTACTACATGTACCTTGGCATTGATGTGCTACATTCATGAGTGAACCGCGGCCTGCTCGTCTGACACAGCAATGGTACGGCGACCTTGACTCAGTCCGGGACAAATTCTCCAAGTTGCTTGGCAGTCCACACTCGTCTACAGTCGCACATTAGCTTGCATCTGCAAACGGAAGCTCCATTACCCCAGCAACTCGGTGGCCGTCCACATGACGCTCGGCTTCGGCGAGACGTTCGTCTACCTCAATCTCCTGTACTACGTGAGGTAAGAATCCCCTTCCCACAGCGGTAGCGGTCGACGGGGCTCCCAACTTGCCGCCGCCGCCCCTGCTTACGCCTTGTCAGCACCCTCATGCTTCACCGCGAGTACTTCCCCTTCCTGCCGACCCCGGAGTCGGAGCCACGGGGTCCAGTCGACCAGCCCATGCTGGGGGCGCCCGCCCCCGAGGGCTGGTGGGACGACAGCTCCCGACTCCTCTTCGGCGCGGCAGAGCACATCGCCGCCATTCTACACGAGGCCTCCGAGTGTGGCGTGCATCTCATGACGCCCTTTGCCGGGTTCTGCGCATTCTCAGCCGGCTACCTCAACCTCTACGTGGCGAAATACCCCCGAATGAACCTGGGCCGCAGCCCGCGAGCAAGCGACTGTCTCAAAATGTGTCTCGACTACCTGGAAAAGTTTCGACTTGTCTGGAAAATCGCCGACGGATGGGTAAGCCGCCCGCAAGCATGACACGACCGTGGCCACCGTTGCGCTAACATTGAGAGGGCGGCACGCGCAAGATCAAAACGATACACCATGCATCCGTGCTCTACGAGCGAGCAACCGAGGACCGGACACGATACCAGGGGCGCACACGAGCAGACTTTGATACTCTACACCAGTCTGTCCACGAGTTCCGTGTCGTGGATAGATCCGACGCGCATACTCGGGAGATTCGGGGCGCGGAGCGGCCCTCGGCGCAGGCGACTTGGCCGGTTCAAGGGCACGAGCACGAGCACGAGCACGAGCACGAGCTCGACACTAATACCTTGTTGAACCAGCTTTTCGCGGAAGTCAGCAATAACCTCGACGAGCAGGGGGCCTGGTCTCAATGGTGGCCGGCGATTGATCAGGTGGATCTTTAATGAGCTGCGTAATTACATCCGGGGTTTTTTTTTTCGTTGAAGCTTCCAATGAATGAGTGACGACCTTTGATTTTTTTGATTTTTTTTTTAAAAAGGGCTGTAATATCTGGTTTTCTATACATGTCCTATTTTTATTTCCCGGTCTAGAAAAACAGTCAACAGATAATGCACCTCTTCATATGGCTCCCCTCCCGTCACCGCCAACAAATGCATACCTGTCGCGTCAACCATTCGCCGTTTCTCCTTCCAATCACGCCTTTGCAAAGACCTTTCTCGAGTTCATCAGGCGAACAGCAAGCATAAAGAGCATGCCGACAAAAGGCGCCACAACCACGCCAAGAGGACGTTTTTTGAAGCAGCTAAAAAGGCACGTAAATGGCGTCTGGATTCTGTACTAGATCTACTAGAAATTTGGGACGAGAAGGGTGTACATTATAGGCGAAGAGGTTAATAGCGTTATTAGGTTGAAAATTGGCCCGCCTTGGTGTCCGGCCCGCCTTGCTGTCGAGCACCACCTTTGGTGGTGAGGGCTTTTGCTAGCCGAACCACATAAAGTGGGGCGGGCACGATTACAATTTTCCTAATTTGCATTCTGCTGATTTGCTGCAGCGCTACGCACGTCTTTGTAATTATAGTTAATTACTACGCACGTCTTTACAATTGTTATTAACTTTAATATTATATAAAATACTTACTTAAACTTATATATTTACTTGCACTCTCTATAAATATATATATTATTTTGCAATTTTATCTTATAATATATAAATTAATATAAAAGTAAATACCTAGCTACTATATTTTTATTATCTAAGTAAGACTTATCTTTCTTAACTTTTATATCTCTTTTTTTCCTTCTATAAACTTAAACTACTTTTATTATCTTATTAAATTATTTCTAAACTAGTTTATACTACTTAAAAAAAAATATCTTATAGATATAAGTTATTATTATAATACTAGTAATACTTAAACTTAAAGAAGCAACTTGCTAATAAGCTTATCTTTAAGTTAAAATTTAATGCTATAAGTCTTCTTTAGTAGAAATAATAAAAGTAATAATTAGAACTAACTTAGAAATAATTCTAGGATAGCTAGCTAATTTTATTCCCTAGGGAACTATTCTACTATTTTAAAGTAAATAGTATACTATATAATTAAGTATAATACTAACTAGATATATATATAAATTAATTCTTATTTATTTCTTATAGATATAGCAATATATAACTAAGTTATTGCTCTAAAACTATTATATTTAATTTTATAAAATTAACCTAGAGAAGCGCTACTCTAGAGATAATAAAGAGCAATTAGATAATAACTTAGCTTATAAGTTGCTATAGAAAATAGTTTAGAACTAGTTATATAATAATTAATATTTATTTTATACAGAATAATATCTAGACTATATTAACAGCTAAGCGCTATTATAAATACTACGCAAGCCTATATAGTAAGGCATAATGCCTTCTAAGGCAATTTCTATTCCCGCCCTTATGCTGCTAACTGCTGCTGCTATTGCTGCTGCTAATACTATAGTTTAAACTATATATAATAGAGCTGCTGCTGCTAATGCTAAAGCAGCAGCTGCTGTATGCTGCTAACTAAGAATAGTATATATACTACCTAAACTACTTATAAAGTAATTAGAAAAGGGATTAGGACTAATTTTAATAAAATGCTACTAAGCTGCCTGCCTAGTTGCTCTTGCTCTTGCCCTTGCTCTTACTCTTGCCCCTGCTCTTGCTCTTGCTGTTATTGTTGTTATTATTATTGCTATTGCTGCTACTACTGCTGCTATTATTATTGTTATTATTATTATTATTACTATTGCCTCTGCTTCTGCCTTTAAGCTCCTCCCCCTCTCTCTCTCTTTCTAAGGACAAGAAGGATAAAAATAAGAATAAAGATAAAGATAAAGTTAAGAATAAGAATAAAAACATAGAAATAGTATAAACTACTTACTAAATAATTATAAACTAGTTAAGAACTAATTCTAGCTAATAGAATTTGCCTAGTATATTACTAAATAATATACTCTTTGCTATATAGCTACTATGCTATAAAGACAGCCTTTTTATAATTGCTAAGATATACTATATAGTAAGTTTCTAGAGGCTTAATATAACTTATAATATTTATATATTTATTTTGTATAGTAAGTTAGTTAAAATTAAAATTAAACTAGAAATAATTTATACTAATAGCTATAAAATGCCCCCCCCTTACTTTAACTAGTCTTATAAAGTTTAGAAATATTTTTATTAGTTTAGTTAGTTTAGTTAGTTTATTTTTTATTTTTTGTTTTTCTTTTGTTTTTTATTTTTCTTTTGTTTCTTTTGTTTTTTTTGTTTTTTTTCCTTTATTTTTTTTCCTTTACTTTTTTTACTTTACTTTTTTTTACTTTACTTTTTTTTACTTTATTTTTTTTAACTTTACTTTTTTACTTAGCTTTTATATTTTATTTCTTTAGATTAGTTGCTTAAGTTATTTTATAAATAAATTAAAGATATATTTCCTTAAGATATATCTAGTAAAGAAATTATAAATTATTTATTATCTTAGCTTAATTTAGTCTTAAAATAGTTTAGAAGTAATTTATATATATTTATTATAGTAATATCTAGTAGTTATATTTAATATATTTATTACTCTAAATAGCTATAAAGCTATATAACTAGTACTTAAGCTAGCTACTTTATAGAGGCTGCTTGTTTCTATATATATATAGTTATTACTAGCCTTACTAGCTGTAGTTAAATTCTATAGTATATAGTTAAAGATATATATATAAGCACTAAGCTTTAACTACCTTCTAGTACTAGCATTCTTTATATTACTAAGTAAAGAAAAAAAATACTTATTTATTCTTCTCTCTACTTCTCCTCTTTTCTTAATTTCCCCCTTTTCTCTTCTTAATTTACTCTTTATTCTGTTTTTTTCTTCTAGTTATTTACTATAAAATATTATATAACTAGCAGTAAAAATATTACTCTAAGGCATTACATTATATATATAATAAGATTTAAAGTTAATATCTAGATGCTTAATTTTGCCTTTACTATAGTACCTCCTAAGCAGTTCTAATTAAAATTAATTTAGAACTAGATCTATAGTAGTCTTAGTCTAGTTTTAATTTATTAAGATAAATAAAAGCTTAATAGCTATATTTTATTTATATAAATAAAATAAGATTATATAAGCAACTTTAGAAAGAACTTTTAAGCTAGAGCTAATAAGGTATTATAAGCAACTTACTTAAGTATATAAAAAAACCCTTAGTATAATCTAGCTAGGCTACTTATTTAGCTTATTCTGCTACTATTAGTTAGTACCTTTTAAGGGGGCTTTTTTATTCCTAAAAAAATAAATAAGCTAGGTAGAAATATAAATTAATTACAAACTAATTTAAGACTAGCTTTTATATTTATACTAACAAGTTCTACTAGGCTTAATTAAACTTTAGCTACTTTTATAGTTAGATATTAATAATAAACCTTTATATAAAAAGCAATAAATAAATAAGTATATTTAACTAAGCTTTATAGCATAATTTAATAATAATATTTCTTTTAAGCTTAGATAAATATAGTCTAAGCAGGCTAGATTATTTTAACTTCTGCCTTAAATATATACTATATTATATATAGTCTTTAACTTATTCTATAAGGATAATATATATAAATAGAATATTAAAGATAGCTATATATTAGTTTAAATATATTTCTATCTTCTATATTTATAATAAGAGGATATAAATAAGACTTAATTTAATCTACTATAATTGCTAACTTTAAGTATCTTTAATTTACTCTTAACTATAATACTCTCTCTAGATATAAAGTTATTAGCTTTACTAATTTACTTAATTAAGTAGAGTAGTTTAATAAGCTCTAATAATTTACCTTCTATAAACTCTATAGCTAATAATACTATACAGCCTAAAGAGTAAGTAGAGTCTTCTTTAATAGAAGGTTCTATAAGTTATACTTATAGCCTAGAGAGACAGCAATCTATTTAGAAGAAATAAAAGCGCTAGCTACTATTAATTTCTTTGTCCTAGAAGTCTTATATTTGCCTTTAAAGGTCTTATAGAAGTAGATTGCCTTAAAGATTAAATTTTATATACAGCTTAAAATTATCTTAAAGAAGTTAGTACTATAGATAATTAGTATATATATAAATTAGTAGATTAATATTACTATATATATTTAAGCTTCTCTATATAGAATTAGACTTAATTCTAGAACTAGTTCTAAACTAGTTCTAAAATAATTCTAAATTTAATCTTATAGTAAAAGATAAATTAATATATAAAGCTAAGTGTAATTATTAAGTTTGTAATTAAAATATCCTAGCTCTTCTAGCTATTTTATACACTATTTATTTATAATTTTAGTAAGAAATAATTTAATATTAATTCTATAAAGTAGTATAAGTATATTATATATAGCTTATTAATTAGCTATATTATTATTAAAACTTAGTAGAACGCTCTAGTTTAGAGCATTTTATATGTAATATAAGTCTATAGAAATTTTAGATTTAATATACTAATAATTTCTTTATATATAAATTTTATAGCTATTTTATAAAGTAATAAAGTTAGTAAACTTATCTTAAATAAAAAGTATATATACTATATAAAGAGTAATTTAGTCTTTAATATTGCCTTTAATAAATAAAGTATACTTAGCTAATTTATAGAAGAAAGATATTTATTAGTTAGAGGCACTTATATAGAGGTAATACTACTAGCTTTTAATTCTAACGTTTTATTTGCTAGAACTATATATATAGCATAAAGCAATTTAATCTTCTTATATAAGTAAGAACTAATTTCTATCTATATTATAATAGAAAACTAAACTAGTTCTAGTAGATACTAGCATTACTTATGCTGCTACTTATAGAGAAGTCTTGATGCTATAATTTAATCTTATAAAGAATAACTATATTTTAAGGCATCAAACTATAGATAAATACTACTTAAGTATACTTAGTGTAGTTATAGTAAAGTAACTATAGTAAAACTAAATAATATAGCATAAGTATATATTAATATATATATATATTTAAATGCTATATTTCTTAAGTTTCTTATATCTATCTAGGCACTATAGGAAATTTAGCCTAAGTACTTAAAAGTTAGTATAATACTATATATTGCTTTCTCTTTAGCGTTAAACTTCCTCTAGGAAAATAGTTTAATAGAAGTTATAAAGCTAATTTTATAAGATTAGTACTTATGCTTTTTATTATATATAGTAGTAAAGATATTTATAACTAAATTTATAAATTACTAATATTTACTTTAAGTTCTTTTTAAGAAATTAAATTGCTTTAGAAAGAATTTAGATTTACTCTTACTTTATTTAAATATACCTTTTTATATAATTCTACTAGCAAACCTTATAAATAGTATATAATAAATATTAAAGGTTATTATATTATTGTAAATTCTAAAGAATTAATTAATTAGAATATCTATAGAAAAAGAAGTAGAATTAAATCTACTTAATAAGTTAATCTATAATTTATATATTTTGCTGCTATACTAATCTCTAGTAAGAAAGCTATATCTTTAGTATATATAAGCTTACTAGTTGCTAATTATATTACTAAAGAATCTTATTAATAAAGCAGTAAATTAATTTAATTAGTATCTCTTATATAAATAGTTCTAAAATCTCTTTATATAAAGGCTTTAAGCTTCTTATATATACTCTAGAAATACCTAAAAGCCTCTAAGCTAAAAGCTAGCATTATAATATTTAAAGGCTAATAGTATTTTTATTCTATTTATTAAGAAGCTTATTAACTTAAGATAAAATATCTCTATAAAATACACTATACTAAAGAGATTATTAAATAGTCTCTCTAAGACTTTTAAGCTGTCTATATAGTCTTAGTATATTAAAGTAGAAAATAATTTAGAATTAATTTAGAATTAATTTTAAAATAATTTAGAAATAATTTAGAAATAATTTAGAAATAATATAGAACTAGTTTTAATATAAATCTAGAATAATTATAGTATAAAGTTTAATTTGTATATTAAGGTAGGAGGAATTTTTTCTATGTAACTCTATACTTTTAAAAAATCTAAAAATCAGAAAATCAGAAAATCGTAGTGGCAGCGTTTGCGGATGCAAGCTAATGTGCGACCGTACTCGTCCCTTAATATATGCATATTGCTACTCACGAGTCATATTAATTGAGCCTCCAGGGCTGTCATCTGCTTGGGAAGCAGGTCTTGTCTTTAGAAACAGAGCCTGGCTCCGAACAATGCCAACGCCACGGGTTTGCAGCAGAGATGAGAAGTGTAGCAGCTGGTCCTCGGAACTAAAGAGTGTTGCCATTGTCATTATCATCCATTCATCCTCTTCAGTGTGCCGTGACTGTCATCATCATCATTAGCCTCCCAAGACGGTGCATGACGGGCTGATGGCTCCTCCATACGTGACTTGATCGGGGAGCTTGGGGGGAGGGCTGTAGGCAGGGTCATCTGAGCTAGCCAGAGCTTCTCGATTTCTATTAGAAATGGATTGATCTCTCAGCTACATGGGCACATATATATCGACAGGGAGGTAGGAACTAGCAGCGGGTGGAGCGGCAACATGTCGTCGTCGAGTCAAGTCTCGGGTTCTCGAGTCCATCTCGCCTCCTATTGCCACTTGGACGGTCCTCATAGACTCATGCATTATTCCGGCCGACGCAGGGACTCTGAACATGATCTGCTACCACGACCAGGCATGGGTTTTAGTGACTCGCGCGTGGCTTGCGCCCAACCACATAAATAGACCGACCACGAAGCCGTATATTGACGGCTCCGATTTCCCACGTCTCTACCACTTGACAATCACATTCGACCATTAAAGCTGTGACAGCACCATGGTTATGATTCACTCCCGGACCCTCATCGTGGCCGCGATAGGGTGGCTCCAATGGGCGGATATCGCTCAGGCTACGCCAACTCGGCCTTCTCCTATCCCAACCGCAAACAAAGGCGACGGGTTGCCGTACGCGCCTCCTCCGGATGCTGGCGCCGTTGGAGGCCATCTTCCAACGCTACCACATCTGCTAGCCCGCCAGGGTGATGGAACAAAGCCGGACACTCAGCTTCCCAGGGTCGTCTATCGTGGTGACTCGAGATCCCCCGAAGAGATCAGAGCACTTGGCGGTTTTAAGCCTGGATTCGGCCCTGTAACAAACGCGACGTACAGTCTAAGGAGTGCACCACTATGGCTTGAAGAAAGTTCGGTCTGCATACGTTTCGACGTCAAAATCATTCGGCATAGCCATGTCCTATGCTACCATCATGCTGAATCTACTTGGGCCCACGCAACCGGGTTGGATATATGAAATCCAACCCACTCCCAACATGATAGACATGGACAGCTCCGACCTGAACCTCCCTCACCCCGGAGAAAACGAAGGGGAGTTCTCGGCCATGGGAGGCATACGATGGGACCAAGTCAGGGCCTACATGTACTGCCCGTTGAACCTAACCTTCGGGCCGGACATGGTCGGCAATTGGAGAGTGTTCCACGACGCTGCCCCCTTCTTGGAGAAGTATCCTGATCAGTCGTTTACTCCGAACCCCCAATACAACGCCGCCTACGACGCGTTCAAGCCCAGTCCCGGCCAGCCGCAGCTTGCGGGAAGCGACATGACGTACTGGGGGGTCGGCAGCGACTCGTACCAAGGCAAGTCGCTGGAGCAGTGGGCCATCTTGTTTATGAATGACTATGGTGAACCAGTGGGCTGGACCGGGAGCTTTCCGTTGAAACTCACGGCCCCTGTGTCCCTTCCCTCGAAGAAGCCCGTCTGCAGTCCTTCTCGGGGGGTTCGACCCAACTTGGCCTAGGAACCAAGTCTAGGTCATAGATTGCGGCAGAGGGGAGATACGGGAGTTCGGCCTGTATAGTTTTACTGCGGACTCTCCCGTGCGCGACCTGGCTTGGTTTCGGATGAGGACGACGAGGGACGTGAACGAGAAAGGGCCATTCCTAGACCTTGTAAAGCAGAAGACACCTGTCGTTTTTGCGATGTGTATTGGATTGTTCAAAGCCGTCAGATAAATTACATGAGTATAAGGTGCATTAGCTATCTATTTCAAATTTTCATCAACATTCTTTGCGCAGCAGGGTCAAGAAGCAACCAGGGGGCCAGGCAAAGGCTACTTTACATGGCACACCCGATGATGTAATAGCTGCAACATGTACTGCCGACCTGTCTTGGGCGACCGTAGACAGAGTTGACTTTGACACAAGAACCATTTCACCGGCTGTACGTGATGTTTAACAAACGGCTTGTCCGATTGTTGCGTCGATAACACAACATTCAGGTGCGACTTCCCCCTATGTCCTCCCTTTCAAAGGGTTCTCAATAAGTTCCAAACGATCAGGCTTGGAACTGTGTCTGAGGTAGGCTGCACGGAACCTGGTTGAGCCAGGCGACGTGCTTGATCACAAGGTCGTTTTGGCGGCAACCGAGGTTCCTTGAAGAACTCGCTTGTTCAATGCTCGCCAGCTCATTGAAGGAATTGTTACCAAGACTAAGCCGTCAGCAATTCAGGTGATGAACATATAAATGACTAAATAAGAGACTAACACTGCCCCCGTTACTACCATTACTGCCCCTATTGCAGTACTGCATTGTCCCTTCGACGATGCAACAATTATCAGCCGTCTGACCTAGAGCAGGTTATGGGGCAGGAAATGGCGACGGCTTGGCCATAGTAGACTTCATAGCCCCTGACGGGGATGCCGTCGATGTCATCAAGACAGGTTCGAAGCCCTGAGTCTCCAAAGCCCAAACGCCACCTGGTTGAAGCAATTCTCCAACAATCCAATCTGGCTCCTCGAGTGAGCGCTCAAGCGAGAATACCGAGCGATTCTGTCGAGCGAGAGTAACATCGATGGCAGCTCCGAATATGCCGGCCCCAACGACTACATCCGCATGCCGGTGAATTTCGCGTCGTGAACCGGCCGCTTTCGGTTGGGCAACGACCATGACAAGGTGCTTAAATAGACGCTGATGGACGCAAGGCAACTTGGATCGACTGGGATTGATTCTTGTGCCGACAGGGGACGTGAATAATGCAACTTTCCGGGCGAGCTGTGTGGAGACGACTTGAAGGAGGAAACGTCCGCCACGCTTGAAAGAAAAAAAGGTTTGCAAAACGGCTACGCAATGAAACAGTTCTCCATCTGCTCGCTCAAGTTGACACTATGCAGGCAGTCAACGAAGAGGTAGGCCGTGTCCCGCTCGCTGGGATGGGCTCTAGGCCAGACCATAACAATACATCACATACATCAACCTTTGTTAGCAGCCACACAAACAGATTCTTGCCAAGCAGATGTGTATTCAGTGTATTTGCCCTCAGTACTTGTCACGAGTCCCTTGTCAAGCCCCATTCGTTGGGGGGTTATACGGCTGATCGTACGCATACGGGTGCTTACTCTTGGCCTGATCTTTGCCGTAAATCGACGTGTAGTAGGGGTCAAAGGTCAGCAGGGCGAAGCCAGGGTCCCGGGGAGCAATCTTGGACGGCCAGCAAGGATTTTCATCCAAGCCGTCGTTGGGGAGAGGATTTGCCGCATGGGCGAATTTCATCCCCCATTCCGGTCTATGCGCCACCGTGACCTCGGCGTACGTCACCGTCTCTTGACCGTTCGTGACAGCGCTCTGCTTCTGAGCCGGTGCGTTCCTGACTCGTCGAACCAAGTCGGTGTCCGATATGGACCTTACGGGCCCCTCGAAGCAGGCGCCTTTCCAGAGCTGACCGGCGTCCTGGTTCTCCTTCCATGGAACCCAGCGGACGAGTTGCCCGTTGCCGGCCGGTTTCCCGGCCCATTTCCAAGCATCGTCTTGCTCGTTCAGAAAGTACGCGGGGGGATACTCGTCCTTGTCACACTTTGTTTCCGCTCGGTGTGCTTCGTCTTTCCACCCCTTGCCGTCATGTTGGGCTGCCCACGCATTCGTTGCCTTGGCATTTTTCCGCCATCTGGGTTTCCCAGCCTCAGGGGGGCACGTAATGGTTGCCCACTGAGGGCTTACTCTGATGGCAGAGCTGTAGTGGTAACATGCCTGGGTGAATTCCTTGGGGCATTCCTTGGTCACGCCGAGAGCCTTTGCGTTGGTATCGTAGTGTACCGACTCGATGACGAGGTTGTCTGTGACGGTCTTGTCTTGCACGCAGGATCGGAACTGGACGGTATTGCCGTAGCCGCCTATGCGTCTCGTGGAATAGCCCTTTCGGATCTTACAAGTTGTCTTCTGCTTCTTGTTATTGCTGTTCCCGCTGCCGCCGCCGCCAGTGTTGCCGCCGCTGTTGACGGCGGGTCTCTTGAGTGCTCGGGGTTTGTCTTGGTTGGTGGGATTCCCGTCGTCGTTTTTCTTTCCGCTCCCCTTTTTGATCTTCTTGGGTGGTCTGAACCCCGTCACGCCGTCGGAAACGGTGCTGAGAATGTCAAAGGCCTGCTTGATGTCATCCGGCACGAGGTCGCTCTCGCCACCGCAAGGGCTGAGCCACCATTTGAAGGCCCCCGCGGGATCTTCCTCCTCTGGGTAGATGTAGGCCGCCATTTGTGCAGCAGTTGTGGCCATGTCTGTGTACAGAATACGTCAACGTCACCGTGGGCCCCTAGATGGCCTCGCCCAAAGGGCAAGCAAAGTCTTGCGTGACGGGGGGGAGGGTACTCACTCAAGCCGGCATCAATGGCCTTGCCTACCCCGGGAATGAAACTTGCTCCAACATCGAGCACCAGCTTGACAGCCGACATGAGCATGAAGCACGCGGCCTACAGACCGTGTTAGCCGAGAGAATCGGAACCATTCACCCCTGTCTCGTCGTCACATGGTCCATGGTCCGCCAGCCCGGAGGGATACCAAACTTACTGCAGCGATCATGGGCATTGCCTCAATCACAGACTCGGCGATTGTGTTGACGAGCATGTCGTCGCAGACACATCTGCCTGGCGCCATGCGGCTGGAGAAGCCGTTCACTTTGAACCACGGAATGGGCTCGTTGAGCGGGAAGAATCCCATGCACCCGTAGTTGGTGACCCTGCCCTCTTCCTTGGCCTTTCTAATTTCCTCGCTGCAAGGTCCTATGCACTGGTTGACTGAGCTTTGCCTAAGGCTCCCTTCCTCAAAGACGTGGCACTCCTTGTGATGCTCGTATCTCGTCTCGTACTGACTGGTAGATCCGGGGGTGATTTCATACGCGTCGTCGTCGTCGTCGTCGTCTTCGTCTTCGTCCTGCTGTTGGACGCCGTTGGAACACACATCTTCAGGGCACTTGTCATATTTGCATGAAAACGCGCAAAGGCGGTTCATGTCTAGGTCGAACGAGTCCCATGCCGACCCCTTGACGTCCTTCTTCTCGGGCGGGAGGTCCCTCAGCTTTCCCCTCTCAACGCAACTACACAGCGACGCGGGACAGAAGCCGTATTCGCACGCAAACTCGCACATTTCGGCAGTTTCGAGCGACAAATCGCGGCCACTGACGCAGCCCTGGCCGGATTGGGGCCGATCGATGCTGGACATGTCGTCCGCAGAGAACCGCTGCAAGTCAACGGCCCAGTCGATGGTGCCGGCGAAGTTCAACTTCTCCCAGTCGGTCCGCCGCGTCTCCCTCGTTGTCGGTGTCGTGTAGCTGACGTAGTCTCCGTTGTATAGCAAGACGTCCGTGTTGGAGCCTCCGTCGTGGAACGTCTGGACATCGCCCCCGGCCTTTATAATCTCGTTGATCTCGGCATAGGCTAGATATCCCGCCGTCTTGGTGCATCGACCGGGGCTCGCGTTCGACTCTGCTCGGGAACCCGTAAAGTCACACATGGGCCCCCAGCAACCGTCCTTGGCCATGCGGAACGACCTGCCGTAGCTCGCCTCGCCAACAAAGATTTTGTTATTGGGAACCCCGGCTTTGGTGACTGGACAAGAATTCAACAACGGCTTGGCTTGCTGGAGTGTGTAGGGGCGGCAGGAGACAAGACTTACTCATGACCAGTGCGTTGGCCGTTTCGGTCAGGTTGACTGCACTGCGTGTTAGGAAAACATTGGTCCATATTGGCTTCTTGCGCCGGCAGTGTTCTCACCGTGACTGCGAATGCATCTTCCGGATGGGCACTCGTCAAAGGCGTTGGGGTTCCCGGCGTCCCACTGGCCGTGCAAGTCATACGTCATGTACACGATGTAGTCGACGACGGAAGCAATCCGATCGATGGGGAATGCCTTCAGGTACCAGTAGGATGCCGGGGCGGCAATTGACACCGACTTTGCGGTTCCCATTCTGGATTTCAACACGGTGAGGAACTTGAGGTAGTTCACTCCGTCCGACGGCTGACCGATGGGCTGGCCCCCAACGAGGATGTCGGGTGCCTGGAGTCAATTAGGACCAGAACAGGTCATGGAAAACATTGTGACACCCTGGCAAGCGGTTGGGTTCCAACCACGCAGAAGCCGAGCCGCGACTTGGATGACGGGGAGGGAGGGGATGCCCACTCACACCAGGGTATTCCCAGTCAATGTCAATACCGTCAATGCCCTCATCCTGAACGAATTGGGCCAAGTTATTGGCAAACGTTGCCCTGTTGTCGATGATGGCCCTTCGGATGATGTTGTACGTTGCCGGCTCCGTCGAGTACGCCCAGCCACCAAGGGATAGGATGCGCTTTATATTTGGCAGCTTTTTGAAATCCTCCCACTGGTCTTTGCCCTCATTAATGACTGGCTTCCACGTCACAGGATCAATGTCGGCGAATCCCCAGTGTATATGTGTATAGGTCCCATCTGTGTTGGCGTCCTTTGCTCTCAGCCGGAGGCAGTCTCGCTTCATGCCAAACGCTTCGTAATAGCCGATCCTTTGAAAGGCCGCAGGGGGGCCGGAGTTGCGCTTGATTTCTGTGCCGCAGTTGGACACGCAGGTATTTTGGTAGCCTCTCTTTTTGCTTCCCGGACCGCCACCATTGGGCTTGTGTACCTGGCAATGGGCTGGGAACACACCACAGAACCCCCAGTTGCTGCAGCAGGCCTTGAGAGGACACGGATTCAGGTCAGCAATGGACGTTGACTTGTCTCTCGGGGGCTTGGTGCCAGGGACCAACGGTCCGCACTGGGTGCCTCGCTGCGGTGGTGGCATTGGTGCTGAGCCGTCACTTATACACATGTTGTAGCCCACGAGCATGTCTTTGCACTCGGTCCAGGCCCAGATCTTGCCCTTGTTCCACTTCTCCAAGTCGGCTACGGTAACTCCGTGTTTTCTGGCAATCTTATCACACGTGTCGCTGTCGTGGATCAGATGGACTGCGCAAGTGCCATCACTGTTTGCCTTGGGCGGCTCGGGTTTCGGCTCCGTGTAGGCTTCGCCCGGTGAGCAGCAGACATGGTCGCCGGGCATGAGGCTGGAGCACAGGTTCGGTCTGGGGTTGTATTTGGAAAATTCGGCAGTGGATATGCCGCATCTTGAGACAAGAGCTGCACAGCCATCACCCGAGACCACTCTGACGTGTCGACAAGTGGCTCGTCGACCAAGAGTTTTGCCTTGTTTGCTACGCAGAGGCCCGAGGTTCGTGGTTGGTGATGAAACATTTCCAGTCCAACTTGTTGCAGCAATCTGCCATACGCCAACGGGAGCCGCCATTCCTGTTGGCCGTAAAGCCTTGTTGGAGGAAGCACATGTGCCTTTGCTCCACGCCAACACGGCCCTTTGAACCGCAGCCAGATTGCCGGTTACATCAACAGATATACCGAAGCTATTTTCTGGTTGCATCTTGCCACTGCAAAGCTCGGCAGTGGTATGACTTGACACGTTTGAGCTGCTGCGCAGGTGGTCGGCCAAAACATGGAGAGAGGACTCGGCTGTTTTCTTGCCGAGGCTGGCACCAATGTAGATACCGGCAACGGTCTTGTGGTGACGGCCGAAGATTATACTCTCGTCGCAGTTGTCCTTTTCTCGGAAGTAACTCTGCATGAGACGCAAGAGGTCAGCAGCCTGGCGTCCAGCTCCAGCTTCCACGAACTCCGTTGTCGAAGCCATGTTGAGCTTTCCCTTGCTTTGCGTGCCGTTGAAGAAACAAGCGGCAGCGGTGCCTAGGCTAGGCTGAAAGAGATTATCGCCTTTTTTAGGGTTGGGTACTACGGCATTCATCGCAGAGGCCGCTTGACGTGATGGCAGTCCGGAGGCGAGCGAGCAACTGCGTATCAAGACGGTCGATTTGGGGTCATCGAGCAGCTGCGCAACAGAGAACTGAAGCAGCATGGGGCTCTTGCAACGCTCCAGACGCTCCACGGAGAGGTAAGGAATCCAGCTGTGAGGATTGGCATAGTCGTTGCATGGAAGCGGGCAATCGTAGTTGTCTGGGTCATACGCATCGACATCACCAGTAGGCGAAGGATCGACGTCGCCAACAGGCCCCGTGGCTTGTGTTCCATCAATATTGAGAGCTGCCTGCACAGCATTGATGCCAACCAAGAAAGCAATGGCTGCAGCCATTCTTCGTGGAAGCCACATCTCGGCTCGTAGCCGAACAAGGATAGAAGAAGAAAGGAAGCAAGACAAAGTCGACGTCTCTATCAAGCCATCACGATGCCGTGTTCCTACCAAAGGCGGTACTTGTACAGTTCCTTCGTCTCTATTTCTTCGCCTCCATTCCTTCGTCTCCACGACTCTTTAGCTTCTACATGTGCGGGTATTGTTGCATGCTCAAGGGGTCCTAGCAAAGGCTTGTCTCGCTGTTGCGGACGACATGGCAAAATGGCTTGGCAGGGATCGGGCACAGAACCTTGGAACATGGAGCGAGTTACGTAAAATAGGGATGTTGAATCAGCAACAATCCTCGTCAACCTTGGGCACTGGAATTGCGACGAGGAGAACGGAGGCTATCTGTAGATGGAAAGTTGCGCGACTCGTTTCTCATCACTGCCGCGAGTGGTGCCGTGAGGCAACGGTTGCAGATACACTCACCGTCTGTGGACTCTTTGCCATCTGTCTAGTCGAGTTGATCATGTATTCATTCACCATCGATGCAGTCCTTTCTTCTCAGTCACTCCGTGCGGACCACATTGGTGAACCCATTTCAGCCCGCTATGCCTTCTACTCCTCCGCTCCTCCGACGATTCCATCACAGCAAAGGGGGGCTCTGCTCCTCGATTCCGACGCCCAAGTCCCCGGCCAGGAGTCCAGGACCGCAAACTGGGATGTATGCGGCCACTCGGAAGAAGTCTTTGTTTGTCCAAGCTCCGCTTCGATATGTAATTACAAACGACCCGCCTTACAAATCAACTGAGATTTGCCATGCTGTTTCTCTTTGACCTTGGCTCGCCCGGCGTCTTCCCAACCTCCGCACTTTGTGTTTTCCTCATCCACACACGAGTCTTCACCAAAGACGGCTGCCACGTCATGACACGCCTTAGTGACATCACGTACTCACAAGAGGCCACGGTCGAGGCCGTGCGTGACTACTATACCTTTCTAACCAGAATGTATCTCGACGACCACCTCGTCAAGGAACCGCCCGAGGGTGGCTGGCCAGGCATCACGGCCGAAAGCATGCGGGGCCTTGGCAAGACGGACCAAGTCATCTCACTCCTTCGCCATCTCCCTTACATCGACTCTCCCGGCTACGACGGTGGCCCCAACGCGCTCCCCAACTGTACATTTGCCGACTGGCACCGTCGAGCGGAGGAAGACGCTTTCCTTGTTGGCTCCGCCGACGCTGCTTGCGCCAGATCGTGCTCCGAGGGCGCCGGCATCTGCGAGGCCGTGCCTCCTCACGTTGTCGGTCTTACCTGGGACAGTGAAGATCGGTACCCCTTCTTGCTCGACACCAAGCTTGGGGTCATATACTGGGTCGATTGCGACTACGACTTGAGGCGCAATTCATGCCGAGAGCGTGTTTGGGATTGTGCCTACGACTATGCTCCTGAAAAGGAGGCCGACGCGTTCCGTGGCGACTCTGGCACGTGGGCTGTTGGGGATTTCTTCGAGGTTCTCAAGGAACAGTACCGGAAGCTGAGATTTCTTCCGCGGAACTCGACGAGGGTGTGCGATGTAAAGGACGGAGAGTACCCGGATGAAGAAGGCAGGAATGAGCTCATAGCTAGCATATATCGCCGGCACGGATGGCCCGATCTGCAGATCTACCGCAAGGATACTTGTCTGGAGGCTATTCGTCGCGCGTTGGCGGAGCATAACTACTCCGACGATAGGTTTTAGACTGTTGATGAGCAAGAACGGCCCATGGTTGTAGCATTGCAAGCACTGATGTTAGTCTCGCTCACGTCGGCAGCTGACGGAACTCAATATCGAGTAGCCCTCCCGCTGGTACAAGGAGATGCGATGCGTCTGGTCCAAGTCCGAGTCCGAGTCCGAGTCCGAGTCCGTGTACGCAAGCACTTCAAGCAGCACCCGCGACGTGAGGACAACAAGACAAATGTAGCTCGTGCCCAGGCCAACAAGGGGCGACCCCCGGACAGCCTCGTGTGGCCAAGGGACATGGCATGCATATATGTATATATATATATATACACCTTTGGCATCCACCATCAACTCTTGTCCAGGTCAAAGACGTCCATCCCTCCTTGGTCAACTCGCCGGCCACACACGACGCCGACAACATGGCGCCCCTTATCGCTCTGACTCACCTCGTCTACGGCGCTGCCGTCGCAACGGCGCTGGATCTCGCCGTCATCTTCCCGACGACCTCGCCGTCCGTCTCTGCGGAACCGCCCGAGTGCCTCATGGAGAACTACACGGAATACCTCGTTGGCCCGAAGCCGACAGGCACCCTGTCCGACGCCATGGCCTCGTACACGGCTGAACTGTTCAAAACATGCACCCTGTCCCCGGAGGAGTGGCTGAGCTGCCCGTTCCCGGAAAGCTCGCGGGTCTGCGCATTCTCCAGCGCGGGCCCATCCGAGGTGATGTCGGCCTACTCTGATTTTGGGAGCTCGGCCTCGTCGTGGTGGTTCGCGCGCAGCTTCATGGCCGAACAAGTCGCCTTCAGCTGCCCCTCCCGCTGGTACAAGGAGATGCGTCTGATACCATTCGCGGCCATCAAGCTGAACGAGACCATTTCGTTCGCAAAATGCTTCATCAAGGACGTCACCACTGTTGCGTCAGAGTCGAGGCCGACGGCGACGTCGATGGCTCCGTCGACGGCGCCCAAGGCCGGGACGCCTTCTGCGGCACGAGAGACGGGAGCGTCGTCCGAGTCGTGGGCAGCGCGAGGAGAGGGATGCAATCTCGGGCTGTTTGCCGTGGCCGCCATGGCAACCTTGATGCTTGCCTAGGCGCAGACGGCACGTCGTGGGTCAACGGCCGTGGAGGTGGATGTGGTGCGGATAGGAAGCAGGAAGTTGGTGGAACAGAAAACATGACGAATCATGTAGTGGTTAGCTTTTGATTTCCTGCAATACATGGGTATCCGTCGATGGGGGCGCATCGCCAAGACAGATCCCAGGTTCCAGATCCCCCTTCTCGTCGGTCGAAGCAACAGCATCTCCGCAGCAAGAGTGGGCCGAGCACGGCCAAGTCGACGAAGATCAAGGTCTCGTCCATGAAATCGTCCATGCCAAGCGGCCGAAGCCCGAACTCGAACCACCTTGCCTGTGCTGTGGTCTCATGGCCACGGCCAAGGCCCATCCCACGAGCAAGCGGGTGGTCGGTCAGTCAGGCCCTGGCCGCGCTCCGTGATGGGGAGATGGCCGAGGAAAGGGCAAGAATGTTGGAAACAAAAGCCGTACAAGTGGCAGCCCTCGAGGAGACAACATGATGCGTCTACACGTCTGATCCAACAGACATCTCAGTCAGGCCTTGTACGCTCCCTCGCAACTCGCCAAGCCCGGTTACAGCTAGCTGCCGGCCAAAACATCCTGTCCAACATGCTCCAGCAATCAGTCGGCTTTGCTTCCCTCCTGTCGCTCGGTCTAGCAAGTGTCGCTCAGGCGACAGAGGCCACCAAGCGCGGCCATCTTGGCCAAAGACCCAGGATGCCCTACGACCCCAACACGGCGGCCAATTGTACATGGTGGATCGACAATGACGGTTCAAAGAAATGCGAAGACATGCCCGAGTATTCGGGCATCGACATGGTCGACTGGCTGACGTGGGCAAGTCGCGACGACCTGGCGGCGGTCGACGGCCGCTCTCCAATGTTGAAGCTGCCTCTTGCAAGAAAACGCTGCTAACCAGGCGAGTACTCCAGAACCCTTCCCTCACGCCCGACTGCGGAAACTTCCTGGCGGGGAGGTCGTACTGCGTCGAAGCAAGGAGCGTCCTGCCAACGGCGACGACCTCGTCAACTCCCGCTGAGCCGACGAACCCGTCGCCCACGCAGGCCGGCATCCCGACTTCCTGCAACAAGTTCTACAAGGCCGGCCGAGGCGACACTTGCCAGGGCATCGTGGACAGGCACGGTGTGGAACTACACGACTTGTGAGGCCTCCCGCTTCTCTAGTCTCGTCCTCGACCGCGTGCTGATCCCGAAAACAGCTACAAGTGGAATCCTGCAATCACAGGCGGTTCGTCAAACCTGCTACCCCATGCATGCTGTTGACTCGTCATAGCCCAGGACTCACTCACCTACTCTTCATCCCAGACTGCGTCGGCCTCTGGCAAGGCTACTACTACTGCGTCGGCGTCCTTCCGGCCTTTGAGCTGAGAGCCTTCTATCATGCCGGCTGCACCGGGAAGCAGCATGGCCGAGTAACCATGGCCAGCGGAAGCCATGGAGCCTGTTTCGACACAGACTGTCAGGTGGCCTCCTTTAACGTGTCCGCAGTAGGTGACTGTCCGCACGGTCAAGTGCAGATCAGCTATTGGGAGCAGCCAGGCTGCACGGGGAAGTGGTTTGGCTACGGCTACACGAGCCGGGACACTTGCCGCACGCTGTGGACCGAGGGTTGGAAGTTCAAAGCTGTCCATCTTCGATGTGCGCGCGAGAAGGACGACTGTGTGAGCAACAAGACTTGTACTTATGATCCAGAGCCCTCGCGTGGGATTTGCATGTAGTTGAACAAGGGCTGGTCACTTGGACGAGGGCTCGGAGTAGAGACTCAGATTCGCACATGTTATCATGTGGTCTCAAAGGTCCTTGGTTCCTCGAGCTGAAGGGCCCGGCCGGCGAGGGCTATATATTATATACACAAGAAGGCGCCTGTGTGTGACCCGACCAGATGACCGAGGCTGCGTTGTACCTACTGTAGATTAGACTCATGAGGTATATCAAGTTACCCTGTAGCATGCTGCGCCTTTTTACCTCGTGAAACTGACAATGCCAATTCAGCAAGAATCGTCCGGTTTGATTAATCGTACTGTCGCTTTTTGCCCCTGGTGGTGCAGTGATGCGAGGTTAAGCTAAAATCTGTAGCTTCAAGAATCGGCCTTGGGACCCTGTTCAAACGCGTCTAATTCTTTAGTTTATTTCCTACACAGCGTGGCAACTATTCTGCTCCCATTCCAACAACTTGCCACCATCGCACGACTCGCCTCGACGCACAAGACGCAAACACTCGCCGATTTATTCGCAGTTTCTAACCACCCACGCAATCCTTCAACCCAAAGCGTGCGTTGGGGTCGAGCAAAGCAGAAACCTCGTCCCGCGCATCATAAGGTGGCGTCGTCTTCATCCTCGACGACACCAAGTCTTCCCCCATCATCCCCTGGACCAGAGACCGGGATGAGCGCTGGAGTCTCACGTCCACCCTGTGTCGATACTCCTCGTATTCCGCTCTGGAAATAGTCGCATACAGGTAGCGAGGGTGGACGAGGAGTGCCTGTGCCCCTTTCTGCCCGAATCCAAAAGACGTCACGGAACATGCTTTGAGGTGCCCCTGGCCGCTGGTTCCCACCGTCTCGCCGGGAAACCACAAGTACTGGTGCTTTTGCAGATCCTCGTCCACGTTGTCGGCGTTTCTGTTGCCGGGTATCCGTCCGGAGTTCATCATCTGAAGGCAGCCGTTGATCATCCAGGCGCCCGCGGCCCCCTTTGGGTGTCCCGTGAGCCACTTCTGACATACGCACGGCAAGAGATTGCCCTGCCGGCGGCCCAGGTGGCGCATCTGTTCCTGAATCACAAACGCCTCGTTGGTGTCGTTCTGGACGGTCGACGTCCCGTGGAGAGACGCGACAGATATGTCGTCTACTCCCAGGCCCCATGTTGCCAGCGACCCTCGGATCGGCGACGTGCGCTTTGACGCGTCGCTTCTCCAAAAGTTGTTGCCCAGACCGAAAGCGGCTTCCTTTTCCTGGCGCCGACCTTCTTCCATGATGGCAGCGGCACGACTCTCCCGGTACTGGTCCAAGTCTTGCTGCACGAGGTGCAAGCTTGACGCCCTCAACAGGTCAACCTCGGACTGGAGCTGGTCCAGGCCGTCTTGAACATACTCGGCAATCTGCTCCCTCCGTCGCAGCAGCATCATACGTCGATGTTTCAGATTCCACAGCGGCCAGGCGACGGCGTCCGTCCTCGGCTTGGACGTGCCTGGCAGGACCGACTCCTGCGCGTTGCCGACGACTCCTATTCCTGGTGCCGGCACGGAGCGGCCGGACTTGTCCGCCGACAGGTTTGTGTAGGCGACGATACCAAAGACGGGCAGGCCCATCTGGAGTGCCAACTCTGCCGATGTCAAGACTTGGACGCCGCAGCCTTGGGCTTCGACGAAGCCGCTTCGAGTCGACGCCGTGGGCCGCGACATCTCGCGGGGCTCTCTTCCGGCCGCGGTCTCGGCGTCCGTGTTGCATGTGGCGTTCATGGATCCGAACTCGAAAGAGAGGTCCTCGACAAAGTCTTCCGCCCCGCCGACCAGGACGACCTTGGCCTTGCCAGAGACGATGAGGTCGAGCCCGGTGTCCAGGGACTCGAGGGACGTGGCACATGCCCCGACGGGCGTTTTTATAGGCCCCGACGAGGACATGAGGAGCATGTTGATCCACGCCCCTGTTGTGTTTATAAAGGTTTCCTGGAGAACGTCGGGCTTGACCGGCCCGTCGAGGAAGCGGTCACGGTGCATCTGTCTCAGCGACGACAAGCCGCCCATGCTTGAGCCGGTGCAAATTGCGAGCTGGGAGACGTGGATATTCCGGTACCACTCGTAGGGGTCGACGATTCCGGCGCAAAGCAGCGCCTCCACGGTGCAGACCAGCGAGAACAGAGTCACCGGGTCGACTTGCTCGATGATGTCGTCTTGGATGCCGTATCTCCTCGCCGACCACCCGGTTGGGATTTGGCCCGCCACGGTGCGGTTGAAACAGGACGACCGCGGCACCATGACGGTCGCTCCGGCTCTCAGTTGCACATGCCAGCGTCCGGCTGCGTCTTTGGACGCCGACGCTGTGTCGCCGTGCTTCCGGAGCATCTCCTCGGCAATCTCTGGCGTCGCTTCAAAGGGCGGGAGATCGTGTTGAAGCACAATCTCTTGCACCGTCTCCTTGTGCTCCGGGTCGTAGTGGTTGTCGCACATTGACGGCTCAATCTTCCGCAGACCCGTGTGCCGAAGCATGGTCGCCATGTATCGCGCGTAGATGTCGACGTCGTTGACGGCCTCGCAAGTCTCGGCGTCCATCCAGCCGGCAAAGTGTGTGCCGTCGAGCCCGATCCCAGAACGATGCTTGATCAGGCCCATCATCCAGGCCATCTCGACGGAGCCTTCTACCGACAGCATCCCGTCTGCCTCCATGTCCCAGCGCGTGCGGCTGTTGCCGTGCGGTCCCAGCTCCGAGAAGCCGGTTATGACGGCGACGCGGCTGAGGTCGACCATGCCTTGGAGCGACGCCGCCAGAGGGGCGATGTCTTTGTCATAGTCTGGCAAGCTGGGGCGCGTGAATTGGACGTTTGAAAGCACGCCCAAGGTGCCGAGCGGCGCGGGAGTTGCGGTTGCTGAGCTGGGACCGGTGACGACGGCCTTTTCCTGGGCCTTTTCTGCCTCTATCGCCTTTCGTACGTCCGACTCGATTCGTAGCCTGTTTCGAATACTTTTCAGCATTTCCGAAAGCCCCTTGACTTGGCAGAAACCGCCGCCCAGATCTGCGACCAACGGTCCGAACTGGCATTCTGCATTGATACATCCGCCCATCAGCGTGAGGATGTTGTCGGCCATCTCGCGGACACCAAAGGTTTCGACTCCCATGGCTTCCACGAACTGGGCTGCAGCGTCGTTGCCTTCCATCAAGCCTGTCCCGCGTGTCCAGCCGATGACGACGCCGAGGACGGACATGTATTCTGCCCAAGACTCCGAGTACCACTTGGCGAGTAGCGGCTCCAGCGCCTTTTTGGATTCGCCGTACAGCCCATCGCCCCCGAACAGGCCGTGGTTCGGGGACAGAGGAAGCACAACCGTCGCCGGCCTGTTGAGCGTGCCCTGCCGCTGCTTGCTTCTCGCAATGAGTCCCAGCATGCGGAGCAAGTTGGTCAGCATGGCCCGGTGTGCGAGTTCCGATCTGGAATCCAGGCTCTGCAGATTTCTTCCATGTTCGCTGACGGCTGCAAAGGGAACGACGAAATCGAGATCCCACGCCTCGTCCCCCTGAATCCAACGCACCAAGTTCTGGATGTCGTTGTAGCTTCCTTGGTTGAACGGCACGACTCGCAACACCGACCCCTTTGCGCCGTGCTTGACATAAAGGTCGCGGTACATCCGTGTTGTCTCTGGTGAGAAACTGCTCGTCGTCACGGTGACTCTCGCGCCGCCCCTGAGGAGGCCCCGGATGATGTTTACCCCGATAGAGTCCTTCCCGGCACCGGTGACCAAGACGTTTCGCCTGGAAAAGGTGAAGCCGTCGTTTCTGGCGCCTTCTCGATCCTTTGCATACGCCAGACTGAGGTCGGGGGAGAAGGTGGCCACGCCATCCCGGAACCTGCGCACAGGGAAGTCGACGCCCGGCGATACCTCTTCGTGATTCAATATTTTGCAGTTGACACCCCGGGGTACCTCGGACGTAGTTATATTCCCCGTCTCGTCCATTACCGTTACGGGTGCCATGCTTGGAGCACCGGGCCGGTAGACGGGGTCTTTTTCTATGGACAACAGACAAGACCTATATAGCAGACTCAGGCCATTTTCAAGCGAAGCGTCCTTCTCTACCTGATGTTGGACATGTCGTATATGGGCCAGTGATCGGCTGCAAGCCCGATTCGTGATGGTACCAGCAAGCTCTGCCAGCTCGGCCTCGTGCTGCGTACGGCCCTCCTTCCAGAGAACGCAGAACCTTTCTACATCCTGAGCACTCCAGTTCCAGTACGAGTCGTACACGCGTAGTTTCTTAATGTCAAACATGGGCTTGATGCCCTCGGCGTAGTCGTCGCCGTGCTCGGAAAGCCACAGGGACAAAGACTCGGCGGCGGCAGCTTGCTCACTGTCCTCCTCGCGGCTGTTGTTTGCCGCGGTCTGCGCCGACTCTCGGCCGACATGGTTGTTCAGCACGCTGGCAATATCCCTCATGAGTGAAGCAGTGCCTTCGCCAACAGGCCGCGTCGCGTTGCCGTCAACAAGCCCGTCACCGAATCCGCGGGAATCGAGTGCGCGTGTCTGGGGAACAGCCAGATCTTGATGCCGGTAGTATTCTTTGGCGACGTCTGAAAAAAACGCCTCAGTCTCTCGGGCATCGACGAGCCGGGACACGGGCTGCTTGGACGCAGCAGTCAGGAGAACCGCATCCTGTCTCATGGGGCCCAGACCCCATCGTTCTTCGAGGAACCGACGCAGGGACGGCTGGCCATAGCTGCCGGGGAGCTTCGAGGACAGGAACTTGAATATGAGCGACGTCGCCGGCTTGCCCAGACGCCCGTCGTGCGTGGACTCGAGGCGCAGGCAGAGTTGGTCTAATGGAATGTTTTCTGGTTGCGGCACACCGTATCCAAACTCTTCCTGCAAGTCTCCCACGAGCTCGTTCGACAGTGCGGATCGTCCCTCGGTGAGCTCGGTTATCGATTTATGCGTTTGCAGGCTTGCCAGGCCTCTCTTGAGCTTCAACGCTACCATGACTGGCAAAATCGCCGAAGGGGGGGTACACACATCGGGCAGCATCTGCGCCGGCTCCATAGAATACCTTGTTTCCGGGGGTTTCGGTCCGGCATGAGCAGCAGCTTCTCTCGACGGTGTGACCTGAGGGGTTCCAACTTCAAGGGAGTCTTGTGATACATCAGCGGCTTTGCCTTGCTCCGAGGCATCCATCCTGTAGTATATGTCGTCTAGGCTATCCGCTGGTCCGAGAAACTGGCGATTGATGCCGTGGCATCTGTCACTCATGAGGAACTGCTCGTTCCATGTCCGTCTCATCATGTTTGTCAGGATATTCGATGGCCCAACCTCCACCACTCGCCGCGCATTTGCTTCTCGCAGGATGTGCTCCTGTGTCTCTATCCTGTTCTCCCGAGTCTGGTCAATGGATCTACTTGAAATGAAGCCAAAAAGGACATTGGCTTTCGTTTATTAGCACGTGCCCGGGGTAAGCTTCAACATACCATCTTACTGGATAGGCAAATTGGTGACTGTGTTTATTGGCGGACGCGTGTTAGAACGGGTAGGCATTTCTTTGTTTACAGGCAACTCACGCTAATAGCTCTACCAGAAGAACATGACACAAATCTCTCCGTGTGTCTGGATGCATGGTTGACTCAGAATGCCGATGTTGTGGACAAAGATGAAGGAATCCCTTGGGACCCCACGGGCAAAATAAACGACACAGAGCATGGCAGAAACAATGTCTAGTCTGTCATTTGCCACAGTATTCCAGACCACAAGGGGCTTCCGTAATGCGCGGTAGGTTTTCTACCCATAGTACTCCGTACTCCGTATGTCTCAACGGGTCTGCCATAACGTTGATCCAAAAGAATCCGGCAAGACATTTCAGCCACGGCAACAAGGGACTGTCGCAGGCTGCAAGAGCGTACCCTTGTCTGCCTTTAACCGAGCCATGTATGAAGCCGCCCCGTAAGCACCAAAGGGTGCATGAGTCGCAGTAGGGCGAGTGTAAGGGAAAGTTTCCTCCGCTCGGTCAAACTGTCTCGTCACCTTCGAGACATCTCAGACTGGGCATTAATCCCGCACCCTGAGTTGCCTGGCCAGAGGTATTGCCCGATATTTCGGCAGCCAATCTTGGCCAACACTGACGACACTATCAGCAAACGCGGCTGGGACTCTTGCGCTGTTGACTTTCTTTTTTGGACTCAACGTTCGAAGCGGCTCTATGGGTCAATCCCACCCAGTCTTAATGCAACATCATCGTTTCAAGGACGAGGCGTTGCGCACCGCTTGCAAAGGCTACCCCAAGGGTGAAGATACTCATCACCCTCGCCCTGGAGCCAAGTCAGGTATATAAGGGATTCACCGTTCAGCCCGTGCCACAAGTCCATTCCGTCGAATGCGTACATTACTCAGTCAACTACGGAGTACTCGACGAATCCTTCACCACGCATCATGAGTACTGCAAGTGCTCCTCCTTCTGGGACAAGCCCATGGGGTCTGGTGTTGTGTCTGACGTTTCTCGCGGTACGTAGAATGGCCACTGCATGCTCAAGCAGCGGGTAGAACAATCAGCTGAGTATCAAGTCAGGCAGCAACCTTCTATGTCAAACAGTTTGTTTGGCATCCCCTGGCGCCGTATCCCGGGCCGCTGCTGGGACGCTGTTCAAATCTCTACGCTGCGTACCATGCCTGGCGAGGAACCGTGCATACGGATATGTACCGCTGTCATCGGAAATACGGTACGCCTTTGCAAGCACATCTCGAGCCAGGTGACGGGAAATGTTGACAACCAGAGCAGGGCCCATTGTGCGGTATGGGCCTTCACGAATTGTCGTAGACACCAACACCGCAGCCAAAGGTAGACAGATGACTCTCGGTACACGTCTCTGGGCGCACCACGTCCGTCACACCAAGTCGAAACCTAACACATGCCTGTGTGGTAGACATATACTCGCATGGCGCAAACGTGTCGAAAGCACCGGCATACAGCGTCCTATCGCACGGCGCTCCGAGCATCATCACCCTTCGCAACAAGGAGGAGCACTCGTGGCGACGGCGGGTCCTGAGCTTTGCGCTGTCTGATGCCACGATAACGTCATACGAGAGTACTATCCGCAAGCATCTCGACAGGCTATGCGGAATTCTGAGGGAGAGTATCCAAGTCGAAGAGGAGCCACTCGATATGTCCCGGCAATGTACGTGCCACCATGGCCTGCCTTGACAAACGTCTACTAACAGTGGCTCTCGTATGACAAAAGGCGACTATTACACCTTTGACGTCATGTCCGAGGTCATTTTCGGCATCGACCACAACGCCTTGCAGCAGTCTACGTATCGATATGCCGTCAAGGCACTGGCGGACTCCAACGTGCGACTCGGCGCCCTCTTTCAGGCTCCCTCCCTCGCCACGGCAAGGCTAGACAGGTATCTGTTTCCCACTGCGATCCAAGGCCGCCACAAGTTCGTTGGGTTTCTTGGCTCGCTGCTGCGGAAACGAGCAACGGCACCACGTCCGCAGGGTGGTGACGTGTTTTCCTTCCTGGAGACGGCCGAGGACACAGACGGAGGCAAGGCCTTGGACAAGTCGCAGATTCGGGCCGAGTGCGCTGCTTTGGTAGTTGCCGGGTCGGATACGTCTTCCACAACTCTGTCCGCAACCCTATTCTACCTGAGTAGGAATCCCAAGACGTACCGACGAGCCGCCGACGAAGTGAGAGCCTATTTCACTGCTGCCGAGGAGATATCCACCGGGCCACGGCTCAGCTCGTGCTTCTACCTCCGCAGCTGTGTCGACGAGGCCCTGCGCATGTCTCCTCCTGTTGGCGCTGCTCCGTGGAGAGAAGTAGGGACGGGAGGCATCCGGCTCGGATCGCTTGAGCTGCCGGCCGGCGTTGAAGTCGGAACTGGGATATACAGCCTCCATCACAACGAGACATACCACAGCGATCCCTTTGAGTATAAGCCAGAGCGGTGGATTGCTGACGAGGGCGGCTCAACGAAGGAGTCGGTTGAACTTTCCAGAAGCGCGTTTATCCCCTTCTCCCGGGGTCCAAGAAGCTGCGTCGGGAAAGGCTTCGCGTACCATCAGGTGACTCTGGCCTTGGCACGGATTCTCTGCGAATTCGACTTTTGCGCGGCTCAGGAGCCTGCGCCCAAGGGGAAGACCGGAGAGGGCGGCAGCCAGGGAACAGCTGAGTTCAGGTTACGAGACCACGTTACCGGAGCCAAGCAAGGCCCTGTCCTGCGGTTCCGTCTGCGTGGCCGACCTTGACGGTTGTCCAAGACATGTAATACCAGATGACCCAGATCTCAATAGACTAGTGTTTCCAGCAACCCGGTGTACCATGGTTCATGAAATTGCGTCGGTGCAGCGAGGACGCCGGGCGCAGTGGCGCTTGTGAAAAGCAACCATTGCACCGAATACTCATGCCAGCGAGATATTTCGGGACAAGAATGCGAAAGGGGAGCGTGAGAGCCGGGCGGGTTGTTGAAAACACGGGACATGCACTCGTCACTTACACGGCAGCGTGGGTTTTCCGTACCGCACACAACACCACCACTGCCCCCCTTTTGCCCCTTTGGTTTCCGGGAATGCACGTAGTTGCAGCAGTGGCTCACTTATGAGACACCTTCTCCCGATGTGGACGTCCTGTCTTTGTTACCCGTACACCCATGGTGGGAAAAGGTCCTGTATCTGAAGACAAGAGAATATAGCTAACCTTGCACGTCTCGTGTAGTTATTTGCCAACCTATGGCCAAGAAGCGGCCGACATCTTCTCTCCATCGGCAACCTGCCCCCATAGTTGTAGCAGAGACTTGAGCAGCCGTTGACGTTCAGGTTCATGTCTTGCTTGACCTGATGAGTTCATCGGCACAAGATATAATTTGTCTTCGTTCCGCAGTTCAATACGCATCTATTTGCTGAGCATGACGGCCGACAGTCTTCTCAGCATGGATGGACACCATCCGAAGGATGGAATCCGCCAAGTTTGGGCATTCAACAAGGCGCAGCCTCCTACAGTCGACGAATGCATCCACACCACCATCGCCTCGAGAAACGCCAGGCAGCCGGGCAAGGTAGTCGTTCAAGCGTGGGACGGACTGCTGACATTCAGCAGCCTGAATCAGCTCTCGGAAAGCTTAGCAGGTCACCTTGCTTCCCACGGCGTTGGCCCCGAGGTCATTGTCCCGGTATGTTTCGAGAAGTCCGTCTGGATCGTCGTGGCGATGCTGGGCGTGCTGAAGGCCGGCGGGGCTTTCACTCTCATCGACCCAGGCCTTCCCGAGGAACGGGTGCGAAGCATATGCCTGCAAATCCGAGCCAGGACGGCCGTCACATCCATCTCGTGCAGGACGTTGCTCGCGAGTTTGGCGGACAACATTGTGGCTGTTGACTCGACGCTCTCGGAGCGTAAATTTCCAACACTGCCCGTCTCGCCGTCCTCTCCGACGAATGCTGCCTATGTCATTTTCACCTCGGGCAGTTCTGGACAGCCCAAAGGCTGCGTCGTCGAGCACCGGGCGTTCTGCTCCGCGGCTCTCACCCATGGCTCCTTGCTCAACATGGACCGCGATACACGGTCTTTGCAGTTCAGTTCCTATGCCTTCGGCGTATGTCTGTTGGACGTGCTCGCCACCCTGATCGTTGGCGGCTGCGTCTGCATCCCGTCGGAAGAGGAACGCAGTGTCTCTCTGCTACCGGCAGCGATTCGCAAGCTCGACGCAAACTGGGCCTTGTTCACCCCGTCGACGCTGGCTCACCTCCGTCCGGAAGACGTGCCGAGTCTGCGGACCATCGTCCTGGGTGGCGAAGCTGTCCAGAAATCGCAGATTAAAGAGTGGTCCTCCCGGTTACACCTGAGATACGGCTATGGCTCCGCGGAAACATGCGTGGCCATGTCGTCACTGCAGTTGGGCCAGACTTCGGCTTCTAGCGACGTTGGACGTGTAGCCACCGGACGCTGCTGGATAGTTGATGAGGCGGACATCAACAGTTTAGTCCCCGTCGGGGTGCCTGGGGAGCTCGTATTCGAGGGGACGGCCACGGGGCGAGAATACCTCCATGACCCGGAGCAGACGTCTCGTGCCTTTATACCGGCGCCGTCTTGGAGAGCCTCGTTTGGCCCTTGTGAAGCTGCTTCCCGATTCTACAGGACGGGCGACCTGGCCGCGTTTAAGCCCGACGGATCGATCCAGCTTTTGGGAAGAAAGGATACGCAGGTCAAGATCAATGGCCAACGTATTGAGATTGGCGAGGTTGAACACCAAGCAAAGCTGTCGACCCCCATTATAAAGGACGTTGCTGTGGAATTTGCCGTGCTCAGCAGCAGCAGCAAGAAAAGTCCCGAGTTGGTAGGATTCCTTGTGCTGGAAGACGACGAGCCGGGAGACGAAGCCAACCCCAAGGCCACAAAGATGCGAGATGCCAGCGAAGCGAGCTATGATAACCGGGCCATTTCCGCCATCCAGGGAGTCCAGGCAAGGTTACAAAGAGTATTACCGCACTTCATGGTGCCGTCTGTACTCGTCATCTTACACAGTCTCCCGAAGACGCCAACGGGCAAAGTTTTCCGCAAGCAGCTCCGGGAGATTGCCTCGGCGATGCCGCCGCACCAGATAGCGAGGCTTCGCTCATTCGCGAGGGGGGACATACAGCCGCCGCGCACAGAGCAAGAGGCGTGCCTGAGGGATCTCTGGTCGCTTGCCTTGAACATGGATGCAGATGTCATCGGGGTTGACGACAACTTCTTTCTCCTGGGCGGCGACTCAAAGGCAGCGATACGACTGGTGGGAGCAGCCAGCAATATCGGGCTCACGATGGCTGTGGCGGATGTCTTTCGGAGACCAGTGCTATCAGCCATGGCCCAGATACAGTTTATCAGGACCAAGGAGGACCCAAGCGCACAGCATGTTGTGCCATTTTCGCTCCTGAGAGACGCCAGACCGGCCGCCGAGGTTTGCAAAGAACTCTCTGAACTCTGCTCCATAGACCAATCGCTCGTCGAAGATGCGTATCCTTGCACGCCAATGCAGGAGGGACTTCTGTCGCTCTCGTCGAAAGGCGTCGGCGACTATGTGCAGCAAATAGTGCTGGAAATGTGTGATGGGGTAGAGTTGGATACGTTTAGGACGGCATGGGAGCATGCATTTCGGTCAACAGCCATTCTCCGGACCAGAATTGTGCAGCATCACCAACACGGCCTCGTACAAGTCGTGTGTAAGGACACTATCGACTGGACGCGGCACAGCAACTTGGAAGACTACCTTGCCCGGGATAGAATGACGGTCATGACTTTGGGAAGCCGCCTTTCACGCTACGCTGTAGTTGGAGACGAGAAGACGGCTTCAAGGCGTTTTGTCTGGACTCTACACCACTCGATCCACGACGGATGGTCGCTTCCTCATGTGATCGACTTGGTTGCTGAGGCATACCGAAACAGGGGCCCCGTGAAGCGGCCAGAGTTCAACGTCTTTGTCAAACACGTCGTCGGCGAGCCGCGCGAGGAAGCCGAGGCCTACTGGCGATCGTACTTGGCAGACGGAGATTTCTCCCCTTTTCCCTGCCTGTCGCCATCAATGCGAGAGCCTGCGGCGAACTCGAGCCTGGAACTCAAGCATCGGGTCTCACTCGGGCGGAACACGCAGCTGACCGCGTCGACACTGATACGAGGAGCTTTGGCGATCCTCATAAGTCGCTACACCGCGTCCAAAGACGTCATATTCGGGGCCGTTTTGTCAGGCCGGAACGCCCCCGTCACGGGCATCGAGAACATCATCGGACCTACCATCGCAACGGTCCCCATAAGAGTAAGGTTAGAGCCAAATCAGTCCGTCCTGCATTATCTCCAGGCGGTGCAACAGCAGGCTACAGACATGATTCCATTCGAGCAGATGGGCTTGAAGCGAATTGCAAAGTCAAACGGCAACGGCCAGAGCGGCTGTGCCTTTCAGACATTGCTCGCGGTACAGCCAGAGAGCAGCATCAATAACGACGGCACCCTTGGACAATGGAGGTTATCCTCTGCTCAGCCATCCGTCACCACGTATGCTCTTGGGCTGGAGTGCTTCATAGGCAGGGGAGAAGTGGCCATCAAAGCCGTCTTTGACTCGGCGGTCCTGAGCGTGTGGCAAGCAGAGCACATGCTACGTCAGCTTGACCTTGTTTTGACGCAGCTAGAGAGCGCCTCGCCGGAACAGATGGTCAGCGAGATTGTCGCACTCACAGAAGAGGACGAGAAAACCGTCTGGGCGTGGAATCAAACGGTGCCCGGCGCGGTCGACCGCCTCCTACACGATCTCGTCCGCGAGCAAGCCTTGGCAACACCAGAAGCTCCAGCAGTGTGTGGCTTGGATGGCAGCTTTACGTTTGGAGAGTTGGATGAGATTTCCGCGCGCTTAGCAGCCCATCTTATCCAGCTTGGCGTCTCCCAGGGAACTTTCGTGCCTATCTGTTTTGAAAAGTCGGCATGGGCCGTGGTAGCGATGATGGGCGTTTTGAAAGCTGGAGGGGCATTTGTTCCTCTTGATCCCCAGCAGTCCGACGAAAATCGATTCCTCGTGTTGGGCAAGACGCAAGCTTGTGTTGTTCTGACATCCGAATCTTGCAGCAGCATCTCGTTGCCAACAGGTTGCACGGCCCTCGCCGTAACGGAGGATAATCTCCGTAGAGCACCGGAACTTGACAAAGGTGTTATCCCATCAACCACCAAGCCAGATTCTGTGGCATACGTTATATTCACGTCGGGGAGCATGGGTCAGCCTAAAGGCGTCGTCATCGAACACCGAGCCATTTCAAGTAGCTGTCTGCGCCACGGCCCCGTGTACGGCATTGCTCCGACATCCAGAGTTCTTCAGTTTGCCTCGTACACGTTTGACGCGTGTATCTTCGAAATCTTTATGACGCTTATCCATGGAGGATGTGTCTGCGTGCCATCAGAAGAACAGAGATTGGGGGACTTGACCAGCGCAATGGACGACATGTCAGTCAACACAGCGTTTCTTACTCCCACGGTGGCCCAGACTATCCAACCCGAGAGCGTCCCCGCTCTCCATACCTTGGTAATGGGGGGCGAAGCAGTCGCCAAAGCCGATTTCGATAGGTGGGATGGGTTGTCCAGGCGGTTCAACGGCTACGGTCCAACCGAGACGACGGTGATAACAGTTGTTGACTCGTATCGCAGAGACGCTGTCGGCAACAATAGGATCGGCAAGGCAGTTGGATGCGCCGCTTGGGTGGTTGATCCATGGGACCATCAGAGACTGGCGCCGCTTGGAGCCATTGGAGAGTTGCTTATTGAAGGTCCATCGCTGGCACGAGAATACCTCCAAGACACGCCCACGACAGCGGCGGCTTTCATCAGTGATCCTCCGTGGCTACTAGCAGGTTGTGGCGAGTCATCCGGCCGGAAGGGAAGGCTGTATAAGACTGGTGATTTGGTTCGCTACAACCACGACGGCAGCTTGAGCTTCATTGGCCGCAAGGACAGTCGCCTCAAGGTCGGCGGTCAATGGTTGGACGTTGCCAAGATGGAACACCAAGTGCGGAATTGCTTGCCATCAGGCACCAAGGCGGTTGTAGAGATGATAGAGCTGGCGGGCTCCAGGAATAAGAAGATGCTGGCCGTGTTTATACAGACATCCGGACAGGAAGACAGCGGCAACAAAGCAAACAGCACGGTGTTGGCGATGCTACCGGTGGCAGCCGGGATAGACGTATTGCGTCTTCAACCGGACTTGGAATCGGCCATTTCCCTGAGCGTCTGGGTCAATACGATTTCCATGGTCTACTTCGGCGTTGCTCGCTTTCCAGTCATGGCATCGGGGAAGACGGATCGAAAACGGCTCCGCGAGATGGCCTCGATGCTTTCGTCACAGAAACTCTCGGAGCTTCAAGCAGCGGCTGGTCAGGGGAGCCGGCGACCGCGAACAGAGATTGAGCGTCTCCTACAACATTCATGGGCTCAGGTACTCAACATCAAAGCCGACAGGATCGGTGTGGATGACAACTTTTTCCATCTTGGTGGCGATTCAGTCACCGCCATGCAGGTTTCTGCCATTGCCCGGGCCTCTCTAATAGATGTATCGACCGCGGACATCCTTCGTAGGAGAACGATAGCCAAGATAGCAGCCACTGCGAAAGATACACGGCAACTGTCAGTCATGGAACTCGACAAAGGTACGAAAGAGAATGACGCAGTGCCATTCGACTTGAGCCCTATTCAGCAGCTGTATGTGCAGCATGAGAGAAATCACATTGGGTCTTTCGACCAAAGCTTCTTCCTCCGGCTTTCAAGTCCGGTTCAATACCGGTGCCTCAAGAAAGCAATGGAGATGGTCGTGTTAAGACACCCTATGCTGCGAGCCCGGTTCAGCCAAACAAGCGCCGGTAAATGGGAACAACATGTTGTTGACGACCTCTCAAGTTCGTTGCATATATGTCTGAACAACGGTATGGACTCGTCGCCAACGGAATTCGAAAAGGCTTTGGCAATTCGTCGATGCCGTGAGACGCTCGACATCGAAAAAGGTCCGTTGGTCGCATCCGTGGTGTTCAACGATGCGGACGCCACGAGCATCTTCATCTCTGTACACCACTTAGTTATCGACTTGGTATCGTGGCGCATCCTTCTACGGGAGCTGGAGTGGCTACTCAGCTCCAATCACACCCCTTTGCCGCAAACGTTGAGTTTCCGAGCATGGTGCAAGTTGCAAGCGCAGTATTCCGCTCACAATCTAGAATCTGTCGCGCCGGCTCTGGATTCCACGTTGCCGCCACCGCTCTTGTCCTATTGGGGCGTCGACAAGGACTCGAATACCCAAGAAAAGACTGTGAAAAGGGGGTTCAAACTCGATGAATCAACAAGTACGGCGGTTCTCGGCCGCTGCAACAAGGCGTTCGCAACAAGGCCCGTCGAGTTGCTGATGTCAGCTCTTATCCATTCTTTCAGTGCCACATTTGCGGATCGTCCGCCGCCGACCGTCTTCAGTGAAGGCCATGGCCGCGAGACGTGGGATCGTGACATTGACATTTCGAGCACAATAGGCTGGTTCACGACGCTGTGGCCCGTCCAAGCGCACCATTCCGCTGACCAGAGCCTCCTCGACACCACTCGCCGGGTCAAGGACGCCATCAGGGGACTGTCTATGAATGGCTGGGCGTACTTTACGTCCAAATTCGCAAATGAAGAGAAGGCCAGGGTCAACGCTTCAGATTTTCCAGTTGAAGTCATATTCAATTTCGCCGGCTCTTTCCAACAATTTGAGCGAAGCGAATCGGTCTTTGATCCTTTGCCAATTCCAGACGAAAGTCACCCGTCTGCCTTCTCGGAGCTAAAGCGGTTCGCACTGTTCGATATTGCTGCCTCCATAAACAAGGAGTGCTTGAATGTAGACTTTGTTTATAGCGCTGAGTCACGTCATCAGGATAGAATCCTCGACTGGGTAGAGCAGTATCAAGCCGAATTACAGCAACTCGTGGATAGTCTCGGCGACAGACCTTCGGAGTGGACACTGTCTGACTTCCCGATGGCTTTCAAGTCATATGATGCCATAGACTGGTTCCGAAATTGCCTGCTGCCGCAACTAGGTATCCTCGACACTGGCGACATCGAGGATATCTACCCCTGCTCACCGATGCAAGAAAGAATATTGAAGGCTCAGGCTCAGGACGCTCATCGGTCTCGAATTGCCTTTGACATCGAGATCACGGCAAGCAGTGGCAGTGACGACATCGACCTGACAAGGGTCGAGCAGGCATGGCGGGCTGTTGTGCAAAGACACGCTCTCCTACGTGCCCTGCTCGTAGACGGCATGCCAGGAAGTGGTAGAAGCATCAGTATTGTCCTCCGGAACCCAGTAATCAGCATATCCTACATCCGGGCCCAGGACAAGGCTCTGCAGCGGATAGACGGGCCGCCGCCGATTCCTTACAAGCGAAAGTGGCTGCAACATCACCTGACTGTGTGCCGCGTCCATGAGAAGCACCTCATTCTTCACTTTGACATGAACCACGCTATCTTGGATGGCCATTCGGCATTCAAAGTCTTGATAAATGACTTTCGGCGGGCATACGCCGGACGTCTTGACACGACGGGCGCCCCGTACTCTCGATTTGTCCAGTACATCGAACAGCAGCCATGGGAAGCCAATCACGCATACTGGACGAAGTACCTGCATACTGCAGAGCCTTGTCTGATTTTCAACCCTTCCGATGCCAAACGCAGCAGGAGCGATAGCATAGTGTACATCCCGGGCCTCGATGCCGGCATGATCAACTCATTCTGCACGAGATGGGAATTGACAAAAGCTACCATAGTCCAGGCGGCCTGGGCAATGGTGTTGAAGATGTACACGGGGGCTCCAGCATCCTGTTTCGGCATGTTCACCTCGGGACGGGATGCGCCTATCGAAGATGCAGATCAAATATTCGGACCTTTGATGTGTTTGATGCCTCGTCGCATACGACTTGATGGACGCCGCTCAGTCGTCGAGACTCTGAGGGGGATCCACGAGGACTACGTCAGAAGCCTTCCATATCAGACGCATCCCGTAGCGGACATGTGGCAGGCCTTCGACATTGATCCACCCGGGCTGTTCAATACCAGCTTTTCCTACCAAAGGGGCAAGATTGATGACGTTGAGGTCGAGTTTGGACACGCTTGTCGCTTCGGAGAGATTCGAACGTACTCAGGGGTATGTCACGCTCTGGGATAAGTAAGTATCTGAAGCACACAAAGCTAACACATGGAACATTCCAGTCCGATATTGTGATCCAAGCGAGGGATAATGGCACAGCCTCCACCATCGTCTTGTTCCTCCGGCCAGATTTTATTTCCGACTCTGAGGCGACGACACTTGCCAGCGCTTTTAGTATCGCAATTCGCTGCATCATCTCAGATCCAGACAGAGCAATGGACGACATCGATTTGAAGAGAGAGACTGGTATTCAACGCCTGACGGCTTTGTTTCAAGATGCTGAAAATGAGGAGAGAAACAAAGGGAGCGTGAGTTTGTGCCCATAAATTTATACAATATCGAGTAATGAAGCTCTTTTCAATTCCTCCTCCAATTACTTTCTGACTCCCTTGAGTATTCCTTGGAACCCTAACAAGACCATGTTATTCACTATAAATCTTTCCATCATTACGCACGCCTTGTATGCTAAGATGTGTTCCGAGAGTAACAGTAAACCCTCACCCAGACTATTTCTTGTGCAAAAGGGATCCGACAAAGGCGGATGTCACTTACAGAAATAAACGTCGCTAAAGTCGTCTTTGGGTACAGATCAAGATTGCATTGACGCAACCTTACACTGGAGGAGTGTGCGGCGAGAGGGTGGCAACATTCAAGGGACGTGGAAGGGATGAGGAGAGGCATCAACAATGGATGCTGCTGTTGGCAAGTGCCTGCCTGATTTGCATTGCGCCTGCCCGCCCAACGTCGCAACCAACCGCAACGGACATGTGATGGCTGGGTTGAACCCTGCCGATGCGCTTTGGGAAATTCCTTGTTCCATCATCACAACGCGCCTACTGGTCCGTGCCAGGTTCTACTGACGACCCTTGAGGCTTCGAGTCGAGTCGGCCCCTCCGATAACCGCCTGCTCCATGCCCTCTCGTGCCATCAGTCAGACATCTTGGGGCCAGTGCTGAAGAGAGCCTTTGGGCTAGACGGTGGCCATGAGGCTAGACCGGGCGCAGAGCAGAGGAAGATGGGATCGTAATGATGCCCAGGCACCAGTTGACCGCTAGGCTATTGCAGCAAGCAAGAGGGAACGTTCAGCAATTGTTACCTGTGCCCGCCCCGCTGTTAGTAGGTTCGCTATTGGCTCAGCATCTGGTTACTGTGATTGCAACCTATGAGTCAGTGAAGATGCACACAATCAAGGCGCTGTAATTTTCTGGTGACAGGTGACAGCTAAGAATGCATAGCACCCTCTCAGACAAAGTATTACGACAGCATAGCAAGGCTTTCTCAGATTCACCATGATTATTCGGAACTCTGTGCTCATTGTTATCATCGAAGCTTGGGCTCCTCTTGCCATGATCTGCTCCTCCTTCAAGCGTGCCTCAGCTAAATAGTTATTCCTCGCTCCTTACATGGATATGGACCCCTCCGTTTCCTGCTAGAACGACATTTGTCTCGCTCAATTCACAGTGCAGCGACATCCTGAGGATGCATGAATTATGGGGGGATGTTGATGCTTGCAAAACGAGGTGCGGAGATGACAAGGGCCTGCCGGGTTAGGGACTTCATCGCGGTGTTTTGGCGCCATTGCGCTTCTGAAGATCATCTGGAAAGTTGAATGACGACTGAGTCCGGAAGTTGACCGTCTGGCGTTGTAGACTCATCCTTCATCATGACAAGGCAACGCGAAAGTACCCAGAAATATGGCGAATCAGCGTCTCCCTCTGGATTTTTAGGAAATAATTTTGCGTCTTGGCCGCCTCAAGACCTGGGTCGCTGGTCAAGTGTGATCGGCTGGTCTGGAATTGTCACATATCCTTTGAGTCTGACTCTTGTTCCATTTCCAGCTCGCCGGCCGTTTCACATAGTTCGTAGAATCTTTTCTCCGTCCAATCGAATACGTTGTCGTACTTGAAACCCTTTGATATGAATAGGCGGCGGAACAGTCGACGAAGATATGCATAGTTCGGCTTGTCCTCGAAGCCGAGCGACCGCGTGTAGTTGATATATGTGGCAAATTCCTCTGGGAGCTCACTGCAGAGCGTTTCCACCGGCGTGCTCTTCTTCTTCTCTCTGACAAGCTCCACTTTGTCTTTACTGGTTGCGGCTTTCATGCCCTGCCACGGCAATGATCCATGGGCAAAGTAGATAAGCGTATAGCCCAAGGACTCTAAATCGTCCCTCCAGGATTGTTCTGTTCAAAGGCTTAGCATGGAGCGTGTTTATAGCAAGACCACGATGCCTGCGCAAAAAAAATACATACCGCGTCCCTCGTGGTTGTTGATGCTGGCGTACCGACTAGTGCCGCAGAGAGGGCGGTTCCCGTCAAATTTTTCATGCCACTTTGGTATGTCGCAGTGCTCTTTTGCCAGGCCAAAGTCAATGGTGTACAATATGTTTCCCCGCTTACCAACCCCCAAGAGGAAGTTATCGGGCTTGACATCCCGATGCAGAAGACCCTTGGAATGGATGTACTCAAGTCGAGTGATAGCCTGGTCTGCAATGAGCAGGACGGTCTTGAGCGAAAAGCGCCGGTCACAGTAGTTGAGCAAGTCCTCAAGCGAAGGGCCGAGAAGTTCGTGGACTAGTACGAAGTAATCGCACTCTTGTCCGAACCACAGGAACTTTGGCATTCCGACACCGCCAGACAAGGCCTTGTACGCCTCTGCCTCGGTCTGGAGAGCGTCGGATTCGTCTCGAATGTGCATAAGCTTTAATGCGACCTCCTCATTCGATCGGATATCAGTGCCTGTTTCATTTATTTTTTTTTTATTTTTTTTTTTCAATCAGCATGTGCATCGATTGGGGTATTCGTCGAAAGAGCAGCTCTGGACGTACCCAAGTAAACAAGGCCAAAGCCACCCTGCCCTATTTTGCGGTCCACGCGATATTTGCCATCAATAAGAATGTCCTAGAAGAGGTCCTTAGTGACCTGTTGTTCTTGACAAAGTAATATTCGTACCTTCATCGTGTATGACAGCAAGGGCGGCGTTGATGGGGATTTCGCAACGAGGCTAATCGCATGGATGCAAGCGTCGACATTGTAGGAGAATGACGGTACCATGATTACTCCGTACAGTCTGCGTGCGATCCGTTTTGACTGTGCTGGGGTTGCGCTGGTTGTGTACCTTTTAATTCTAGGTAGCTTATTGGCTCGGGGCAGAGTGGCCCGCGAGTCCATAACGCCAGGCGCGTAACATGGGCTGGGCAGCGACAATCGACTGGTGTACCGTTGTCGTCGTGCATCACGCGCGCCTCGCCCATCATTTCTCCCATATCAACCTATCAACTCAAGTATCAATCCGCCCGACTGCATCCTGCATCATGCAGTGCCGGCTCAGACGCGACCGACAACACAGGCCGAAGTCCGGCTGCTGCCTATCTGCTCGCCAATAACAATTCTATTTTCGCTCTCGCGACAATGGGCCGCTGATGGCGAGGCCGCGGAATCGACAACGGCAGCGTGCGAACGGGGCTTTACGAGACAATGCCTCGCTTAAGAAGGCCCAGCTCTCCTCCTCCAGGGAACGCAATTTCTCGCCGGCTTTCTGGGACCATTTATCCAGAGTCTCTCTCACGCCGCGTGCCCTGAGAGAACTCAACCGCCGTAACGACAGCATCAGCACCTATTCTCTCCCTGCCTGTGCAAACTTAAAGCCGTATCCGACAAAAATAGCTCGGTTCGCAAGACACGGCGGTCCAGATCTTCGTCATCTGAGAGAAGTAAGGGCCAAACGTCTCAGTTCTAGAACCTAGCTCATTGTCATCACCTAGTATCCTTGTCTTGAACTAAAGGAAGCCATGAGTTCAAGCAATTCTACGTCGCAGAGTCGACAGACAAAATCCAAGGCAGCGACAAGTGGTGTCGCCAAAACGAAGAAATCTTCTGCCTACAATGATAATTTCGAACAGCATCTTATCGATTATTTTATTTACCCAGAAGGATATGAACATTCTGAGGACCGCTCCACCCCAGAGCCCGCGAATTCGAGTCAAACCCGTCAGGAGCTATTGAATTCTAGAGCATCTCTATCACCCTCCATTTTCACTGAACCAGTGTTCCGTGACTTCAAGCGGAAAAATAAAGCTAAATCGGAAGGCAGCGTAATGCGGAATGTGATCCCTATGATTGCTGGTAGCACAAGTACTCCAAACGAGGGCAATATTCCATTCACAAACCTCCTATCGCTTACAGATGAGACTACTGTTAAGGCGATCCCAGACTTCTTTGATGGTGCTACGGCAAGCGATGTCCATGGTCAAGTCAGACAATCGCTCAACAAGCTTATTGTTCCCTCGAAGCATGCCAGCGTTCCAGTTGTTCCCAACTTCTTCCTAGAAGCCAAGGGCCCAGATGGAGGTGCCTCTGTAGCGCAGCGGCAGGCTTGCTACGACGGGGCGCATGGAGCCCGTGCTATGCACGCTTTACAAAACTACCAAGCAACAGAGCCAATATATGACGGCAATGCATACACCTATAGTTCGACCTACAACTCTGCGACAGGTACCCTTCAGCTCTTTGCTCACCACGCTACAACGCCTGCTACTACTAGTCAACGGCCTGAGTACCACATAACTGAAATTGATGGATGGCAAATGACGGGCAATGTTGACTCCTTTCGGCGCGGAGCGACTGCATTTCGAAATGCTAGAGACTTGGCAAAACGACACCGGAACTGTCTTATCCAAGCAGCGAATATTAAAGCTACCCAATTGATGGCAATACCTCAAGAAGATAAGTTCGAAGACGCAAGCTGTTAAAAGTCAAGGTCAATTGCACCACGCAAAAGTGGAACGCGCTCCGATAATTGGCCGCGCAAATTGACCTCGTAAAGCATTAATTGACTGTGCAGACGCGCACATTGAATTTTTTCTCCCGACACACCCCCCAGCTTTCGGCGCTCTCGGCTGGCGTAAGCTGGAGCCACTATGCGTGCGCAACGTGGCCCTAATTGCTATAACGAGCGTTAAGTCTTTAACATACAATAAAAAGCTATAGAAATAAGTACTTATAGTGTAGAGAGTCTACATAAGCTAGAAGCTTAGGAGCGCCTAGAATTAGCGTCTAATATAACTACTTAACTAAACACCTAAGTTTATTGCAGACTTATAGTTCCTTATTCCTAATACGTTTTTATTTTCTAGCAAAACTATTAAGTAATATTAAGTAGTTTATAAAGTTATTAGCTAGTTTCTATATATTTTCCAAGTTTAGATATTCTTTCTATTTAATAAGATAACAATAATTCTTTTTATCGCCTTTAGCTCTAAGTATTTATTTAACTTTATATTTATTATTATCTATAGGTTTTATATAGTAGCAACTAATTAAACCCACAAATATTTGCAATTGCTGCAAGTGGAGTTCCCAGCTCATCAGCTGTGTGGGGAAAACATGAGATATGTCAGCAATAGGACTCTAATTCTGTCGGTGCTAGCTGACCGCCATTGCGCGCCCAACTCTGATCTTGCAAGACCGCAAAGTTGACGAGGGGCTCCGGTTTCCCAGGCACAGAGTACAAAAGAGAGGGTCGGTGGCAATGTCTGGGAAATACAGTTAGTAGAGATCAAAGGCAACGCATATAGACGCTTCAATAAATCAGTCTGGTTGAAGGTTGTCCAACGGCAACGGGTCTCTCGCCTGAAAACGCTCCGGGGTCTGATGCTGGATGCGCCATTTGATCGTAGTCACCTGTCTCACGAGTCTTCGCCAGAGGGTATGGATGAGCGGCATAGGAGACGACAGGCTCTTACCTGGAATCCATATATGAAAGACCACGGCTCTGTAACCAATAACTAGCTAAATGTAATGGCTCAATAGCTGCTTGGCCAAGGACTCCCAGCCTTCGGACGATCCTACCCCTTTCACCTACAAGTCTAACGTGCAAGGGATGGCGTAGTGTTTTACAGCATCCAGCAACTATGTCAAGTCTGCTTGTTCAACCAGCAGAGGCAGCCTTATGCGACAAAACTAGGTCGTGCAAACCGGGCTCATAACAGTCACACGGCACGATGATTTGAGACAACTTGGACAAAAAGAGAGACTCTTGATTTTTGAAAGAGAGTGGAATCCTAATAACCAAATACTTGTTGTAATACTGCTGCATGCCTGGCTGCAGTATAATAACTGCTGTTGCCTTAAATGAGTGGCTCGACGTTGACACAATTGTACGACACCCATAATGAACAGTCATCAGTTCTCAAGCCACTACAGAGCATTCCTCAAGTCATTACTTGCTTCCGCTGCGTTTATCCAGCTAGCAAAGTGACAAACGCGACACCACAACTCCCCGGTCGAAATTGACAATATGGCAAGCACTCTTGAAATCACACCCTTTTCCTCCTCCCATACTAGCGGCCAGTCCGTGTGTGCCAAAGTCCATGATATTTTAGCCTCGGCCGCCGTCGTTTACAACCACTCTGAGTAACTTTTTTTTGGTTGACAGAGAAACGAACGCCAGTCGGAGCCCAAAATCATTTCAAAGATAGTAGCATTCTCATTTGCAATTTCGTCGCTTATATCGGTCCAATCTTCTCCGGCGCCAGTCTCTTCTTGGTGTTTAGCTAGCATAGTGATGTCGAAACAATGCCCTGCCCATATTCCTCTCAGGATTTTCTCCGAATCCACGTCACGGGCACGCTGAGACGACCAGCAGATGCGCAACAGGATGACGTGGCCAAAGCCAACAACATCGATGTCGGGGCCATGAACGAATTCCTGTTTGAGAGCAATGGCTTCTGCACGTACAAACTGCTTCGTGGTGAGGTTTCGCAGAATCCACGGTTGGTCTTGCGGGAAGTATTGGCTGTATTCAGGAAACTGATACGGGCGCAAATATTTCAGCGCAGCCTTCTCGTAAGACGGTTCGTTGGGAACCAAGCCCAACAACCCAGCCCAATTGAAATCGAACTCGTGGAGCCGTTCTTGTATCTTGGAAACACCGGGTATCGTGAAGTCATACAGGTTGGATGGTGTCATGGTAATATACTCGTCCTCGTACTCGCTATAGACTTCAATTTTCTCTGTACTGAGGGTTTCTAGTTCTGCGTCCGAAAATAGTCCAGGGGGGTAGTCATTTGGCTCGGTGTATTCTCCCACGTAGACAATCTTTTGACCAGCCCAGGGCGCCAAACGCGAGAAAAAACGAGCAAACAGCTGTTCTCGAGCGATATCGCAGAGGTGTCGATTCACCAATCCGAGGCTGAGGACATCTTCCACTTTTTCTGTATGAGAAAAGATGAGTTGATGAATTTCGGTAGGGAGCCTGGTGAAGGTGGTTGGGTGTGAATTCGGTACGCAGCTCCCAGAAGTCGTCCTAGTCTTCTTCTGAAGTCGTGGAGGGCTGGCCCTTTCGCAGTTGACGTTCCCTTTGCGCTTGACGCCTACCGTCACCGACACCTCACCACACTCATTTTGTGCAGGGGACCGGCTTCTTGGTGGAGCGGTCTGGGGGGCAATCCGGCCTGGATTCATGGCAATCCTAGGCCGGGTGGGAATGGCGAGTAGCCTGACGAGTGTCTGGGCCGTGCCGTCGTCAAGCATCTCCCCAAGCCTGCCGCGAAAATCCATGGTCAGCCTGGCATGAGGAGCAACAAGCCGAAAATCCTGTCCCATGGTCGAAGTTTTGGCTGTGGCGAGTCGGCTGGCGAGCAAACAATGCGTGTTACAGAGATGATAGCAAATTATAAAAACAAGAAGGAACTTTAAAAACGCGCTCTATGCCCATCTATAGGGCGAAAACGTGAGAATCAATGCCAACAGTGCTGTTGGTCTCTTCGCGTAGCTGAGTTCACGTTTTGTGCATTCAAGCGTTTGCTAGGCAGCAGCAAAGTGGCACGTGATGGCCATGGCAATGCGTCTGGTGTCATTTGTCAACTAGTGAATCATCAATCAAAATAGCGTCATCAAAATTAGTTCAATCTAGCTTGCAAGGTTGAAACGAGGAGCCTGCTAGCAAACTTACTAGCCACTGTCGCCCGAATCCCAGGCCAAGCCTATGACAGTACATGAAGTAGCCAGAATAAATCTGTTCGTCTTTTCGTGGTGGTTAGTCGGGGCCTTTAACTTTAGGATTATTAGTCAATTTCAATCCAAATCTAAGCAAGTAACAAGGTCAACCAGGCTATAAAAAGTTGTGTCTCTCTAGCTTCTCTACCTACAAGTTATAAGAACCAAGGATCTACTATTCAACCTAGTTGAAGTGACTGCAATTAGCGGTAGAAATCTAACAAACTGTACAGGCATACACACATATAAGCCTACAGGAATAAGGGTATATAATAGATTTAAGCTATAAGCTCAAGTATACATAAGACACTTACGTCCCACACTCTGCGAATCGGACTAGGACTGTGACGTTCGGAGCGCTATCGACCAAGTACCTAAGTAGGCACTTAACTTATAGCCTATAGGTACTTAAGTACCTACTTAGATAGCTGGAACACAGCGATATGTCTAGTGCGGTGTGCATAAATATTATATACTTGGGTATATTATACCGCAATATCTTCACGCGACAGCACCGAGCCTGAGCCTGAGCCTGAGCCTGCTTTGGCGAAATACTAGGTTCTTGGGTACCTTTTGGCGCGCATTAGAATTGGTGCCCAGCTGCTGTTACAGAGATCAGTCATAGCTACGACAATTGTGGCTAAACAATCACTCAGTTATGCACGCCAATTTGCCGCCCACCGACTCGTGCCCCACCGGCGGCCACCGCTTACTGGCGCGTAATGATTGGGTGGGAGCGCATCGGGACCGCGACCTGCGTCAAACGTGACCGAAAACGCAGCCCGAATACCGTATCTCCTCGCCAGTAACGTTTCCATTCTCCATACGATGCAGCAGTGGGCCGCTCATGTCGAGGCCACCGAAGCAGAATAGACCGCGCGCAGAGGAGGCCTCACCAGACCATGCCCAGGTTAAAAGGGCCAAGCTTGCCAGCGAAAGCGATTTCTCGCCAGTCCTTTGGGATACTCTGTCCAGGGTCTGGCTTACGTCGCGTGCCCTGAGAGAACTCGACCGCCGTACCGAAGCGCATTCTGTTCCGAAGTTTGCATCACCCGAGGTGCACACTACAAAACTTGCTCGATTTGCAAGACTCGGAGGCCCAGATCTCCATCATCTGAGAGGTGTATGACTTGCAATCTTTGCCCAATTTTCTAGTAGCTAACTAAAATGCCAAGTTTACCCAACAAAAATGTGCTCCAGTCGTCATGAGCTCTCGCCGGTCTTCTTCTACATTTCGAAGTCTGCGTCAGCAGTCCACAAATGCCACTAGCTTTGGCTCGGGAAGTATTAGGTCTTCAGCCTACGGCAAAGACTTTCAACAGCATCTTGCCGATTGCAATATATACATGAATAGCCGGGGTCCAAAAGCGCTCAACTCTGCAAAGATCCAATCAGAGCTGGGCAGTGAGAGGGCATCATTATGTCCATCCCAATTCTCTGAGAGTGACTTTGAAGAATTCTGCCAGAAAAATGAAGACTGTACTTTTGAAGGCGATGTCATGGCTTCCGTCATTCCTATACTCTGTGGCCACTCAAATATTCACAGCAAGCAAAACGTCCTATTCACTGAACTCGACCCTTTACTACATGTGGATGCTGTAAGGCCAAAGCCAGACTTTTTTGATGGGGCTCACCTAAGAGATCTTGCTTGGGATGTCAGAAATGATAAGCACATACGATCAAGAGCTATCCCTACTAAACGTCCTAATGTTCCAGTGGTGCCAAACTTTTACTTGGAGGTTAAAGGGCCAGACGGAAACGCTTCTGTTGTCCATCGGCAAGCTTGCTATCACGGGGCGCTTGGGGCGCGTGCTATTCACGCTATACAAAACTACAAAGAGACTAAACTAGTATATGACGGCAATGCCTATTCCTACTCTGCCACCTATCACGCTGGTGCAGGTACTCTTCAGCTCTATTCGCACTATATCACAGCCCCTGCTACTGCTAATCAGGGACCTAAATACCACATGACACAGGTTGATGGATGGCAAATGACGGGCAATATTAAGTCCTTTCGGCGTGGAGCGATGGCACTACGGAATGCTAGAGACTTAGCGGAGCGGCATCGGAACAGCTTTATTCAAGCCGCGAATGCCAGGGCTGTCCAGCCGATAGCCGTCAAGGAGGTAGATAATGCTGACACGCAAGAAGGTACTTCTTGCCCTTTTGGCCAGCAAGCATCCGGAGACGATGAAAGGTCTACCAAGTCGCAAGATTCGAACGAGCCGAGTCAACGACAGTGCGCTGAAGAGAGTGGGGTTGCCTTGCAATGTGAAATTGGAGCGATAGCTCCCCTGCCCAACATGCTAACCTGGAAGAAGGCTTGCCATACCCAAGCCAGGAATCCGCTTTCTCAAGTCTCGGCAGAGGGCCAACGCCAAACAAGCGTCCGAGGCCCTCCTCTAGTCCACCGTCTTACTCGAAGCGAACCCTCTCATCTACCGGGCGAACAGGCGTGGATATGTCGCCGTGAACCACGTGCTTATCAGGTCAAGCCGCACCTCTAGCGCCCTCTAGCAAGGGCAATTCTCATTGAGCGAAGGCCTTCAGACGAGGAGGCAAATCCTTCTTCAAAGACCCTTGAAAGGGCAGAGATTCAGACCGGGTTGGAGTCAGCGTTGGGACAAGCAGCAGACGAGGCGCAATGCTATGAATAACAAGCAGAGGCGTGGCTCGGAGCCAGCGTTCTGGACGACAAGCGTTGCCTGTGGTGGCAAGGGAGTCTCATTGAGTGAGAACAAGTGTAAGCGTTGTCTTGGGTTGGTTGAGGTGACTTGAGAGCGGTCTTGAATTTAATCTGACATGTTGACAGTGGCATATTTATACGTGCCGTTCAATCACTCTACGTCGGCCGCCTTTAATCCCGCTTTGCCTAATAGATCGCAGTCAATTAAACGGATGCCTGCTCAAGTTAAATAAAGTGCTCGGAACACTTCTTCGATACTTCTTGATTCTCTCCATATAGCTGCGTAGGCAGATACCTAGGTACTGAACTTTCCATGTCCCAATGCCCGTCCACGTTAGCATGTGCATCCTGTCAGCTGCTCCTTTATTTTCTCGCACGCGGGGTAACACACCCTGCAACTGAAGATGTCATCTTGCCAACGCCTCATCCTTCTCAATCTGCTTTCTCCATGCATCGTGTATTGTCTCATCTGGGCTGATCAAGCTTCTTGGACGAAGTCTTTTTGTCAAAGTGCCCGGTCAGCGAGTCGTCGACACCAGACGCGACCGCGCCAACGGAAGCGGGGCCATTCGTTACTAATAATAAAAGCGACCAGGGCCCCTTTACGGGGCATTCGCACCGTATTGGCACCGTATTGGCGCAGCTGCACCCGTCCGTCCCCTTCCAAGCGCACCCTTCCTTCGTCACCTTGCCATCGTCATCTCGAGCCATCGCCACGGTTCGATTTCGATTAGCAGAATTGCCAGCCTACAAAGTGCAGGTGCGTCGAGCGATTGAGCCGCCACCATGAAGTTCAGAACTGGCCATTCACCTCTCTTGCTCCTCCTGCTACCCTCGCTGGCTGTCGGCGTGTCGCCCCGTGCCGTCGCCGCGCCCAAGGATGACGAGTCCAGATCCGTCTCTTCCTCTCGCGACGCCGACGATGCTACTCACGTCGAAGCAGCTGGTGCAGGCCGACAGCTCGTACCTAACAAAGACGCCCCCGTGGATGGCAAGGATGGAAAGCCTCATCTCGGCCCCTTTGTCGACACCGACGGTGTGGCCGTCGATGCAAATGGCCAGACGCTACCGCCATTAAAGGGCCGACCCGACGATCCGACCCTGGTGGACGGACAGAAAATTCCCAAGACGAACGATGGGGTCATGTTCGATAAGAACCGCGACAGACCTGAGAAGGGAATCTCAACGGGTACCGAAGGAGGCGTCACCGAGAAGTCCAAGGCGCGCAAGGAACAGGAAGGAAAGACGGGCGAAAAGGTCCTCACACAACCAGAGTCTCCGAAAGAGAAGCCACCGCTGCCACACAGCGAAGAGCGAAAGATGCGTGGCGGCAAGGATGAAGAGACCGACAAGACGAAACTGCACGCTCAGAAGCAGGAGGGCAACACGGACTACACAGGTCTCGATGTGGGTTGCACCGCCGGGGCGCCTAGCCACCGTTTGCCGCCGCGAGACATGTAGCTGACCTATTTTCCAATCCATTAGAAACCCGACGGCCTGCCCGATACGCCCGACAAGTCCAAATCATCGGCATCAGCAACAAAAGACTCGCTCGAGCCGCCGCCATCAAAACAAAACGGCAAATCCCAGTCTAGACCCCATGCCGTCCCGGAAGATAAGGATGAGGGCATTATCCAACCATTCCATTCATGGCTGCTATCCTTTACCATGATACTTGTTTCCGAAGTTGGTGACAAGACTTTTCTGGTGGCTGCACTGATGGCCATGAAGCATGATAGAATGGTGGTGTTTTCTGCTGCGTTCGGCGCCTTGCTTGTCATGACCGTCCTGTCCGCAGTTCTGGGACACGCCGTACCAACCCTGGTTCCAAAACGCCTCACCAGTTTCCTGGCAGCGGCCCTGTTCTTTTCTTTTGGCGCCAAACTTCTCAACGAGGGCATGAGGATGGACCCCAGCGAAGGCGTTTCGGCCGAGATGCGCGAGGTAGAACAGGAGCTCGCAGAAAAGGAAAAGGAGATGAGCAACGGGCATGGCAATATTTCCGCGTACAACCTGGAAATGGGCCTTGGTGGCAGGAATTCTCGGTCCAAGAGTCGATTCCCTTCACCGCCTCGATCACCGTCACAATCCCCGTCACGCAGCCCTCCCCGACGCTCCGGATCCATGGGCGGCTTTGTTCAGGGAGTTGGTAACCTCTGCTCGCTGCTCCTGAGCCCGGCCTGGGTCCAGACATTTGCCATGACCTTTTTGGGAGAATGGGGTGATCGCAGTCAGATTGCAACAATAGCCATGGCTGCCGGCCAAGACTACTGGTGGGTGACCCTCGGCGCGACGTGCGGACATGCCATTTGCACCGGTGTGGCTGTCCTTGGAGGACGAGCCATTGCCGGACGGGTCAGCCTGAAGATTGGTGCGTTCCCCCATGCGTCCAACGCGTATGGTTTGACCCCGTGATGTTCCTGACATGCGTGTACAGTTACCGTCGGCGGGGCCGTTGCCTTCCTCGTCTTTGGCTTCATTTATTTCCTCGAGGCTCTACACGCCTAGACGTGGCCGTTTTTGGCCAAGCCATTGGCGCCACGGTTTTGTAAACGACGCCATATTCCAATGCCGGATGTCGGTCCGCGACCCTACGATCAATCCGTCATGTAATACCTTGTAATCAAACGCAGCACATTCACTCGCACGCGACAACGTTCAATGTTTCATTGTCATCACTCCACTTGCCACCCCCAAAGCGTCTTCCTTTCGACATCCTGTCTTCACAGGGGGGGGTGGTGCCAGGCATTCGATGTTCTGGGCATAACCAACAAATCCCTCACTTCATTGACCGTATGTATAACACTTGGTGACACATTGCACATTGCACGCGTTTCCAGTCCGTTTCTTTTCTTTTCTCTTTTTTTGTTCCTGCTTCTGCCGCCTCGTGGGGCAGGCCAGGTGGTATAGCAATAAGATGAAGGCTATTGGGGGCGGGCGGAGGAATAGTACGAGGCACGGAAGGCAAAAAGTTAATCTGGGGTGTTACATCTTGAAGAGCACGTATCGGACATTGTCATCTGCATGGTAGAAATGGAGTTTTAATGGGGTAATAGATGGTAACGAGGCTCACTCGTGGATCTCTCCTCTTGTTCTTTCCACCTCAGCTCTGGGTGCTCTGTCAGATCTGACAGGGTTTCTAATACAACAAGCCATGCAACAAGTTTGTCCTGGTTGGTCCCTTTCGCCATGGATGTCGGCGCTTTTCTTTTCTTTTCTGTTTTTCTTTTCTGTCTTGGGGGGTGGGTGTTGTTGTTGTTGTTTTCAACACCATCCGTCTTGTCTCTAGCCCGAATGCTCGCCCAGTCAGCATGAACACGAGCATGAACATGAAGCTCCCGGCAGGCAACGCAAGTTGATGAAGTGCCTGGCACATGCGGCATGCGGAGATGGATGTTGGTTGCAGTCCGTCTCGGCGGAGCGTCTTCACATGTCGTTGCGGTTCTTGCGTGCAGGTGGATGCCTGGCCAAAGCTTCCAAGGCTGCGGGCAATGCTCGGTGCAATTCCCACGATATTATGCCGCAAATGGCCTGATGTCCTGCCTGGATCGAATCGATCAAAAAAATGTCCCCGGTGGGAACAGGACGTGATTTGCTCGGACGAGGGCGGGGATCGTCTGGCCCCGTTGGCTTGTTCACTCGGCCGAGATGGATCTTCTGACTCTCTCTCTCTCTCTCTTTCTCTCTCTTTTCTCCCCGCTTCCCCTTCATCCTTCCCCTCCCATCACGGACGGATGGACGGACGGACGGACGGACGGCTGTGATGGCCCACGACGGCCTGCCTTCTGTTTCTCCACAGATGAACCAAACTCTGCCGCCACAGGGCTGAAGCGAATCGAGCGACTCGGTCGTTTCCTGCGAAGAACCCCAACCGGCCCGTGGAGACGCATGGCGTGGGACGTCTTCATCGGCCCGTCAGCCATGCCTGTTGCTGCTGCTGCTGCTGCTGCTACTGCTGCTGTTGTCGTTGTTGTTAACCCCGAGAGCCGGACTCCGGAGATGCTGTTGTCGGTGTTGCCGAGTTTTCAAACAACCGGCATGCGTAGTCCACCCTTGTGCGGGCCACCGAGTGACGTCGTTTCGAGGACTGAGCCCAAGGACAACAGAGTCGATTCTACAGAGTATAGACGATGGCGTGGCCTCTAGAGGGGGATTTACACAAAGTCGCTCTTGTTGATATTCGCTCGTTATGGGCCGCAAGATACAACAAGCAAGGCAACGTCGTGTTGGATGCACACGGTTGAGTAGTTCTCCCATGTTCCCTCCAGATGGTTAGTCGGCCCCTGCTGACCAGACGTCTTTTAGTAATGGATTGGTCATCACGGCAGACGGCAGAGGATTTCCAGCAACATGGTTACTGCGGGCTGTCAAGCAAGCCGTTGGTTCTGACAGAAGGCTGGCGCCGGGGTGTCGAGCAAAACACCGGCATGTAATGAGATTGGCTGTGGACTACGGAGGGCACAACAGCACCTAACCGTGGTGTTTTCAATGCCGGGCTCAGGCACACCGTCACCGTCGACGTCTTCGTCATGCCCAGCGTCGCATTCGCTTCTTTTTTCCCGCTTGGACAGGCTAGCAACAACGCTACCGGCGCGGATCAACTAGCAGAACCAACTTGCAACATAGCTTGCTTGGTTGGTATTGGTATGCCTTGTTGTGGGAACAAGACGACTGACAGAGCACGTTGCTTGATCGGATAGTTCCGCTGCCAGAAATGCCCGTATCCACCTTGCTCGGGCCTAAGCATTGTGTTGTGTCGCATGGCAGCTCGCTCGGGGATACGGGGGTGCGCAAAGGACACAAACCATGCGTGATGGGATGGAGGCCAACGTCGGGGTCATCTGCCGGGGCCTGGAGAATGGAGACACGAGAAGCCCCTTCTTGGGGGCCGTTCAAGTCCAAAGTCCCTGGACAACGTGGGATTCTGGACGGAGAAAGCATGGACATGTCTTGTTCCAATCTCGAGCGCCGCCGCCGCCGCTGCTTATGCTGCTGCTGCCCGTCAAAGCTTGTTTTCATCGCCAACGCGAACACGCTCCCCGACTGGCTTTTTTTTTATTTTTATTTTATTTTTTTCAGCCTTCGAGCTCGAATCCATATCCTCCGCCAAGAATATAGCCTCCAAGCACAAACCGCTTAGCGATCCAACATGTGCAGTACCAATACCGTAATCATGAGAAGTGACCTATGGAGAAGGGGAGACAGGAAGTCGCTCGCCTACGCACCGTCATGACTGGACACTTTGTCGACGACGCCGGGTTCCATGCTGTCCCGAGGGCAAAGTTTGACACACACCCCCCTTCCACCGCAAGGGAAAAAAAGAAATACGTACGGAGATTTCCACTGAGACAAGCAGCTCACGACATCCTTGCCTGTTCTGAAAGTCCTAGGGGTGGTGACGGTCCTCCACACCCCCCCTTTTTCGCCGCGTTTTGAGGGATGGCATGAGGAGCTGTCAGCAGCCAGCAACTAGCCCGTTCCAAGACAGACTTGCAGTCCGGCCGATAGTTTGATACCCTAACACGACGGTTTGGTTCTGCCTTTTTTGTTGCCTGCCAACAACGTTCGTCGTGGAATCCGTCCCGAGTGACCAAGGGCTCAAGGGGGGAAAGGGGCGTGGGCAAATCATTCGGAACCCCTTCGTCCTTTTGATTCCAGAGCCGAGGCTGAGGGAAAAAGGACGCCATTGGCTGGCTCTACGATGCGTGGCTCTTTTGCTCCCGAATTTCTTTTCTTACCTTTCGGTGCTGATGCCTTCCTGCTGCTCGCACGAGCACTAAACATGGCAACGAGGCGCAGAGGGACGCTGGTACAGGCCCGACGGGTGTGGGTGTTGAAGTAGACGACGACGCTCGCTAGTTGGTGATGGGCATGGGCTTGATATCGGCCACGAGGATAGCTGTGCGTGACGACGGGCGACTGGGCTTGGGTATAAAGAGAGCTTGGATTCGTTTTCATTTTTCTGATTATACAAGTCAACTCCGACAATCATCGCTTCCGACTCATTCAAACCTTGTTTTCTCCGCCTCTCGAGTAGTATTTTCCCGCCATTGAATCTACCGTTTTCAAAAGCCGTAGCGTGGACATACTACATCATCGACTCTTGAAAGATTTTTTTTTTAAAAAAAAAAAAACAAAGACAAAGACTTTCAACGCTACACCAAAAACTAAACATCACCATAACCTCCCACAAAGAACCATGGACCGCGTCCGCACCGGTGTATTCTACTACTGCCCCGTGTGCGACCAGCCCAGCGGCTCAAGCATTCCCCAATCCGAATGCCTCACCTGCGCAGCGTACGTCTTGGCCAACGTCCCCTTACTCCCTGTGTTCTCCAAAAGAATTCCCAATTCCCTCCCCCCCCGGGCTGAAAGACGGCAAACAGAGTCAATCTACAAACAGAGTCAATCTACAAGAGAGTGATGCAGAGGGGCAAAGTCACTGACGGGCACCGCCCTTCCATGTAGACAGGAACAGGTCCGGCGATTTCACCAACTCGCCGCCACGCATCCTGCGCTCGCCGGGCTCGACAGCGACGACATTGTCTTTGTTGTCGTCCGACGACGAAGACGAGCTGACTAGCCTGCTTCTGCTCAGGCACACGGACGAGCACAACTACGGCGCCTTGGACCTCGTGTCCTCGTCGCGCCGGTGGCGCTGGGAAGCCCCCAGCGAGGCGGATTCGACCGAGCACCGTCTGGCTGCCACATCCACCTCTGCCTCCGTCCACACGGACGCCGACACCGACGGGGGGTCCCTTGTGGCTTCCCGGCATTGTGGACGGTGTCACGCTGTGGTGTGGCTTCTCGTCGCGCTGGGGTTTTGGGCCGTGATAGGCGCGGGTATTCTACTCATCGTGCTTCCATAGAGGACAGCGCGGCCCTCGGATATGAGGCTGCCGCACGTCTGTGGCACCATCATTCTTGGTTCTCTTCCCTTTGTCTCGCTTGTCTGTCTTGTGCCCGTGGCACAGAATGCATGAGGCTGCGATATTCCAGGGTCCCCTCCCCCCAGGCTCTTCTCCAGACTAGACTACGGAGTACGGAGTAGTTGGAACAAAAACATCCGCCAAGAAGGGAAACAAGATCCTAAAAATACACAGAGTGCTCCGTCCCGTAACTGTTGCCGCACATGTCCCCGTACGCCTGGATCAGCGACGGACGAGACCAAAAGAAACATCACGCCACTGATGCTTGCTGCTCGTCCCTCGTCCCCTCGTGGCTGGTCCCTCCGTGCCGTCTGTCTCGTCCCTCGTCCCCCATACATGCCACTCACTCACTCTCTCACTCTCTCACTCACTCGCTCGGCGTCAAGGCCGAGCAGGGCGCCCGGCCGTGTAACATGCCGCAACGACAAAGCGTCTCGCGTGCCAACAAACCAGCAAGGGCGGCGGAAGAATCACGCCACTTTGTCGTCTTGCTCTCAACTACCGCGCCTCCTTGCCAGTTCCGTGGCGTCCGCCTCGTTCCATTTGCGCACAGATTCCCCTGACACCTCGCCCTCGCCCTCGCCCACCGGGACCGCCAGCCTGTCGTGTAATTCTCCCTCTTGTCTGTCTCCCTCTCTCGGTGACGTTGCCCCCAGCCTTGTCCGGAGACTGCTCCGTCTGTCATCTTTGACTGGCCCCGGGCCCCGGGCAAAGGGGTTGAAATTAACGAGGGCGACGAGACAGGGAGTTGTCCTGCCTGACACCGCCTTCTTTGGCCCAGATACCACATCTACAGGCATATCGGTGCGAGCTCACGTCCGTGTATCGTCGTTACTTTTCTGGGCTCTCTTCTCGTCCAATCCGTAAGGGGGGGGGAGCAGTGGCGTGTGCGCGCCCCAGACACCGGAATGCGTCACCTCGAGCACAAGACGACGACGTCTGCGGCTGCGGCCACGGCCACGGCAGGTTCTGTCATTTATGAGTCTCCGCTCAACCAAATATGACATTTATTCCGTCGACATCGACCTGGCCTAGGTACAGGTTGCTAGCAAAATATCGACACGCCGGTCCCGGTTTGTACGCAGCAGAACCGGTCCAACATCGTCACCTCATTTGACAAGCTTGCAGCCCAACATCAAACACCTCTCCAAATCAGAATGCTATGCCATGCTGTGAAAATCAGTCGCCAACGCCGGGTAACCATACGCGTCACACACCGGGTACGCTAGGTCCACAAATCCATCTACAACGACAACTACTTCCCAGGTAGCCTGGCCTTCCAACGAGGTGCCTTCTTGCCTCGTCTGATCCGCTGTGTCCTTGACCCCAAGGTTCCAGGTTGCGCTGAGACGGTGAGATAAACAATGAGGGGAGTAAACCAAGTCGTGACTTTTGTCTTCCATCATGGTCAAAGCCCACGTGGAAACACCACTGGGCCAACATCTATGATGCCTCCTTTGCATCAGACTCCGCTTTTGGCTCCTCCTTGGCCTCAGAAGACTCTGTTATTATTTCAGGCGTAGAGTCTTCCTGTTCCTTGTCCTTTGCTCTTGTCTCCTCGGAAACTTGGCTGCTGTCGACGCACTCTGTTGGCAAACTGTCTGAATGCTGCACTGGTGGCTCTTCCAATATTTCTTCTTGTGGTGTCATGGGTCTCCGGACTGGTGTGCTGGTCCCTGGAGCATCTGCCACATGATAGCCCGACAACCTCAGAGAGCTGGCCCGCGAATGGCCCACACGCTGTTGGTCCCCTCGGTTCATTTCGGAATCCCAAAGAGGAATGTCCTTGGAGCTCCAAGATGCCCGGTGCACACGAGCAGCCCTGGGGAGGCTGCTGACTGAAAATCTCGAGCTGGCACTGTTTGCTCGACTCCGACGTCCACCGGCCCCGACACCAGTGATTGTCATGTTGTGCGGATCCAAGTCCGGAAACTTATCAACGTCTTCGTCTTCTATTTTGGGCGCACGCCGCACCTCTCGGACTGCAAAGATGGCCTCCTGCGGCCCCTCACCCATCTCTTCCTTGTTTGATTTTTTTGGTCTCGACGGGATGTCGTCGGCCCGGGCTTCTGCGTGCTCAAAATAATTAATGCGAATCTGCTGCAAAGTCTGGGGGAATTCTTCTCGATTCCTCGACAGTGACATCCACGTCGAAATCACCCCTAAAATGATCAATATCAAGACTGCCACCGCCACAAATCCCTGAACGACGATGATGATAATGCCAAGCACCGTCGCGACGATTCGACTGATGGAAAACGCAGGCAGAAAAGCTATCGACAGGCCAGTGGTTAAAATCTTGGAAATCGATAGCATCCAAACAGCGACTGCGGTATTGCGATTGCTTTCGAAGGGGTTCAGTTTCATGATGACAACGAGTGCAATAATGTCAAATATGAACAGACCGTAAACTTGTGCCAGCGGCGAACGTGCTGCTCCGCCGATAAAGCATGCTCGGATGAACTGGTAACCAAGGTAAACCGCAAAGAACCACCATCGTGATCGTCGGTATCGGACTGATAGCCAACCAAATCTCTTGATATATCCTTCGTCCAGATGAACAGAGTCCCTGTTGGGGTCGTCGGCGATGTACTTGATCTTGACGAATGGCAAAGTGGCCAACAGGTACGGTCTATGGCTTGGCTCCTCCTCGCCGATCTTGCTCTGTCTTGTCGTCGCAATGAATGGGACTTTGCCGAAAACCGTGTCCCGTTCGAAACGCAGACTATCCGGCCCGATATCGTACTTTCCATGGCGAAGGCGGAAGTAGCATGCATAGACCGTGACCCCCCCCACGCCCAGCAGGAATATTAGCCAGACAATGGCCGCAACAGCAGTCGGTCCAGCAGATCCACGAAGCGAAAACTGGTACATGGCAAGGGTCATGACGGTGAAGAAGGCAATGAAGAGTGTTCGAAGGAGAGCTGAGGCCGTATAGTCCCAGACGTGCGAACGGAAATAGTCAAAGCCATCAGTTTTGAGCCACTTCAGTTTCACCAAGACATCCAAACTCAGCTTCACTGCCACGACGAAGCATGCCACGGCAGCCACAACAACCAGCAGCCATATGATGGAGATGATGAATGCTTCATCAGGTGGGATATTAACCGCGGACAATGTCCCACCGAAACCGGGCCAGGTCCCTGGCATGGGCATTCCGGGGGTCCTCGGGTGGCCGCCCCAAGTGTAGTCATACGGATCGCTTGCATTGTATGCATTTCGCCGAGCGAGAGCTTTTGACGCGCCAACACCACCTTGGAGCAGGGACGCAGCAAACAAAGACCGGCCGTAGATCTGTTGTGACAGCCCGCCGCCGTTATTGATTTGGACAGAGCCAGCACCACCTACCTGGGTGATGTTGACGTCGTTGCCGGTGAAGGAGCTCACTGAGCTCACGATTTGATTATTCGCAAACATGCCTGCTGTCCATGCAAAGTTGCTCCACCAAGCGGGAAGAACGCTAGGCCAATTGACAGACAGGGCGCCAGAGAAGAAGATGGTCTGAAAAGTCTCGAAAATGACGAGGACCGAGAATGAATGTGCATAGTGAACACGCATGTGTGGGATACTCAGGCCATATATGGCAGTGGCGAACGATGCCAGCACAGCCATAAACACCATGACTCCAACGAATGACGCCACGGCTTCCGGCTGCGAAAAAGTATTGCCGTTGGTCATGGCAGCTTGGAAACACCCGATCTCGGTTTGTGTGGAATTCGCAAATATTTGCAGACGAGCCAAGCCCTCCAAATCCGGAATTCCCAATGCAATCGACGGAATGCCAGATACGTCGTGTGGCGCAAGGGGAATGGCTGCAAATGCTGTGATGGGTACTGAATTGTTCAACGGGCACATGCTATGGATGTTGGCCTTGCACGGATCATATGTCATGTTGAATCTATTCTCCCCATACGCTTCGACCGAGATGTGAACTACCGCATAGAAGGAGTGTTAGCGTTGACACAATGTCTAGAACGGAGCAGCTGATGAAGAGCAGGTTGCCATACGAATGAGGTTCTCCTTATGGATGTTGGTGGTTCCGTCGAGGTGAAATAGGACCGTGAGATTATCGGCATAGTATGCGGCATCAAACTTGGTGACATTGAACAAGCTCTGCCCACCAAGACAGTCATCGAAGTCACCCGTATACAGGGCAGGATATCGGCTGACGTCAAGCTCACGCTTGACGCCATCAAGCCCTAATCCCTGGATATACACGGGCTCCCGCTCGTTGGCCGTCGCGAAAGGGCAGGAGAGCAAGATCAGCAACGATAAAAGAGCCACCGCCGGGAATCGTAATCGTAATCGCGGCATTGTGTCGTAGGCGTAAGGACGGAAGACTGATGGCGCGTCGGACTCGACACGGGAGGTATTCTCGCGAGGCCCAGGGCCCCTTCTGGGTCACGATGGCGGGCGTGACGGCTCTCCCGACGCCAAGGAGAGATGGCAATGTAGATGGATGTCAAGACCTCATCCGCAGCGGGTTTAGTGTTGGCAAGGTGCAGTCGTAATATCCGCCAGCGGACAGCGCAAGACGTGAAATGGCAAAAAAAGGTCCAAGCATGAAGCGAATTGTCTCGGATTGATGTTGAAGGCAGTCGAGATGTTGTCTCGGCCGGCAGGCGCTACCGCTGCGGAGCGTCGGTGGCTCCAATCTCAAGTCTCGAGCTCGGAAAACTCGAGAGCGAACAAGAAAACAACGGCACGCTTTCACTCGCCACGACGCCTGCTTGCCCTCGAATCGGCTCCGATCGATGATGCCAAGCAGATTGCCTGATGGGTTGCACGAGAGGAGGAGGTGGCCGTTTGAGACGGTTGAGACGGGCGGGCAAACCCGTACTCTTTGGGCATCCTAGCCGCATTTACCTACCCATGCCGAAGCACACAGCGCGGGACCAGCATCACAAAAAGATTGATGAGAATATGCTTTGAACGATGCATGAAGTGGATCTTGGCCAGTTGTCCTTGAACAAGATTGACCGGACTAGGCTGGGCACCCAAAACACCGCACCGCACCGCGACGTTGAAAGCCAAACGCACAACGGTCTTGGCAAACTGTCCTAAAGGATGACTCGAATCATCTTGGTCAACAACACAGCCATCAGCCATCAGCCATCAATCTATTAGCATCTGCATACGCATCAGCATCAACCGGAGAGGCGGATTGGTTTTTCAAATGCTATCCTGCAGCTCGGATCTCAATGCCGCGGCCATGGTGCACACTGCACAGCCCTCCCAGACACCAGACGAGAAAAGTCAGATGCACAACGAACCAGGCACAATCGGCAAGTGTCTCATCAGTCCCAGGCAGAGTTACACGACCACTGACTAGTCATAGCGCCACCGCCGGAAAGAGAGGCTGAACTGTTCTCATCTCATCACTCGGCGCCAGCAACCTGGCCGACAAAGCAGCCTTACGAGTTCTTGCGGGCTGGACGAAACAACCCCCCTCCCCGTTCCTTGACCTTTCGGGAACGGGGGCAAGCTTTGTTTCCTTGACCACAAATCGTGCGCTAATGCAACAAGATGGTGGGAAACGTGGGACCAGTCGCCCTGGTATTGGCGGGGTGTGGCTTATCCCTGGTCCGACAGAAGCCAGCTGGAACTCTGTGGCATTAACGTTATCACACACACAAAGAGCAGGTCACAGCGATGATCGGGTCCGGCAGCTCCGGCAGAAAAAGACAGTCTCCTGGTGGCGCCGAGCCGCGAACGCTTCTCGAATCTGCCTTGTCCAAATCTGAAAACCGCGGCAGCGACCGGAGGCTCAAGATTCCGGCGTGTCAATTGCTGAACGATTTCAAGAAGACGACCGACTATACGAGTCCGTCATTTGCACTTGAGGCTTCACGAGAAGCCTTTCGGATATTTGGCAGTGGGCACCCAGCTCCAGCCAGATGAGGAAATCGATGCAGTTGTCAGGCACAAATACTAGTTATTTTCTGGGCTATTCTCTACTCGGGCAACAAGGTGCACTACGGCTCCAGCTGCCCACGTCCGCACGTCTCTTTGTTTGCGTCACCGCGGCGCACTTTATTTGGAGCTATGATCGCAATTTGGACCACGCACAGGCAGATCGGGGCAAGATCGGCTGCCCTTGAAATAGAATAAACTTCAAACACGCCAGGAAGTGCGGTCGGCTTGTAGGGAGAGTGGCTTGCATCAACGGCTCCATGGTGTGTCCATGTAAAAGAGAAGGCTGTGGAAATAGGTAGAGTGTGACTCTAGGTTTTGACGATTGCGGGAGCTCAACAAAGCTAGCCGCATATGAGCAAGTCAGAATTCGAGACGAAGACGCTGTGAGACGAGCCATCGGGACTGGGTGAACGACAGATATCAGAGTTTCTGTCGAATAGTTTGAGAAGACTGCTGGTCGAATGTACAAGTCAAGCTGCGGAGAAAATTTAGGGTCCTAAGCAATGCAACCCACATGCATAGCAATAAGATATACGAAACAGCGGGTACATGCTCACGTGGAAATTTATCCGAGTAAGGGTAGATCAATATATAGTAGTACGTAACCACTTCCAGGGTTGGATTTTGTGTTGCGAACTTGCGATACTTCACTGTGGGGAAATCGTGGATCACCTGGACCGCCGATGGGCCGAAGCGAAGGGAAGGCAACGGTAGTTCACGGTAGACGAAACTCAAGTCCCCGGGCCCCATCGCAGCAATAGGAGAGAGAATAGAGGAAGAAGTGCAACTCGACAGGCAACATATCTGATCCAGTCAGAGCACCAACGTGGATGATGACTATCGACCTGTATCTGCCTTCAAGCCGTTGCGAGTGGAGTGATGGTGGAGATGCCTGCGGCCGACAATCCGACTCCGATCCTCCGGTACCTCGCGCGAAGCCGGGCAGCCAGCCCCACTTGATGTCTGGCGAGAGCGTGGCCGGCCACGCCACAAGGACCTACATACAGCAGCAAAACCTCGAATGGGTGTAGCAATGAGCGAGGGACTGGTTGGGGTCCGTGGAAACTTGCATTGAAACTGCAGCTGCTTAACCCGAGGATAGGATGGAAGTTAGGAGAGTGCAGCCGGTCGGTCGGGCAGCCGACTGTGCGGGAGACCCAGAAACAAGGTGTGATCAGACCTTCCCCGACTCAGAGAGACCTGCACAAGTTCCCTCGTTCCTTCCGCATGGAAACATTGAGTCTTGACAAGTTCGCTTGAGTCGAGTGCTCAATCCCCAGCTCGAGACGTGTATACGAATGGGAAAAAACTTGTCCAACCGATACTTTTCAAAATGGCTCATTTCCGCCTGGGAATTATTCGAGCATCCTTGGCGGACTAGGCTAGGAGTTCCGTCGGCGATCACGTCATCGTCAGGGACCGACCGGCCCCGAAAAAAAAACCCCTTCCCACCCTCTTCTGCGACCTACCAGCGGATGGAGGCCAGGAGGTGACAGCCAAGTTGGCGGCTTGGAGTCTACGGGAGCAATGCCATGGGCTGGCTCGTCGTGAAGAAGCAGCACAAGACGGGCGGCAGGTGAACACAGGATTTCGGAGATAAGTCCAGCCCGACGTGCTGTTTTGAATCTCGCACCCCAATCACTCGAGTCCATCCTGACTTCTAGAAGTTCACCCACAGGAACCAGCGTGGCGCAAACTTGAGCAGTTTAAGAAGTCGGACCCCCTTCTACATGGGACGCATTCCGAAGTTCTGCTTTCTCATTCGATGCCCCAGACACCGAGCGGCTCGTCTTATACCATTTTCACGAGATCCCCCGCCATTGCGTGATCGCCCGTGTGGGCCTGGCTTCAACTTCCGAACAGCTCCGAGTCCGGGTGCCCGGGTTGAATTTGCAATACGGAGTAACTACTGGTTGCTAGCGTAAGGTCCCTCGCTCGGTTCCTCCATAGTGCGACTGCCCGAAAACTTGCTCCTTCATCCCTCATTCTTGCTTGTCTGTCTCTGCCACTGGGTGCCAATTGGAACATTACTATAGCGCCTGCAGTTCAGCACATTCCAAGAAAACATGGCAAACGCTCCGCACGGTGGTGTCCTCAAGGACTTGTTTGCTCGCGATCTGCCCCGCCAGGCCGAGCTGCGCGAGGAAGCAGAGAGATACCCCGCCATCGTCTTGACAGATCGTCATCTCTGCGATCTCGAGCTGATCCTCAACGGCGGCTTCTCTCCCCTTGAAGGTACGTCTTTGGAGGCGTCGCTGGGCGGCGACTACCGACCGCACCTCGCATTTGCGACACCTTGCGCCAGAAAGAAGCAATGTACTGACCTCACTGTGCTAATATAGGTTTCATGACCGAAAAGGACTACAATGGGTGAGACTTGAAATGACCATTGCGCTACGAGTGCTGGATTCAATCTGACCATTTCACCTATAGAGTAGTCGAGAACAACCGTCTTGCCGACGGCGCTCTTTTCAGCATGCCCATCACCCTGGATGTGAGCCAGAAGCAGATTGATGACCTGGGCATCACGACTGGCGCTAAGCTGACGTTACGTGACTCCCGGGATGACCACAACCTGGCCATCTTGACAGTTGACGACGTTTACCGACCAGACAAGTAGGCTTCCCCTAGGTGCCTTGTCACTCGGCTTCCCGATAAATGTACTAATTCGAAAATGTAGGGTCAAGGAGGCCAAAGAGGTCTTTGGAAGCGATGACGACACCCACCCCGGTATCAAGCACCTATTTAGTGTTTCTAAGGAGTTCTACCTTGGTGGCAAGCTTGAGGCTGTCGCTCGCTTGGAGCACTATGACTTCCTCGACCTCCGCTGTAAGTCTGCATAGCTCTCTTTGCTGTGCTGTCACGCTGTAAGCTAACTGACTGATCAAGTTACCCCTGCCGAACTCCGGTCCCATTTCAACAAGCTCGGCTGGCAAAAGGTCGTTGCTTTCCAGACCCGAAACCCGATGCACCGTGCTCACCGCGAGTTGACAGTTCGCGCTGCTCGCTCTCAGCAGGCAAACGTCCTCATCCACCCCGTCGTGGGCATGACCAAGCCTGGTGACATTGACCACTTCACCCGCGTCCGAGTTTACAAGGCACTTTTACCAAGATACCCCAACGGTATGGCTGCTCTGGCTCTTCTGCCTTTGGCAATGCGCATGGGTGGGCCTCGCGAGGCTTTGTGGCATGCTGTGATCCGAAAGAATCACGGTGCAACCCACTTCATTGTCGGCCGTGACCACGCTGGCCCTGGCAAGAACAGGAACGGAAAGGATCACTACGGCCCTTATGATGCACAGAAGCTCGTGCAGCGGTACCAGGAGGAGCTGGGTATCAAGATGGTCGAGTTCCAGGAGATGATCTACATCCCGGACAAGGACGAGTACATGCCCGCCAACGAGATCCCCGAGGGTACTCGAACCATGAACATTTCCGGAACTGAGCTCCGAAACAGACTCAAGACGGGCAAGGAGATTCCTGAGTGGTTTTCGTACCCCGAGGTTGTCAAGGTTCTTCGGGAGCAGAACCCATTGCCGCGAGAGAAGGGCTTCACCGTTTTCCTGACTGGATATCAGAACAGTGGCAAGGACCAAGTCGCTCGTGCCCTACAGACTACTTTGAACCAGGGCGGCGGCCGGCCAGTGTCCATGTTGCTTGGGGAGACGGTCCGATCGGAGCTGTCGTCGGAGCTGGGCTTCAGTCGACAGGATCGTGACCTCAACATCTCTCGAATTGCGTTTGTTGCCTCTGAGCTGACCAAGGCGGGCGCTGCTGTGATTGCCGCTCCCATTGCTCCATTCGACCAGGCCCGTACGCAGGCTCGCGAGCTCATCGAGAAGTCTGGCCCCTTTTTCTTGGTCCACGTGGCCACTCCCCTGGAGTACGCTGAGAAGACGGACCGACGCGGCATTTACAAGCGTGCCCGTGCTGGCGAGATCAAGGGCTTCACGGGCGTCGACGACCCTTATGAGGTTCCTTCCAAGCCCGATCTCACAGTTAACTTGGAGACGCAGAATGTTCGATCTATTGTTCACGAAATCATTCTGTTGTTGGAAAGCCGCGGGCTACTGGACCAAGTGTGAGGCTTCTCATGAAGTAGGAAGTTGACGATGGCCTTTTGGAACAGGTCGATGTGCGTGCTTGACAATGACATGGGAGGGGAAGACGAGGGAAGCATTTTTTATGGCGTTTGGAATTGTGGGCGCGTTACCCTACGAAATGGTAGCAAGACATGGAACAAGAAAAATAGACAAGAGAAGAAGATGTCAAGAGATGCCTAGGGACTGTGTGCGTGGTTGGTTGGATTTGAGCACTTTGTTGAGAGGATGGGCTGGGCATTTTAGTGCATCTGAATAGATACCTCAGGTACTTTGCACTTGTACAGATGGAACTCTGCATTAAAAATAGAGCTGTTACAGATGGATAAAAAACAGAGACCGAGGACAGTCTGGAGGCTGGGCGCCTAAGCCGATGGATGCATTAATGAAGTCGGTACTCCGTAGTCGGCATGTGCGTGGAGCAAAGCGGGGATTCGATTAATTTCGGGGCACATTGAGCACCTGTAGACGAGATTTCGGCCGGAGCGGGAGCGGGTGAGTGTGGTGTGGTATTGCTGGCGACGACGACACGGTTTTGGGTTGCCCTGTAAGTTAGCTTGTAGCTGGTTGGAATCGGGCATGCGTGGGCTGCTCGGGGTGATGGAGGGTGATGGCTTTATCCGATGACGAGGCAAAGACAACGGTGGTCGGGCGAGTTACTCACTCGGTGGCCTGAGGTGAAGGTGGTTGACTGGTTCGCGGTGCAAACACGTAGCTGCTGGACAGAGAGACACACAGAGATGGTTTGGGCGCCAAACGGAGCAGGGCGCCCGACGAGACGATGAAAGGACAAGTTTGAGGCATGTGCTGCGTGTTTGTGTTTGTTGGGCTGCTGTCCAGGCTAGGTAGGGGTCTCGTTTTTTTTTTTTCTCTTTTTTGGAGGTCGGCGGTCTTTGTCGACTGGTGGGCCCTTGGGGCATCGCTGAAACGGATCAATGAGGAGGGACGGCGAGCCGCGACGCTGCACGTGCGACAGGCAGGCAGGCTACGTTGTTGACGGACTGCCAGCTGCCAGCTGCCAGCTCCCAGCTCCCAGCTGTCAACTGCACGGGGAGTAGGCAAGTGCAGTTGTTGTTGTTCGATGCTGGAGCTGCTGTGTGTTCTGCCGTCCCGCCATCTCAGCTTTTGTGTCTTGTGCGGCATCTCTTGATTATTCACCTCTCCATCTTTCCTTCCAACTCTTTTCTGTGGCTTGTTCCGTCCCCCATCTCCAACGGCGTCACCCCCCGTCCCACAGTTGGGGCCTCAAAAGCACACCGCATCCCGATTCCTCGCGCTCCCAACGTCCCGCATCCATCCATGTTGCCATCTAATCACTAGTCCCAGCCTGCATCTAAAAGTCACTAGTCTCGCCACACCCACATTCCTAGTGAAGTCATCGGTGCCTGAGCTCGACGAAATCCCACCCGACCATACGTTTCTCATCTCGTTGTCTCCTTCATTCGCCCGCAGTGACTGCATACGAATCCTCGACTGGCGCCTCAGGCCCTCCGTGTGTGCTGGGACCCGAATTCTTCGCTCACTGCTGTCGTCACCCAGCCGCTTGGCCACTTGGTGGGGCCCAATGCTGAAGCATGCCTTCAAAAGACCGTGACGTCGACTTGGACTCTGTCGCCGACGAGGGCCACCGCGACAGGACCCGACACTCCAAGTCGGAACGGAGCAAAACAGATCGAGACAGGGACAAGGACAAGGACAAGGACCGTCAACGCGAACGTCGTCACCACCGATCTTCCAGGTCCTCGGCTTCGCGCAGTAAGCTTGGCACAGATGACAGTGAGGCCTCTACCAGGCGGCATCGCGACAAGGATCGAGACAGAGATCGTAAAAGAGACGAGGACAAAGACAAAGCTGACAACGAGCCCCGAGAGACAAACGGTTCCGCCAGCGATATAACCGCAGAAGCCTTCACCCTCGACAGGCCACGCATCTCTATGCCCTACCCAAGCTTCAGCAAGGCACACTGCAAGGAAGCTGTCATGAGCCGTGACGACTTGGGTGGCCGACAAAAGTCGAGCCTTTCAAACCCCCCAACCCCTGAACCCACCGACATTGGCGAGAAGGACAGGAGGTCAAGGTCCGCAGAACTGCACAGAACATCGTCCACCGCCGACAGAGGCTCCAGACCACCCACCCCTCCCGAGACCGATGTCTCTGCAGACAAGAGGAGGGCTGCTGATGATATCAAGGGCCCTAGCGGTGGTCGCTCCAGGTCTACAGCCTCTGCCCTTCCCAGATCCGCATCCCACAACGATGATCGATCCAAAATCAGCAGAAAATCTGCTTCGTCCAGCCAAGCTACCTACATCAAAACACGCGAGCACAAAACACGCGAGCACAAATCACGCGAGCACAAATCACGCGAGCACAAATCACACGAGCACAAATCACACGAGAAACTTCGTTCCTCTGGCTCCGTGAGGTCAAGTTCGTCACGCCATTCTACGAGGAGATCGGACTCTACTAGGTCTAGTTCCCAGAGGGTAGGGTCTCGAGACGATGGATCCTCGCCGTCGAGCGTCCCAGATTCCTCCCCGCAAACGCCAACCCAGTCTGCAAGGTTTCCCTCCCATATGTGCGACGATGGCAAGCACCCAGCTTCAACCGACCTTGTGGACAGCGAACCGGCCTTCTCATCAAAGACGGCGACGCCAGCTTCCATGCCCGGCCCTCCTCCTCCGCCACCTCCTCCGCCCCCAGCAATCGATATCCACGACATCCCTCGGGTCGACTATCTGCTACAAAATGGCGGTCTGCCCTACCCCGTCCCTCGACACTTTTTATCAGTTTTGCCCCTTCAGAACACATCTCGAACATCGAACCCCCCTTTGACTGGATCCGACGTATTGTTTGCGCCGTTTCTCAACCTACTTGACCAATACTCCAACGTTTTGGTCAAGCAAGGCTCCATCGCAGTCGCAACGGGCCACCGATCGGTCGCTCGCCGTTTGTTGGACAGGTTGGAAAATGTCTTCTCACGGGACTTGCCGCCGCACGGCTGCGCATGCGTCATGTGCGATCGATCTCATGAGATACACAAGGGGCTTACATGGGGTGATGTGCTGGAATGGGTCAGTGGGCGCATTGAACTGCCAGACTGGCCGCCGTTTGACCTAGCTGAGATCGGAACCAAAGCCGCCGAGATCTCGGCAGAGGCGCCGCCACGGCCTGCATCGCCCGTGAAAATGGATCCGGACATCGCAGAAGAGTTCAGAGAACACTACCTTCGGCAGTCAAAGAAGGTCAGGTCGGCGGTGGATAGGTGGCTGAACAATACGAGCGAAACTCCGGCGCCACCCCCCCAAGACGTGGATGATGAGACGCTTGCATTTGCCATTCTGACAAACATGGACGTTGGTGACCGCCCATTCTTCAACGCTCTGCTTTCTGGATCCCGGGAATTGAAGCCATCGACAAGAGCGCCTACGCCAGTCCACAGGCCCCGGAACGACTTCATCGTCAAGTCCGGCCTGTCCCTTCAACGCCTGTATCGTCTGCCGCAGGTCCCCCGAGATGCCGAAGCCGCCAGCTACTTGGTCAAGAACCCTCACACGCACGATTTGCTCGTCACTATTTCAAGTATTAATAACGCGGAGTGGGAGATTTTAACTTCTGGCCGGTTCGACGGCTTCCTCTGGTCAGGGGCGGATGCAGATGACATGCCTGCCGGGCTTGAATCTCGTGCTGAAACGCCGGCAAGCGGCTTTTTTGGCTCCCGATGCTCAGCGAGCCCGCAACCCAGAGGGCCATCAGCCACGGGATCCAGGACTACGACCCCATTCTCGCCATACTCTCGCGGCGCGACGCCTGCATCTTTTGTTAGCTTGGCATCTTCTGGGGTCCAGGGAAGTAACAGACAGCCCGTGTCAAATGACGAAGAAATGGAAATGGCAGCTATTGCTGAGATCGAACGAGAGATTTACGCAGGCATGGAGAGTTTGGAAGACGCGTTTGAAAAACTGCACCAAAAAGCAGAGATGGTACGAGCAGCTTTGCGGCAGCGAGGAGCCGCCCTCATGCAGAACTTGCAGAGCCGTCGTCGCATCGATGTGCTACCCACCCCTGGATCCGGCAACTCTCAGCACTCGGGATACGAGCGGCCGGCATGGGCTGTCGGCAGTGACGTCGAGGGTGCCAGTGACGATGACTGGGCCATGGACGACATGGACATCATGCCTGACGATTCTGCCAGCAACATCAGCAGCTCAAGACATCGACGACCCAAGCGCCGCACCGAGCGTCGCACGCCCGCCCCAATTGAAGAGGACGAGGAAGAATGATGAGGATGTCACGTACATTTCACTCCCCTGTTCAAGTGGTCCGAGTAAGGACGCTTACTTTTATGTAATTTTTTTTTTGAATTGCTCAAATATGGCCCCACCGCCAAATACCATCAAGTAACGATGTCTCCAATTGTCAGATACCATGTTTTTCTTTACTTCTTGACTTTAAAACTTTTACTCTTCTTTTGTTATTTGAGGATGGGCCAACGGGAAATGACAGACGTGTGTGTTGCTCGAGTCTGCATGAACAAGTGTTGTTTTGAGAATGGACGAGCATTGGACAGGAATACTCTAGAGGAGCTACTGCATTTGTCAGATTGGTGGAACTACAAACCCGGGAGATGGTACGGAGGGACGGTCTTCCGCGTACGGTGCATGGCTTGGCGTTGATAGCATAATGATGAATCCTGTTTCTATTCCGTGGACGCTCGCGGGATCCCACTCGACCTGCGATTTCGGGACTTGGCTCCGGGCGACTGTCGTCCATCATCTTTTCTTGGACTTCGCTTCTTGAGCGCCGCCCGGATTGGCGGCGTATAGCAGGTGCAGTGGGCGGTTCATAAACGCGGCAGACGCGCGAGAGTTGAAGGGATCAAGGATGCTACGGCAGGTCCTCCGTAAACGTGCGTTGAATTCGCCACCAGTCATTCATCTTGGCCGTTATGGAAGAGGACGGCCCCTGAGTCAACCACCATCTTCATACGTAGCACATTGTGCGAAGGGCACATGTCACAACCTATGCAGCCATTGCCTCTGTTGTACTTCACCAGATAGCATGGCGGGACGCCGTGTGGATCAATGCATACATCGGCAATTGCGCGAATCAATTACTTGGAGAAATCACCCGAGCAGTCGAGCCTTGGCGCTCTGCCAGGACATTGTGTATGTGTAGCTCCATACGACAAGGGCGACGCCGTGTAGAGGTTGATGAGCTACAAGATCCTAGTACTGTTGACCGACCTCGAAGCTCGGGTCCAAATACAAACTCCTAGATCGGTTTCCGGTTCCGATCTTGACCGGAAAGGGAGCAGCCTCAATGTGAGGGTGGTCCTGTTTTGACCAATTTCATCACATTTTCATAGTATCCCTCAACACCGCCGTACTTTTGAAGGATGGCGTGTATATCTATGTCAGAAGATGCCTTGCTTCGGCTGCGGCCCAGGATTCCGGTGTTCCTTGTGCTTGGAATGCGTAACATCTCAGTTTCTGGTTGCCACCCGCAATCTTCTGCAATCTGGGATACCCAGTCAACCAGTGAGGCATATGTTGACTTTGGCTTCGACTTGTCCCTCGGTGGGGGCGGCCGGTATTTCTCCCCAGCCAGACTGTGACTGCAGCAGGGAATCATGATGTAGGGACAGTGCGAAATTGTGCCGAGGATAGGTGTCCAGGGTGTCAGTTCGTCGGCGTGATTCGAAACGATGAATGTACCTGGTTTGAAAACTCCATCGTGAAGCGTGGTGGAGTGTAGGTGAGAGAGGTTGTCCGTGTCTTTAGGAGCTGATATTATGCTGGGGAATAAAAGCCTTTCTTCAAGAGATCTTCCAGACGGCGACGCACTTGTTGGAGTAGTGTAGTTGGCCCATGATTTTCGTGCTCGTGCATCAAAACCCCATCCGCTATAACCCTCTTGCGTAAGTAGATAGACGAGCAGACCGTTTCCACACCCAATATCAACGAAACCAGGGAACTCTTTGCCACTGTACATGTCAATCCATAGCTCTATCAGGAAGGCAGCGATGCCGAGGTCTTCAAACACGTGTTTACCAGGATCAGTGCTCTCAGCCCAGGCTTGGATCAGTCGGCGCGAGTATTTGCTCTTCAATTGCGCATATCGATTTTGAAATGTTGCCCTGGGTATGACGAGATCGTGATGAACCCTCTTGGCGTAACCCAGGACTGATCCCTCGCCATGTCGGTGAAGGACCTCGAGGAGATGAAAAGCAACTCGGCGCAGCTTAGGATCTACAAGGTCACCTGGTGAGCCCCCCAGAAAATGTACCGATATTGTGCCTGTACGTGAATTGTGGTTCCATTGGTGAAGGTGTGCAATTCCGCGGACCTTGGGGTGGTAAAAGGGAAGATCCTCCACAGACGCATGAGGGACATATATAACAAGAGATGTGGTGAGTATTTCCGGCTCATTCACAGTATGGAATGTACAGGTTTGGTTGAGTGGTTTGTCTCTCCTTTCACTCCTGGGGATCAATCGCCGTACCAAAGTGCGTTTCAGCGGTATGTGTGGGATTTGCCGAACGACGGGCTGAACTAAGTCAGACGCATCGTTAGAGCTATTTGCGGGGGTAAGTTCATCCAAGTTGCCGTCGTCGAACAAGATATCTGCGCGAAATAGCCAGGTCGAGTTGATGTTGGGATTGTGAACCATATTCATCATAATGCTAGAAAACAGGTCTGGCCCAAACGTACATGCGTGGCTGTAGTAGGGCACCCATACATCGGTTTCCGTGGTTGAATCCTCAAAATACGGCAGCGATGCTGGTGTCATCTCGTCTGGTTTAAATGGCATGATGAGCTGAGCGGCCGTCGACAGCCAAGTCCGCCAACGAGCTTGAACATGAAGTCGGTTTGCTTTCGCAAGGTGGCGCCGAAAGACGTGAGTGGTGGGTGGTCACAGCGGTAAGGAAATCGCCTTGGCCCACCGATCCGATCGCAAGGCGATGATGGCTACTGAGCAGCGTGATGGATGCATGTTGGAGATGCCGACCAGACCAGACCAGACTCACACTCGGTCGAAAAAAAATTAAAAAAAAAAAAAAAAGAAAAAAAAAAAAAAGAGGGCCGGCATATGACGGTGCGCCGGTGGTGGGACAGAGCGCAGTAAGCGGGGCTCGGAGCAAGAGCGGACAGAGAGTGAAGACGGAGTCGCAACAGTTGCAAACCCGACACGCCCAAATACTCTGATTTCTGCAGCCATACTTCTTGATGACTCGGGGCATCCGACACCGAAAGACGTCAACTCAGCAGATGTTGATGATGAAATGGCCGAATGAGTGCCCCGCGGCGTGGGCGGCGGTGGCAACAGCATCTGTCATGTCATGTCTCCTCTCCTTCCGCGGTATGGTCCTCGGCGTCCTGGGCTGCTCCTGCCGAGAGCCTCTCTTCTTTGCAAAGTTCGCCCATGACATGTACTCGCGTGGGTGAGAGCGCACAGAATGTGCTCGAGGACTTTGAAACTCACATTGCAAGGCTCGAAGAAAAGACTGGCGCAGATTCCATGTTCAGCGGGCGGGAGACGCGGCGGTGACGGCAGACTTTCTTTATCCTATTTCTTAGCATCTTGAATTTAGGCGCACGCTACTCCGTACCCTGTTGGATGACGATTGCTCGGCATTCCCCTAGGTTAAGCCTCACAAGTTGCAACTCGCCTGCTGGTGCCTGGAGCCTGGAGAGAAAACAATGGAAATCCATCAATCACCAAGTCAGATGCTGTCGAATTTTTGCAGCAGCAGCTGTTGGGTTTGGCCATCCTATCAGGCTCTGCCGTGATTGGCTGGCCATACTGAACACACTAAACCCGGTCGTCATGATCATAAATTAATAGCCGAACATGCCAGGCACAAACCTCTGTGCTGGTGCAGGTGTCTGGATCACGCCTGAAATCTGAGGCATCATGGCGCCTTATTCGCCAGCCGACTGGGAGGTGGGGCGCTTGGCATCTTCTGCGCCCGTTACTTCCTGCCCTCTGCACGTACCCGCCACTTGTCACTGGTTCCAAGCCGCTATACGGAGTAAGTCGCTGCGGTCTCCCGCCAGCTGCCGCCGTCTGTCACTTTAAGTACTTGAGAACGTACCTAGTACTTGCTTAGTACTTAGCACCCTACCACCAACCGCCCACCGAGTCCTGTCCACACAAGTCCGCTGCCCGCTACCCACGCAGGCCCCGTGTCCCCCCTCTTCCCTTCCTTCCCGTGTTCTCGCACACGCACGCGCACCACACGCACTCGGCGTGCCCCCCTCCCAAAAGGGCCCCAGCAAGTCTTCTCCCAATTTTCGCCCCTCCTCCCATCACCACCAATCCGGCCTCTTGTCGCAAACGCTCTTGTCAGCCCTTTGCCTTTCGCCACGCACATTTAAACCTTCCCTTCGCCAGCAGCTTCAATCCTCATCTCGGAATTCGTTTCTCCCATCACCCTCTGTTTCGTCTTCGTCTTCACGAACCTACGTCTCGTCAGAACAAACTTCACACAGCGAGGCATCCTGTAGCTACCGCCTTTCGCTGAAACACTCCGACCTCATCAACAAACCCATTTCCCACAGTCCCCCCTCAACGTCCGAGTTTATGTCCATCGAAAATCTTAAGACCTTTGGTATGTCGCTCTCTGGCCGTCCCTGCCGCTTCCCTCGGCCACGTTTCTCCCTCTTGCCTACAAACCCGCTTTTTCCAATCCCGTCAACCTGCGGCGTCGTCATTCTGCCAGCTCCGAGCCGTGCCACCTTCCCCCACGACGACGCCGCTCCGACTTTCCGCCTTGAAATGATGCTGACTTGACCCAACTACTAGACCCCTTCGCCGAAGCCGACGAAGATACAGGCGAGACTAAGCAGTCACAGAATTACATACATATACGTATTCAACGTACGTCTTTGCATGCACACGCGCTTCCCACGAGTCGCTGCGCCGCTACCTTGCGTGACAAAAGAAGGAAGCAGCAAATGCCGCAGGCACGCACCGTTACTGATATTCATTTATACAGAGCGTAATGGACGTAAAACTTTGACCACTGTACAGGGTCTCCCGAAGAAGTTTGACCAGAGGAAGATACTCAAGGTCATCAAGAAGAAGTTTGGTGCGTACAAGTCCCCTTGCGATCCGCTTTTTTTGGGCCGCCCATTCGTAGCGATCCTGGACTCGGACATGCTTACTAACAGCGCCCTTCCAGCCTGCAATGGCACTATCGTCAACGACACGGAAATGGGCGAGGTGATCCAGCTCCAGGGTGACCAGCGCAAAGATGTTCAAGAATTCCTCATCGACAAGAAGGAAGGCCTTGAGCTAGATGCCAAGACCATCAAAGTCCACGGTTTCTAAGCCAGCAATGCGCCGTTGCCCTGTCAGCTGCTTGCTCATCAAGATGCACCCGCTGACATAGAGGACGGCTTGGGACGAGAATGGTCCCCCGCGTATTGCGCCTCTTTCCAGATGTATCGATAGCTAGGGGCTCAACTCGACTCCAATCGAACTCGAGGACGACGGTCAACATCCACCGATCCGTGAGATTCTTGACTTTTTTTTTTAATTTTTGTTTATTTGTTTGTTGGTGAGGGGGGCCTCGGCAAGAGTGAAACGGAAAGCACGGCGGTCCGTTTTTCTCGAACCAGGGATGACCGAGGCTACGGGCCAAGTTTCCGCATGGCTTGTCAGTCGCTCGTTGATTTGTTTATTAGACAACCCCGGCCGTAGCCTCATACAGAGTAGTGAAATGGAAGTCGAAATTGAAAACCCAACAACCACGGGGCCACTTGCACAACCCAAGTCGCCATGGCCTAATTTGGGGGAGAAATGACGATGTGAAAGGAGTTGGGTACTCGCTCGTCCCTTCTTAATTATGCGCGTTCCTAAACGCCGTGATGCAGTTCTTTTATGGCGCTGCTGTGCAATGAGCCAAGGTATTCGACTTGTCAACAACGGTCAAGAACGGAGCGATGGGAGTCATGGACACCGTACAATGGGGTATTTTTAAGTCTGCACCGCCGGCCAACAAACGCCATGGCGACAACCGTCTTCTCGGGACACAGACTCCTCCTCCTCTTGCCTCTCTTGTATCCCGTCCCTGCCGCCTTTATCCTCTCCCTCGCAGTCAACCTAGAGCTCTGCTCGTTCGATAGACCCCTTGATTTGCACCAGCATATCATGTCCGTCGTTCCACAATTGTTTCACGTGTCCAGCCAACGGCATGACAGGGTAGTCTTGTTGAAACGAATGTATGTGTATCAGCAGAGTTACCATGCTAATGTAGCTTGCTATTGAAAAGACATTGACAGATGTTGACGTCTCCTTTCGTATGTTGATCTTTTGGTGTGTTATGTGGTAGCATACTGTGAGTGTCTTTGCTCGAGCGAGACGCGTTAGTCTGATTGATTGCGGGCAATGAGGAGTATATTGGGAGTTGGCATACAGTTGCGATGCCGACCCAGCCAGGAAGCATGAGTCGGGGGTCCTCAAAACCGCCGGCGAACAAGAGGACAATCATGGTAAGGTAGGCATTAACAGCATTGATGGTGAGCAAACGCACTATGGTTGCTTGTGGAGTGTAGTAGATGAGCCTATTGGAGAGTTAGCGCGACGGCAGAGTCGATCTGTTGCGTTGACAATGCGACGGACCATCGTGACATGAGGCAATCGGTAAAGAAGAAGGAGAGGTACCCGCAGGCAAAGCACTACACGTAGGGTCGTGATCAGCGAACAAGGCCTGATTGGCGTCTGGGGAGGTCCCAGTCACGAACCCATATTGTCGCCAGGGCACCTTCTGTCAGTGCAAAGGGGACGGCATCGTCACCACCGTCGCACGAGCCGGTTGTGCATTCGCGATTCGGTCGCACGACGAGAATTTGGTCGGGGCCAGGGAGAACTCGTAGCAGAAGCTGGAGGGCACATGGCAGACCCCACCAGAGCGCGGGAAGAATAGAGCAGAGTCGAAGGGCGAAGAGCCATGGGTGCCAGGGAGGAGGGACGTTGAGGACGACGGCGACTCGAGGCTGGAGGAGGGATGGGTGGACGGGCGGAGGGGACGAGGGCGAGGACGAGAAGGACGAGTCGATGCAGTGGTTGTGGGCGTGAGTGTGGCTTCCTTTGTGGTTGAGGTGAGAGGCGTCGTGATGTGAAGTCTCGGCGGCTGTGGGGACATGTATGAATGCTGAGGAAGACGCGGTGTTGGGCGGCGGGCGATTGGCGGACGATGAAGATGCGGTGGACGAGGCCCGGTGGTGAGGACGGGCCATCGCCATTGCACTCTCAGGCCATGGGCGAAAACGGGAGTGTCTGTGAGACTGAGGCTGAAAGCTGAAGCTGCAACTTGCTGGTCGACTGCTGGAGGGGGCGGGGGAGGCTAGACGGGTGCGTGATGGATGACGGAGGGGACGTCGGAGAGCGGAGAATCGGAGGTTGTTACTAGCTGTAGCTCGGCAGAAGAAGCACGCGAGCGTCACCGAGGGATGGGACGGGCTGGTTGGAGTCGTGGTTCCAAGGTTGATTGATGTGGCATCAATAGATTTCGAGGTCGGACGGGAGCGAGGAAGCAAGAGCAGACAGCCGGGCGAAGGCAGGGGCGGCCGGCCAGCAGGGCCGAGGGCGGAAGGGCGCCTTCCAGAAGGAAAGGGGCAGGGCGGCGGAGCCACCAGCTGACCTCGACAGGTTGGATGGATAGGGGCTGTTGTTGTTGTTGTTGGTCTCGGAGTCCAGATGTCTGAGATAAACATGTGAAGAAATGGGAGAGAGAGGAGCCCAACGTGTCGCGAGTCGTGATGCGACATGGACCCCGGCAGGCAACTAACAAGGCTGTACTTCAGCACCTCCCACACCGTACCCGTGTCATCGTGGTTGCAGGTTCATGGGTTAGGGGAGTCGAGCAATGTAGTACGTAACTTAGTACTAGTACTAGCAAGGCCGACGACACGACGTGTGACGTGTGCTCGGTACTACTACATGGATAGTAGATAACAGGTCACGGCTCATCTGTGGCATCCCGGCAAGATGTCAATGATTAATTGATGACTGTGGAGCAATGAAGTCCTTGTGAATCGTCCAGGACGTGGACAGCGGGCTGATCCAAGCTCCTGGGACATCCGACGCCATTGCATCATTATTTTGACTGAAGACCGGGGGATCTGTCGAGATGTGCATCGTTATCCATCCCGGACAGCATCGACAGCAAACATACTGGGGAGTCGGGACGCCGTGTGTTCCATCGGCACTTGTATGGCTCGGGTTTGCCCTGTTTCAATCTCATGCCGCCCATTTCCTCTTAAGCAATCAACCAGGCATTGCCGACCAAATTTGCAAACATGCCAGCATTCGATCCATTCGTCTCCAAAGGCTGGGAACATGCTGACCTGAGTGGAACTGGCGTAACAAACAACATAGACAGCCGTCGAGAAATGAACAGCCCGTCATCGTACAGCGCATTGTGCTGACGTTTACACGTCTGCTGCTCGCTCTCGCCGATGGCGCAATATTCGACGGCTTCGGATCTCTATGCCCGCGCGTCGACTCGTGGACTTGTTGCCCGGTAGCCAGCTGCTACCTAGACGCTTGTTTCCGGGATACGTCCGTGGAGGGCTAGGCTATAAAGAAGTCATTTTCATCCAGCGCAGTCTATCTGAAGCAGGACAAAACAAAACATATTGCTTGACGACCCGCAGCCCAACTTCCACACGCAAACAGGCCACATATCTGACGGCTTATTCTTCCCGAGACCTTGTGGAGTTGCCATGCATGCGGCTTGTGATCCGACATTGCTTAGTCGTGAAGTGATCCTGTACAAATTCATCTTTTTGGATGAATCATTTACCTTGCACGTCACTTTTCGCTTAAATCCCGTCCACCGCCGTGTTACTTGTCACACGCGTGTTGTGGCCGAGTCGAGAGATATGTCTTCACCCCCTATGGCCACCGTCGTAAGTTGGAGGAACCACGGGATAGAAGTATTTTCTGAGGAAGCATGTCCTTGAAGCTTACTAATGGCTGCAGGGAAGCCAAGAGATGCCAGAAGTAGCTGATGCAATTATGGCTATACGGCGAGATGTTGGTGCCTTGAGGGTAGAAATCAGTCAAGGCCTTGACAAAGTACGCGATTCGAATTTGGGATTTGAAGAGCGGCTCCTTGATGTCGAAGAGACGTTTTTGAAAGACTTCACTACCCGACTTGACTCTCTAGCACTCGACAGCATGACCACCCGAGTCGACATACAAGCTCTGGGGCTGGATATTGACCAGGCCCATGACCATGTATGCACCACGCTTGACGAGCTTCGCAGCGGAATATTCAAAGCTGTGCAAGACTCGGACGGAGTTATATCTGGCAGACTTGACAGATTGTCAAAGGCCATCATCGACGTCAACAGTCGATCCAAACATGCCTTTCTGGAGATTGGCCGAGGCCTTGATGTGAACCACCATGCCTTTGTAACAAGGCTCGACGAAGTATCCGAGGATATCAATTCGACTGTCTGTAGAAAGATCGACAACGTAAACGACAATCTCAACAAGCTCGTTGTTGAGACAAGAGACCACCTGCAGGATCGGTTTGATGAGGTCCAAGAGGAAGTGGAGAGCTCACGTCGCCGAATACACGAGAAATTGAACAATGTACACGAGGCCCTTGCTGGCATCATGAATATTTCACGAGACAAAGTCCTTCGCAAGATGGAGCGGACCACATCATTGCTCAGCTCAATGCAACCGCTGATGCGCGAGCTGAGGAAGAGCCAAAAAGGGTAGCTTGTATCTCCTCCATGAACAAGGTTGACCCGCTGGTTTGGTTTGTATAGGTACGTCAAGTATGAGGCTGCGGTAGAAGGTGAGATGCTATGGGCTGCCTTTTGGCTCCTGAATTTGGCTCTAATGTCGAATATTTTAGGCCTCCATGATCCCGAATGTCATCCAGCGTCGAGTCAGAGCAGCGAAACCTCTCGTCGTAAAATGAGCTTAGGGTCAGTACTACGCCTTGTGAAATGAGAGCGACTTCGTATAGTCACGGGAAAATAGGTGGCGAGTGTAATTAGGCAATGGAGTCTTGTACTTCTTTTTCCATGTCGTTTCCCGGCTCGGTGGTGGATGCTTTTCGCGCACACGACGCATTGCCATTTCCCATAGCGGGCACGGAGAACAGAAGAATTCAGCCTTATCTAGACCGTGATGTGAGATTCTGTTGACGAACATAGTCGATGCCAAAGATGGTGTCACTAATCGATCTCTGCAGTCGGCTGATGTAGTATGTGGCCCAAGTCGTATCTTGAATCGTCGCGGGTCAAATGGTGTACGCCTTTATGGCAGTTGGTGCATCTCGAATGGGACTTTTCGCCGATTCTATACAATAAAGAAGGATGAGGGCACACCATTTTCGACTTCATCCTTGCACTTTTCTGATGCAGGAGTTCCAGCTGCGACTGGCCAGCTGGGTGGGTGAACGAGTCCAGGCCGTGACCGGTCGAGCGTCGAGCCATCGAGCTGTCCTGCAACAAGGGCTGAGTCAGGCCAGAGCAACAACAGAAGCTGAGGTGCCCAAATGACTCGGTGGAATTGATAAGTGGCAGCTCCTCGACCAGGCGTCAATGAGGGAGATTTGAGCTCTGGAGAGAACGAGAGGCAGCAATGCAGCTGCCAGACACGGCCCAAGTCCCCGCTCCCATGCTCCTTTGAGCCCTTTCTGTCTCTGCCTTTTCTTTTTTTCTTTCCTTTTTCTTTCCCTTTTCAGTCACCGCGGAGTATCTTTCGCCACAAATATTCTCGCCTCCAATTTTGCTGTGCCCGTCGTTCATTTTAAGCGCGTCGCAGCCCAAGGACGCTGGTGCACAACTTAATCACCGAATTCCCATGGGCACCGAAGGCTCCCTCGTCCACCTCAGTGATGGAGCTCGTTTGTTCGTCAAAGTACTGGGAGACAATGCCAGGTCCAAACAGCTAGTGATTGCTCTGCACGGCGGTCCTGGGGTGTCTGACCATCGAGAATCAGAAGCCTCATTTCAGTTCCTGTCGTCGCGGTTTCGAGTTTTGGTGTACGATGCGCGAGGCAGCGGACGCAGCGATCCCAAGGGTCCTTACACTCACGACCGATGGACTGCAGATATCGATGAACTGAGGTAAGTCCTGTCTCTGGTTGTTTTCGGTGGGACAAGAACGGAACGGCGCCAGTGTCCCTGACAATGCCCAGAATTTGGGCCGGCTCAGAGCCCGTTATTCTGGCGGGAGGCTCGTACGGCGGATATGTTGCACTGGAATACGCCATCAAATACCCCAACCACGTATCGGCGCTTATTTTGCGAGACACTTCAACGTCGGGACCTAAAGGAGCCATGTGCTGCCTTAAATCATCGCTCACATCCACCCGAATAAAAGTCGATGCGGATCGACAATACAGAGTTTGGACTGGCACTTTGAAAAGTAATGAGGATCTCCGAGCTAGTTTCTGCGAAATCCTCCCCATACTCGCAGCAGAAAAGATAAACCCCGAACCAGCGACGAGAGCGTTTGACCCAAGCCAGCTGAGATTGCACTTTGAGACACACAACTTCGCCATGAGCTACAATATGCCGCGGTTCGACGTGCGCTCCAAGTTGGGTGACATTTCCGCGCCGACCTTGATTGTGGTCGGACGACATGATGTCGTGGCGCCCGTGCAGTTTAGTGAAGAAATGCACGATTTGATGCCAAACTCCCAGTTGGCAATCTTTGAAAAATCTGGACATGATCCGTCGGCGGAGGAAGCAGACTCATTCCAAGAAAGAGTGACTCGATTTCTCGACTGTTTTAGGCTGTGATGTATCGTGCCCCGTCGTGAGGCTTTTTAGAGATGGCACTTGACTTCGGAGCATGGAACGGCGCATGCTATTCATTGCGGAATGAAAGTGTGTGAACAGAGCGACTGCCCGAATGGTTCTCCCATGCAAATTGAAGTCGCCAGGTTCACAGCAGGCCTTGTTCGAAGTCATGGTTATTCGAATGGCAGGACCGCGAGACACTTTGAATATCACCCGTCCATCTGCTTTCGGTAATAACAGCTTTATTTCTTTCGCAAAAATCTCGGACAATCCGGCCGAGCGGGCCAACCCCCATGGGTTGCTCGTCGCAGAAAGTTGTCGTTTGCAGTGACGTGGGCAAGCTACAGTTTTAGACCAAGGCGCGTGTCTGACGGCATCCCAGAGACCATGACGCGTTGTCCTATTCCAAGAGCGCGCCATGTGTGCTTGGCCGCCACAGTATTTCAAGAAGAGCACGTGGACAGTGCAAGGATAATGACCGTGACCGCGTGTCATCTGTCATCCGCCCGTGCAACGGCATCACTCTCATGTCAGACCTGCCTAGGTAAGCAGATTCTCGCCAAGTTTGTCAGCCTTCAGTGCTCAATAGTGGTTGCTCAGTCTACAATGTGGGATATGTAACGGACTTGTCCTCGTTATTACTCTCGTCGACTGTGGGCGACTGCGTCGTTTTGCCAGGCCAAAGGCAACGGCACACAGCCTTGAGGCAACGGCACACAGCCTTTGTAAGACGAAGCCAACAACGCAAAAAATGGTGAATAAGGCTCAGACAGTTGGTCCAAATGCTCGATTTCAGATGTATGGAATGATTTTGGGCCATAACGGGGATTCAACCTAAATTTAATGTAGGCATTGCACGAGACCGGCCAAGAAGCTCACAAGGTCGTCCAAAGACGTCGGGTCCTCAGGTCACTTACAAGGCTCGTCCAAGCCCTTTGCAGCAAACTCAAGAAGTGGCGCATTCTCTTGTTTGAAGGAACGATAGGAAAGCTCAATGGCATATACTCTCCTCCAAGGCGTAAATTTAGCGCGCAAGCCAGGCATGGTCAAAGACAAGCATCGCGCGAGATCAACCACATCACGTAGAGATTTAACATGAGCGTGCTCGCAGCAAAGAAACTTGAGACTCTAAAAGCCGTCTAATTTAAGCACTTGGTCTCATGACCGCTGAATCGGACCACCGCCTGCCGGTTTGCGTGCCTGAGGTCGAAGCCACGAGAGTGTCAGTCTAGATGAGTCGGACTGTCAAGAGTGTCAGTCTAGCTTGGACAGACTGTTCAGAGTGTTTATCAAGATGACCCAAGGCTTGGCAGGTGCTCATCTTCCTATAGTTTCTCCTTCCTCCCTTTCCTTCCCAGTCTCTTTCTCCTCCTTCTCAAGTCTCTCCTTCCTCGTTCTCCAGGGCCTTTCCGAGAAGCAAAGCAACACTTCATCGCATCTGCTGAAATCTGACACCGCTCTCATCCACGAGGGGATGATAAGTTATTACACCTGCTCTTGCAAGCACAAAGTACATTCTTATTTTCTCACCTGATCTCTTACCCTTCGCCTTTGGTAGTTGCTACCGCGAGTGAGTGTCTTTTTTTTTTTTTTTGCTGGGTCATCGTATTCTCTTCGGCTCTCGAGGTTCAGAGTTTGGGAAAGGTGATCAAGGTCTTAAATCACATCGTGCTATCCTTTTTATCCCTTTCGAGATTCTTATGCTAGTCGCTTCGCGCTGGTCAGGCTTTCCATTCCATCTACCATTCAGCTAACGGTTGTGTCAGGACGAGAACGGAAAAAAGAACTCGCACCAGTTATCATGGCTTGCCACGGATCCGTGGCCAAAATGGGACGCCTTACACGTGGTTTCAAATCCGTAAGGAAATCCTCCTCGGACGATCATCTTACATCTCCGAGTCCGTTGCGCGGCGGCGGCGTGTGTGAGTATTTCCTCCTTGGATACTCATTGTCTTTGATCCATGGCTCCCCTCCGCTCTGCTATTTCTTTCCATATCCAGGCTGGTTCATATTGATGCCTCCAAGCTCCATATTGTTGACAGTTTGACATCCCTTCTCCCCAGTGTTTCTGGGACGACTCTGCCACTAAGGCGGTATCATGTTGAATGTCTGAGTGGTGAACATTGACTCTTTGGGCACACCATGCTCTCTTTACATACATACGTGATGTTTGCATGAAAGATGCGGATTCCGTTTCCCGTGACTCTCGATTGCTGCAGTTCCTGTTTGAGACAACTCAGACAGCAGTCTTCCTGACTACAGCAAAATTAAATTTGCTACACATTCATCTGCTAACATTCGTCCAGCTCTCGGGCCACGTTACGCCAGTGCCACTGCATCTCCGACCCCAAAGCTTCAGTAACAATAAGCCATGCTCACTTTCATTCACCTGCCATGGCGACTAACACACTCCAGGAGCCACCGGCGCAAAACGGCCTCTGATGACGGAACGCCAAAATCTACCAAGTTAGTACCATCCGTCTTCGAATCCTTTGAACAATGTTAATGATGTCGCACAGTTCATCAGCTTTCCTGGTTGGCTCTAGCGTTGAAGACGACATTTTCACCGAAGCGTCGTCTGAAACCCCGGCCAAGGCATCTGTGACCAACAAAGAAACACAGCTCCAAGTATTTGACGGTTCCCCAGCGAAGCTAGACGCCCAAGTGATCTACCCAGGCACTGCCTGCATGTTCGTTGCAAAGTAAGCATCGCGCTCTGTTAGTGGCTTGGTAGTTTCTAACAGTTTTTCTTTTCTTAGTCTTTCTCAGCCCTACGAGGACAAGGTTCTCGAATTCGAAGTCACCAAGATTTTTAGCCAATTTGGAGAGGTGTGGGTGAAAATCAAACGAGATTGTTATCAAATGCCCTTCGCATTTTGCCAGTTCACCGTAAGAAACTATAAGTAGTCATCGTTACCCGAATTGGAGGGCAAGTGCTAAGCAAGAGTCTTGCAGAATGACAATGATGCTCAAAGAGCAGAGAAGTTTGGCAAAGGAATGAAAATTCTCGGACGGCCTTGCCGTACTGAGATGGCTCGCGCTCAGTGTACGTGACTTCTCCATCTTCCCGGATTACCGGCTGACTTGATTAGCTTCGTTTCTTGTCTCGAAGAAGAGTGGCATGCCTATCACAATTTCTGAGGCTACAACGCTCCTCAGTCAGCTCGGCGAAGTCGCAAAGGCTGAATTTGCGGACGACGGGATTCAACGATCTCTCGGTTTCCCGCCGTCTGTTCTAGTCACATACAAAATGTATGACGCTAGACGTGAACCAGTCAGAGTAAGCCTCCGAATTTCCTCTTCAAAGTCCGTACATTCCATGCTAAATCTAATATCTGTGGCAGTACTTTGCGCAAGATCAAACATATGTGGTCGTAGCCAACAATCCCAAACGACACAATAATATCGTGTCTTCTGCGTCTAAGTGGGACGGCGGCGATGCACTTATGCAAAGATATGACAAGGATCGTCGCTCGGCATACGTTGGGAACCTCCCTCCCGACATGACTGAGAACGTTCTCCGAGATCTTGCCGGCTCGAGCGGTGAGGTTTTGGGTGTTCAGATATATAAGAGGGACATTCCAGGCAAACCTGGTATATTCCATCTCCAAACGCCCTCTAAATGGTGTTTGTTAGACTGACGCTTGCCCTAGGACAAACAAACTGCTTTGCATTCGTTGAGTTTGCGAGACCAGACGGTGCTGACGACCTAATTACAACCATGGTGACTAGAATCGCAGCGAGAGCCAGGACTTTCTATCAATGCTGACATTTTTACTTCAGAACAACACAGATATCGACGGCAACTCCATTCGGGTAGAGCGTAAACATTCTCGAACATTTGAGACTCCACGACGCGAAGCCGGATATCGAAGCTGCTGGTCGACTCTCCCCAGACGTCGCGCTGGAAGTTCCTTTATTGACGATAGTGCATCAACCACAAAGCGAGCTGAGTCCCCGAACCGGCGTATGAACTACAACAAATCATTCTCTTATGGACAGAACCGACGACCCCGCCAGACCATCTTCAATATCGACACGTCTGTCGGCAAAGCCATGTCCTCTCTCAATCTTGAGCAAGCCTCAGAAAAGATGGAGGGAGTTCAACCCCAACATGACTCTCGAGGTTTTGGCTCCCCAAGTAAGAAGTCAGTTGAGTTTGAACTGCCCAGCGGACCTTCCTCCGGAACTCGCGCCGAAACTTGCCCGACTACTCCCACAGTTGGGGCGGTGAGTGACGATCAGCACGTGGCAAGTCCGATCCTCTCGGACGATGATTCCGGCACTCTAACAGCTGTCAACACTGTTCCGGCTCCGCAGATCTCTCCAGGTGTTATGATGCCGCCTCCTTTTGCTTGGGCGCCATTTTACCAACCATACCCGCAGAGCTATCAGTATATGGCGGGACCATTCACTCCTCATCAACCAGTGAATGAAGGCATGGTGCCATCATATATGACCCCTCAATACCCTGCTCATCCGACCATGATTTATCAAAACATGATGATGCCAACGCCGGCTATGATGGCTGCTCCTCCTACCCCAACGGGACGATTTCGTGGTTCGGATCACCACAAGGGACATGACGGAGGGTCCAACACCAAGAACTAATCCCAGTAAAAAAAAAACTTTTTTAGTTTCCTTGTTTCTTTCCTATCTACTTACTTTTGAAAGATCTCTCTTTCTCTCTTACACACACACACACACACACAAACAGAAAAAAAAATGCTATTTCCCTTGGCCAAGAGGCACAAGGGGGAAAGAACCTCGTTTGCAAACGGGCTCCCCAGTGGCCGGTCGATAAGCCGTGCTCTTTTCCGGAGTTGTGCATATTAAAACTCTTTCGAATTGCTGTAGTTTTCAAGTCTTTACCTGGAAAGAATGCGGGAGAGAGCGTTTAGGGCAAGAAATGGCGGCCATCGACCATATTGCCGATAATAAGACGGGCACGGGGAGGACTTGTTTGAGTATTTCAGGAAATCGTAGCTGGAGATAGGATAGTCCTTTCTGGGGACGGCGCAAGGAATGGATGTCCTGTAATCTAGAAATTCATTTGGCTAATAGGGCCAGATAATTTGCGACCTGTAATGTAGAGTTTTGTTCACAATGCACAGGTCCCGACATGATGATATTTGAGGAAACTCTTTCTTTCAGTAGGATGACGGTGGACTTTGGGAAACCATGACCGCAAAGGCCATTCACACGAGCTCAGTTTCCTTGGAGCTTTGTGCCACGACAATGGTTTTCCTTGAGCATCATGGAAGCCCTTGTGAAACGCCGAGTTTGCGCCTGGAGTCTGCGGAAGGCATTGCTGAATTCCCGATGGGCATGGGTTGGTATGGTGACGACACTGAGGACGTGCAAATGCTGTCATCCCGGGAGGGAACCGCAGGTGCTGAAGAAGCGCGCCTCGACGAATGCGGCCGCAAGTTGAAACCTGCCCCGAGAAGGCCCTGGATTGCCTCCTTTGCTGTGTTTGATTCCAGTCGGCCCGCTGTTGGAGCATTGAGAGCTCTAACGGGCGAAAGATGCAAGCTGACGACGTGCGCTGCGGAACGGGACAGTTTAACACAAAACCGGGCCCCACAATGGAAGCACACCAGCTCAGTGCCCTCGAGTGAACGTAAATACGCTAACGAAACTCCCGACATCAGAAGTACCTACTCAAGTACCCATCATGAATCCAATAGTTCATATCCCACGACAGGCAAAGCTCCAGTCACCCCCCACTGCAAAACGCCAATAATTCTAAGCCGTTTTAGGCGGTGGTGCTGCGACTTTTCCGAGCTACCTTTTTTTTTTTTTTTTTTTTTTGCCCATCTCCTACATCTCGCCCAGTGGACAACGTGCTCACGCGACTGCAGAGGCGTGGATTCCCTTCTCCTTCACTCGCTCGCTCCCGGCAATTCATTCAACGAATCCGCGAGAAGAGCCTCTGAAAACTTAACTCATGGGTCAACCATCTTTCCCGGCATCTAATGCCCTCATCTACCTCACTTATGGAGCCTTCTTGTACGCAACGACTATTACCTCAAACCACAATGTATGGCGAGTGCTAACCTCTTTGGCACAGGGTTCTAGGAACGGGGATCGCTTGGAGAATGAGAAATCAGTCCAAGCAGGATTTCCTGAACAGCAACGGAACACAGAGTGGTGAGCAAACAATGTACAGGACATATGGGCAAAGGACTCGAAATGACCTCAAGAAACGGATGGAGACGAGGACGCAGGGCTCAGCTAACTCCATCTTTCCTTCAGCCTTTCCTCTTGCTCTCAACTTTATCGCCTCTGGTGAGTCGAGCCGTTACGATCCAGCTACAGCATCATGTTTCCAGAGCGGTGGCCTTTGCAACTTGCAGATTCAACAATGACACCCACGCGGACCCCTTTACAAGGGATCCGTCACATTTACATCAAATATACCGAAGCAGGAGCAGAGTCAGCTTGAATGAGTAGGTCCATTCCCTGATCTTATTCCTCGCCTCTCTTGGCGACGAGGTTATGATGCCTTCTTTTCTCGTGCTCCTAATCGTCTGGCACAAGCCTGTTGGTGTCGTTAGCCAGCAGCCGTCCTGCCTTGGCGGAATAGAAATGTTTCTCCATGTACCACGTGGAGAAAAGCATCAAATGTCTTCGTCGCGAGAGGGGAGGGGATGCGGCTCACTACGGGCGCCGATTTGAAGCGAGGCACGCGATCCAACTCCTGGACGGCATTGTTTCGGGAGAGATCTTGTACCATGTGGATCTGAAGCTGAGATTGCACCGTGATTACTCGATCAAGTTAATGCTTGCGTGGGAAATGTGTTGCCGCTCCGACCCGTCCCTGACTTTCTGCCCTGTCCCATTTCGTTTGCATACCACTGACCCGTGCAGCTCTCGGCGCCGGCATCCTCTTCTCCTATCCCGAGCTGGCAACCATCACTGGTGTCCAGGGAGTCGTTGTCTACGCCCTGGCATCGGCGTTGCCCATGCTCGTTTTCGGAGCTCTAGGGCCCATTATCCGCCGCAAGTGTCCCGAAGGTTTCGTCTTGACGGAGTGGACGCGACAGCGCTACGGAACAGTCGCCATGTTGTACCTCAGCTTCATGACCCTGGTGACGTTGTTCCTGTACATGGTGGCAGAGTTGTCTGCTCTCGGTCAGGTTGTCAATACATTGACCGGGATCGACGGCCTGCCTGTGATCATCGTGGAATGCGTCATTACGACCATTTATACCTGTTGGAACCTCCCTGCCCCAGACCTTGTCATCGAACTGCACTGGGCGCTAACAAGGTGATAGCTTTAGGTGGTTTCAAGATTTCTTTCCTTACGGACGTCATTCAAGGTGGCATGGTCGTTGGCCTCATCATCATCGCCACCATCACCGTTGGTGCCAAGACGGAAATCAAGCGTGAGCTCATCGACTCGTCGCACCTCCTGGAACCGAGCCTTCTTGGTTGGCAGCTCCTGTACATTCTGCCCGTTGCCGTCCTCACAAACGACTTCTTCCTGTCCAGTTTCTGGCTGCGAACATTTTCTTCCAAGTCCGACAGAGATCTCTGGATTGGTGTATCTGTCGCCATGGCCGTCATCCTCTGCATCCTGACTCTTGTCGGCTGTACTGGCTTGATTGCGGCCTGGTCTGGCGCGTGGCCGGGCGAGCCAGAGCAGGCGGGTTCATTGGCCTTTTTCCTCCTGCTTCAGCGGCTACCCAGCTGGGTCGTTGGTGTTGTTCTCGTCATGGTTGTCTCCCTCAGCACCGCTGCCTTTGACAGTCTGCAGTCGGCCATGGTTTCTTCCGCCTCCAACGACCTGTTCCGCAACCGCCTGAACATCTGGTACATCCGCGGCATGGTTGTTGTCATCATAATTCCCGTCGTGGTTGTTGCTCTCCGCGCATCGTCCATTCTGCAGATCTACCTCATCAGCGATCTGCTCTCCGCAGCCACCATTCCCGTCTTGTGCCTCGGTCTCAGCGACCGCCTCTACTGGTGGCGCGGCTTTGAAGTGGTCGTCGGTGGTCTGGGCGGTATCCTGACCGTCTTCATCTTTGGTGCTGCGTACTACAAGGATGCCCGGCGAGGCGCCCAGTTACTTCTCATTCAGAATGGTCTGTATGCCAATGACTGGAGCGCATTTGGCGCGTTTGTTGCTGCTCCAGTTGGCGGCATTGCTTGGGGCTTTGCTGCTCTCGCTCTGCGTTTGTCGTTTCAGTATGTGCGGGCCAGGGTCCGCCGTGAACCCTTTGACGCGCTGGATCGGCCTCCTACGGCCCGTACCGTCTGCGAGGCCGACATGCCGGATGAGGTGGTGGCTGCCTCACCCAAGTCGGGCAAGTTTTTTTAACTCCGCTAGCGATCTGCATGGACGGCGAGTGCAAGCGAACTTGTGCGATTGCCGAGCACAGGGTTTGTCGTCGTGTTCAGGAACGTAAAATAAAGGGGAACAGTCGGCGCATACAGCCCCCTCAGGTGCTACTATGGCATGTTTCAACATTGGAGAGGTCAAACATATAGGCGTGGGTCGAGCATAGCATGAAACCCATCGTACAAATGCTAGACGGGTGAAACATAAATCCAATCTAACCAAAAATTGACCATTTTCGCTCCCATGCATATGCTACGGTACAAGTACAAAAGACGGTGACAAAGCCACGCGTCTAGTTTACATTGTCAAGCACCACGTCTGGCCATGACATGCCCTGCTTTTTCCGGACACGTTCTCCCTCCCGTCCTCTGATTCATTTCGTCGCCGAACCAGTCCACCCCGCCCGCCTGGCCTGCTCTTTGTCTATGACGGCCTTCTCCCGCAAGTAGGCGTCCAACGTCGTCGCCGAGGTAGTACCCCATATGCGCCAGGGCGAGGTCTCAAACGTCCTCTGGTTCGCCTGTCTCGACAGCACGACGTACTCAATCTTTTCTTGCAGCCTCAAGCTTCCCGGGACGGTCTCGCCCGTCGCAGCACTGACCCTGGACGCCTGCTGCGTCGACGCAATCGCCACGACGGCCTGCTCCGTAACCACGCTCCTGTCAAAGGGGTTCACCTCGTGGATCTGATGAGACTTCAACCGGGGGTAGAACAGGCCCCCGTTGTACCGGACCACCTCGAAGCGCACGCGCTCCTTGGGATCACGGCGGTCAATCGCCGCGCCGAGCTTCTTGGCAAACTCCCCGAGACAGATCTTGTTCAGGGTGACCTTGTCGCCGGCGGCAAAGGCCTCCAGCATCTCGCGGTACATGGCTTTTGCTGTGGGCGCAATGGCGCGCCGGCGTGCTTTCCACCTCGGCCGCGTCGTCCAGCTCGGCATCGACTTGAGCTTGAAGTTGAGCACCGACGTGGCGCAGAGCAGCCAGTGCCTCAGGCGCGACATCTGGTACTGGACGAACTCGTACGGCGCCCTGGGCTGCCGCGACAGCGGGAGGGAGACGAAGGTGCCTGGCGGCGTGTCAGTTGCGCGGTGAACGAAGCGTTGGCTGTTTTTTTTCTTTTGTTTCTTTTGTTTTTTTTCGGGGGGGTTACGGACCTGGGAAGAGAGGGCCGCCGCCGTCCTTGAAGTATTCGGCATTGGCGAGCTTTTGGAGGTCCGACATGCTCTGCTCCTTGGCCATTTTGGCCGAGCTCTGGCGAGACGCCCGGTCTAGTTCTCGGACAATCTTGTTCCTGCCGGGCACGGAGGCATATTGTCTCGCGCCTTGGACGGCCAGGGCTCCCCTCGCCGCGGCACGGCGCAGCGGATGCGAGGAGCCGGTCCGCCAGGCTGCGGCCAGCGACGCCATGTCGAACAACTGCCCTGACAAAGTAGCAAGTGGGTGAGTCTGATGCCGCCGGCGTGGAGGAGACTTGTAGGAGACGGGTGATGATGGAAATTGTCGGCGCAAAGCCGCTGTTCTGGACGCCGACTAATTCATCCGAAGCACCCCGAGCAGCTCACCCGTCACGACCCACTTTTCCCGCACAATTAGAAAGTCCGAAGGGTGAGACTACGCTCACCTCTGCAACCTTCCAGGAGCTCCATCATCCATCCCACCAACTTCAACGTCATACTGTTGTCGCAAGCTTCTTCCTCGCCGCCACGGCACGTGCGACGCTCCTGACAAACGCAAGCTCTGTACACCCAGCCCATGTTCTCGGAGAGCCGGCGGGCCAGTTGGCTCTGAGTGGGCAACGGCCGCTCAACCGTCGACGACAACCTCACCAACATCCTTCGGACGCGCCACGATGAGGGTCACGACTCCGCTGCCGGCAAAGGGCTTGCTGGCCCGCAGCGTGGAAGAGCTGCGGCGGCGCTCCAACATAGGTTCGTGCACCTGTCAAGTTCATCGCTGCGCTGCACGCGTCCCCGGCTGACCGACCCTCCGCCAGCCCTGAGGATGGAGGCCGTCAAGGGACCTCTCGGCCCGCGCCCCTTGTACGAATTCACCCACGCCGCCTCGGTACAAGACTGCGTCCTCATGTCGGATGCCTCGATTGGGGGCTCGTCCAGAAGCCACCTCGACTTCGTAGCCGGCGACGACTCCGCCGCCAACGACTCTCGCCCGCCGCCGTCGTACGCCCGCTTCCACGGCCGGATATCCACCTCGCTGCCTGCACACCGTCCGAACGTCCAACGCAGCGGGTATGCTGCGTTCCGCACGCCGGACCAGAGGCCGACGCTGTTCGGCCGCTCGGTCTGGGACATAGACCCGTATGCCTATCTTGCTTTGCGGATCAAGTCGGATGGCAGGTCGTATTTTGTCAATTTGCAGACCGAGGCCGTGGAGCCCACGGATCTGCACCAGCATCGTTTATTTGCCAAGCGGCCCGGTCAGTGGGAGACGGTCCTGATCAAGTGGAACGATTTTGTGAGGACAAACCACGGGTTTGTGGTGGAGCCGCAGACCGAGATATTGAGGCAGAAAGTGAGGACCGTGGGCATTGGGCTGACGGACCGCGTCGAGGGCCCGTTCGAATTGTGCATTGAAAAGGTCTGGGCTACGAACGAGGTTGCTGGAGACGCGACCGTGGCCAAGTCGGCCGCGTGTGAGCTGAAGAACAAGCGGGGGGAGAAGATTCAGTGGCAGACATGAGTGGTCCGGCTGATTGGCGGTCGTTTCTAGAGAGGGCCTCGCGTGGGCTCGCGCATGAGAGGAGAAACCTATTCTTGGACTGTCATGTCAGGACCTCGCTTGGGTCATCTGGGCGAGGCTTGGTATATATTCCGGTGCGATTCCGGGGTTTTTCTAGTTTAGGGGGCATTGATGCCGCATTGATCTACATGCCGGAGGGGAAATAGCTGTCCTGTACGGAAAAGTGTACATTTATTAGCACCGCAGTGAATATTTGGAACAGCCGTATTCGTCACCGTCCAAGACTCAGTGACTCGGCTGTTCTTCGTAATTTTACATACGCTGCCGCATAGTCTGCAGCTAGTGCCACTTCTCCTGTCAGTTTCATAATCATTGCCTTTTTGGCCATCATTTCACATTGGCTCTTGATATCCTCGATCGCCGAGTAGTGAGCAAATGCCTTTTGCACGGCGGATAATGCTCTGGTCATGTGTTCGATTCGCTTGGGTGACTTTGGCGGCATGTTGCCCGCCATGCCCATGTTTGCGTCGGCAAGGAACGCGTAGAGCTGAGCCGAGAGCGACGACGACTGGCACTCCAAAGCCCGCGGCAAGACTGCGACGAGGAGCTGTATGGCTGCTTCGAACTCGCCCAAAGATACGAGGATGTTGGACAGGGCGCCAATGGCTTGCCAGAGGCAGGGAATCAGCCGTGCGCGCCATGCAATGTTTGTAGCGCGGAAGGCCGTTGAAAAGGCTCTTTGCGGGCGGCCACATTTGTCTAGCAGAGCAACCTTTATGAGGAGAAGCTTCACGCGTAGCGCAATGTCCTTGTTCTCGTCACGCAACTTGGACATCAAGCTTTCCACCTTTCGGAACGCTTTCTGTAGATCGCCTCGGCGGATCAGGCAGTCTATGTGTAGCGAGTCGATAATGAAGGTCATGTCAGGCTCCAGGTCATCCGAAGTTGACTGCAAGAGCTGGCGGAGCAGCTCTTCGGCACCATCCAAGTTGTTGTGATGCAAGTCTTTTTTCAGTTTTATGATTGCCCTGTACTTGTACCAGTACTGGCTGGGCTTCCATGAGCGCAGCGAGTTCTCATCGAGTCTCTCCAGGTATTGGAGACCTTCGTCATATCGACCACGATCGGAGAGCGTCAGCGCTATGCGGCAGGTATGTTTCAGTTCATCGTCAAATACCGCGTGCCGTCCGTGACACCGCAGAAAAATTTCAGACGTCAGGGTTGACAATTGTGTGAGACCGAGTCGGCTCCATAATGCAGAGTACAATGACAGCTGGGAGCCGAACATGGTCTTCATGTTCCTCTCAACAATGACTTGTGAGCTTCGGACCATGTACTCCAGGGACGTTGCAACGCTGTCTCCGTTGATGAGCCCTAGTTTGGCCTCGCTTAGGAGCACGGAACTCCAAAGAGTCCACATGCCGGACTCTTTGGCCTTTACCCTTAAGAAGGCGAGACTTTCCTTGCCGGCGCCCAATAAACTGTTCGACTCCAAATCACGGACCAAATTGGGATGTGCCCGACCAAAATGAAAAAGCCAATTCAATGCAAAGTTGAGGCATGTCATGTCCCGATTTTCTCGTGCTGTTGAAACTGTCTCCAGCATGGCCGCTACGGCTTCCTGGTGGCACCCGAAATCTGCCTGCAAAACAGCCAAATTCATGAGCGCATACTGGTAAAACAGTCTGTCTCGGTATTGCATGGTATAGTCGAAATATCGATGCAGGAAATCGAATGCAGTAGGGTAGTCGCCAGACCTCCACGCATCAAGAAAGCTACATCACAGTTAGGGAAAAGGCAAGATTGACGTGATGTACAACCGCCTCGTACCTCAAATAATGTGTAAGACTAGGGACGAGAAAGCTGTCGTGCAGGAGATCATGAAACTGGTGTCGTATTTCCAAAGGAATCCTGTTTCCATATTCTATCCGGGTCAGCTTATTATCACACGTATGACCAGAACACGCTAGTCCATGTGCTTACTTTGCATCTGTTCGATCTGGAACTCGAGCAGCGACTCCACATCGTCGGTGCTCACCGGAATGGTGCTACTCTCATCCCCAGTGAGCATATCACCGTATGCAATTGTCGCCAAGGCAGACACGCTTGCCGAATCCCAGTCTTCTTGCTCCCCTAGCAAGAGGACGTTGTCGAAACTTAAACGGGCAAAGTTGGGGTTCTTCCTCCTCAAATAATGGGCAGTAGGCTGGCGATATCGAACAAATGCTTTCCAAAGTTCCGCAAAGTCATTAAAACGGAGTCGTTGGTATTCTAGGCGTGATCTGCGAATGAATGCTCCGAATGGTGAGTTGCGTGACAGTTTGATTCGATTATCCACATGGTCAGGGTCGTCACCGTCATCTTTGCGGCGCTCCTCTTTTGCTCTGACCAGCATTTCTGTGATTCTGTCGAAAAACTCATGCAAACCGTCGAGGGAATTGATTTTCCAAAGCTTCCCGAGGAACTGGTCCCAGAGCTTCCGACCAGGCATTCCCATCAAGAAGGGATAGCTGGCAAGAAGCTTTTCAAAATCTTTGATGGTGATAACCAAGCTCACAGTACGCTCGGCTTTTGCCCACCTTGCCTCTTGTGACGACAATGGATCTGTAGAGTCGTGATCCAAGAGATGTGACGTGATGAAGGAGAGAACTGGCAGCACGGCATCACTTGGGACTGCTTCGTGTGTGTACAGCTCCACGAGAGCCAGAAGCCCAATTTTCGCGGGCGTTAGGTATCGAGCCATGATGCGAATGGGTTAAGACAACTTTTTGATGGCTAAAAATCCCGTCCATGGAACATTTGGTCAGTTTCTAGGCTCGATGGCCGCGGAGTCTCGAGACTGAACACGGTGTGAGGTTAGAGAAGGCCGGCACGCGACCGAAGAAGGCTTGGCAGCCAAATCATATCTGGCAACTCAGTACGAGTCAGAAACTGGACCAATGCGTTGTCAAGTCAAATACGATGATTGTTATCACGCTCCAGGTATGGAAACAGTGTATATTTGTGACCAGGCGCTTGACGCGTCTTGCATGGGCGGCGGTTGCCATTCACGCCGGATATTCTTCGGCACCCCGGGAAGCATGACTGACGCAATCGTGTCGCTCAAATCACGAGTCAGAATAATGCGTTGCGAGATAGAGGCTTCGCCAAAAGCAATTGAGCGATGCGTAGCACTTCATTAAGGGCACTTGAGCTAATATTGCAAAGGCTTCATTTGCAGGCACTTTGCAAGACACATATTTGGGCTCCCACCCATGTCTCAATGACCTTTATCCAACCGCTAGCCCTGAGCCGCATTTCCCGGTGTTGTAGGAGAATATATAAGGACTTGCCATGCATTTCAGGTCGAGCGAGGTGTCATGCGCATTACACCAACAGAAGTAACGTTCCAATAGAACAGCAAATTTGAGCTGAGCACCGAAGTCAATTGGACACTAAGGAACATGTACAAGGAGTCTCCTGAAGGGGTATTCTATCAATAATCCCGGCTCCATGAGCCTGATACCCAGTTCCACTTTAGGCAGCCTTGTCCTTGTTGTGGTAGTTTACGGACTCGTTCCAGCTGAGGTTTTATAGTTAGTTCCAGTTCACATGTCAAGCAGCGCAGCCATGTGCTCGTAACATGCTGTCGTTTACACTTACAACAGAGTCTATCAAAACCAGTCAGCGTACGCTCAGCATCTAGAGACACGGCAACAAGAATCGTCTTACCTTGTCACCATCTCCCCACTGGAAGTTCTTGGTGCGAATGTTCTGGTAGGGGTATTCGGTGCGCTCCTCCAAAGGAGGCATGTGGCTCCAGTGCTCCCAGTGCTCTCTCCAGAGATACCAGGCATTGGCACCAGCAAGGACGAGGCAAGGAACAACACCGCTTTATATCCGAGTCAGCCTCCAATTCAGCACATCGTTCCACCCGCAGCTCTCTGCTGATGCTCCGGCCACCCGAATGCAAAAGGCCGTTGTCTGCCACGACGGGATCTGGAAACGTACTAGATGGAAATCTTCTTCCACAGCTCTGCATAATGTTAGAGCTATGCCGCAATGGCCAATAGCAAGTTGTCGCACTCGATGGCACTCACCAGTGGTTTCCTTGGCGTGCTCCTTGATGTGCTGGCGCTCCTTGATGAACTCGTTCTCGGTCAGATTGCTGGCGAGACGGCGCTGAGCCGGGGCGCGCAGCTGTGCGGCAAACCGCGAGGCGTTGCGGGTGACTAGTCGCGAGGCAAACATGATGATGGCGAATGTTGTCGACCGGTTGGCGAAATGGCAGGTCGTGAGGTCAGGTCATCCGGGATCAATCAAGCTCGGCTTACAAAAATTTGCGGCCTCGATCGTAAGGCAGCAAGGAGCCATCTGGCTGCACGTGATGTCGTGCGCTTCGCGCGACCCGCTCAGTCGTCTGCGGAAGGGCATCGCGACGCGGGGGTCCACTGACGTCTTGCATGTCATTTTGCCAGCATCCTCAAACATCGCGGCCACGGGATTCAACATTCCACCCATCTCCAAGCAGTGTTCATTTGCTCTTCTTTGCATAGATTCATTTGATGGTTGTCAAGCGGATTTCTACTGGCTGATGAAGTCTCTGTCGTCGCATGATCGAGCAAGCCTGGCAAGCAGGATGTCAATAGCCTCTCGCCATCTGCCCCGCGGAAGGAGTGAATTACCCATATGCCTTCGTGCGAGACATTGATTTCAGCATTATGGTGTTTCGTATTACCACGTGGAATGGTGAGATTGCTAGAGCCACCCCAGCCCGTCATGTTGCTAACAAAGTGTGCAGTGAATGGCATCAGGTACTTCCCCCAGGTCAAGGAGTCATCTTGTAGTGTATCTGTCTCTCACCAATGAAGCAGAAATCCCTTTGGATATCAGCCATGGAGAGAGCAGCGCACTTTCCAGGTGAGAATACTGTTGCGGCCCCATGCAGAGTCCAGCTTCCTAATGCCACATAACCTAGGCCATGTTCGATATCTTGGAATCAGACATTGTGGTCATGCAAGAAACAAAAATCCAACGGAAAGATCTGCAAGATGACATGGTTCTAGTGCCGGGCTGGGACGTCTTCTTCAGCCTGCCAAAGCACAAGAAAGGTCGGTGCATTTGGTTACCTCTGGCGCCGGCGTTGACAAGTCGCTCATCGTCACAGGATATTCTGGCGTCGCCATCTATACTCGCAATGCTTCCTGTTCGCCCATCAGGGCTGAAGAAGGAATCACCGGCGTCCTTTGTCCTCCCAAGTCTACAAGCAAGTTCCGGGACCTACCTTTAGACCAACGGATCGGGGGTTATCCCCGTCCTGGTCAGCTATCGGGCCTCGTAGAAGACACGATACTCGACTCCGAAGGCCGCTGTGTCGTCCTGGAGTTTCCTGCATTCGTGCTGCTCGGTGTCTACTGTCCAGCCAATCGGGACGAAAGCCGAGTTGAGTTTCGCACCAGCTTTTTCGAGGCCTTGGATGTCAGGATCCGGAATTTGGTAGCCGAGGGGAAAGAGGTCATTCTCGCGGGAGATTTAAACGTGATTCGATCAGAAATGGATTCAACCAACGTTGTTGAGGGCTTGCGCAAGGAAAATATGACATTGGATGAGTGGATTTCACTCCCGACACGACGAATCTTCAACCAGCTCATATTCGAAGGCAGTATTATCGGCGATCATGACGAGGGCCGAGAATCGTCGGTATTGTGGGACCTATGCCGTTGCTTTCATCCAAGTCGACGAGGGATGAATACGTGCTGGGACACCAAAAGAAACACTCGGCCAGCCAACAATGGCAGCCGTATAGACTACATTTTATGTAGCGATGGCATCAAAGATTGGTTCACTTGGGCCGACATTCAGGAGGGTCTCATGGGCTCCGATCACTGCCCTGTTTTTGCCACAATTGCCGACAAGGTTGTCAGCAACGGCAGGCAGGTCAGCCTCGGAGATATCATGAATCCCGCAGGCGTGTATAAGAATGGCGTTAGGATGCGGGACCTAACACAGAAGGATATTTTGCCACTATCTGCAAAACTCATCCCCGAATTCGACCGGCGTCAGAGTATCAGGGACATGTTCTTCAAAAAGGTCGCCAGTGCGGAAAGAAGCACAACACGATGCGATTCAGAGTCTTCCAGCTTCCCAGCGGAAGATGTGAGTCAAGCTAGCGACAACGATGCTCCAAGCCAAATAGACACTGCTCCTCAAACGGCGAATACTGGCACACCGGGCACGGAGCCTGCGGGCCTGCCAAATGCACAAGCCCGCAAAAGATGTCCTGACCCCATCGATGCCGTGCCAAGACAACTCAAGAGAAGCAAGTCTGGAGCGGATCCAACTGGCTCTAAGCAAAAGGCCTCGCAGGGACAAAGCACACTGAAGGGATTCTTCAGGCCAGTTGGCTCGGCGCTTGCCGCTCCGGCTGCGTCACCAAATTTGGAAGAGCAAAACAGTGCACGGGATAGCCGTGCTACGAGGAACCTACCTGCTGCCAAAGAAGATTCCGACAATGCCTCATTGAAGGGACTTGCGATTGCAGTTCCTGAGAAGTCTGCTCGTGACGGGATCGTTGACACAATGCCAAAGTCGCCTGACAGAGTGTTTGATCCCATAGAAGCCAAGGAGTCGTGGTCCAAGCTACTGGGCAAACGAGTTATCCCTCGATGTGAGCACGACGAACCGTGCATTAGCCTGGTGACCAAAAAACCTGGCGTGAACCGTGGTAGGTCCTCTTGCCGCCGTACATGGCACTCGTTGTCATGTTGCTCGGCTTTGTCCGTGGCTCGTTTCGAAGACTGACTGGAGCCGTGTTAACGTGTGTGTATAGGACGATCGTTTTACATTTGTCCCCGGCCTCTTGGGCCGTCTGGAGAGAAGGAAACGGGATCTGAGTGGCGATGTGGCACGTTCATCTGGAGCAGCGACTGGAACGGGACGTCGTCGACGTAGTCATGGAGGCGTGTGCTATCTTTGGTGGTGGTCGCTGTTGATGGCATGTACATTCGCCTTGGAGACTAGTCCACTTATGTCGTCGGAGGCTGTATTGTGTGTTTTCAATGTCGCTGCAGTCTTTCCTGTGCCGTTCCTCGCCCGATACACGCGGCAACCAACATGGCAGAGCTCGCGCTCCGGTGAAGCATTCTTGATTCGTAGCAGCCGGCATTAATCTACCACTGTTATTGACGGGTCTCGTACGGGCCTCGAATGCGGACGGCGGTGCGTGACTGCCATATTACATGTCTTCTTGCACGCGAGGCCATTTCCTCTGCTACGTGACGCACACTGATGATAATTTCCAGCGATTGACACGTCAGACAACAAGCCCTCGCTCTTCCTGACCACTTCCGCCACGCCGGCTTCGCAACTTGAACAGTCCCGCGGCGCCAGGCACCAGGCCTCTCCCGTTGGTGTGTTTGCCTTGCGTCAACACCGTCAACACGTCGAGCGCCCGCGCATGGCGATACAGACTTGGACAAGCATTACCGCCGTGCCCCCGGGGGCGTGCCCGCGAAGGCTGCGCCCCTGCGGCTCGACATGTCCGCCGCACCACATTGGCAACGGTGTTACGGCGACGGTGCGCACATGGGAGCGTGAAGCGGCGGGCCTCGCGGCGCCAGTTGGCGTGGGTACTCGGGTCTGCGGTTGCGCTTATCTATGCTATTGCTATTCGTGACTCCGTGGATACATGGACGTCGTTCTATGCTATTCCGTGAACTCCGCTTCCTGTCCGGTCCTGTCCTGCCCTGCCCTGTCCTGTCCTGTTCTGGGCCGTCTCAAGGGCGCAGAAGGGAACCTGTGCTAGCTGCGCAAACTTGGGAGAGTCTAAGTTGCTCTCACTGGTAAAATCAATGTCATGAGAAATTAAATAACAGCTCCATCTTGCGATTGACCAGGGTATCATTGTTTGTATCAACATGAAAGGAAAAAGAGAAAATGCGTTTGCCATCCCGAGTTAGTTGCCACGGAATTTCCCCACTGAGTATGAGCGCTATCAAGCGTTGCGAGCCGGGCACTCAGGGCCTTTGGCTGTTTTGCTTTTGCTAGTGCAGGAGTTCCCGTGATCTTAGAATTCACGTGGTGTCCATTCGGGCCCGTGAACTCGTTCAGACAGTGCCATGAGAATCGGCTGGAGTGAGCGGAATCATCATTTCAGGAGGAGAAAGTGTAAAGTCTCCAGTAGCCGAGTTCATTGCAATTTGTTGCTGCGTATTTTTTCTGGTCCGTCGTTTCTTCTCAGATGGTTTTCGGGGCTTATACTGGTAGTCTGGATGCTTTTCCAGTAATGCCTGCTTCACCCTGTCGGCTAAGTCTTTGTACTTTTGGCGTACTTCTCGTGACTCAAGATTCCATGCTCGGCCGAGAATTTGAGCTTCAAAGAAATTAGTTTAGTGGTGTCAATCAACCCTGGAATGACTTACAGATTTCATTGTTTGTGATACCTGGGTTTGCTTCTTTCACGGTATTGTGGCGTTCCTTCCTGTAAAGGATGTATGCATTTGGAGGACGCGGAATTTTTGTGGTTTTTGTCGTTACAGGAGGAGGGCAAATTGTTGCAGTTCTCAGCTTTGTCTCATTGCGAACGATCCAAAATGGATCAGAGCCACTAGGTTGAATAAGAATTCCACCACCAGACACGAAGTGCCGCGGAGCTCCCAAGTAGACACGATCAGGCCCCGTTCCGTCAATGCAATACAACACCGGTTCCTTCACGTGGTGACTAAATTTTTTTGCATTAGCATTGAAATGGCCCATGTTTCTGTTATATTTCTTACATGAAGCTTTGTGCAATGAAGTTCTTCGCTCCCTTGTCGAGCATTCGATAAAGATTGCCGTCCAAACATAAGACCTGCGCAAATGGATTCACCTGGGTCTGAAGTTGAGACCAAATGCCTCTTAACTGATCCAAGTTCCACTGAGAAACTGGCGCCCAGCTCGTTTCTGAATCCATTGCTGTGATATCGCGCTTGCCTTAGAACTGGGAATAGTGTGTCCAGCCAATATTTGCCATCCAAAGACAACTTTGGTCGGTGCTCCAGATTTCGTGATATAGGCAGCTCTTGGAGAAGGGTCGTAATATCAAAAATTAAATTCTCAGAATGGGCATCGATGATCTTCACATATGGTGAAAAGAGTTCTTAAATTGTCAGTGGGCAAACCAGACCATGCAGTGAAGGTACTGTTCAGCGTTAAATGTATTGGATAGCCTGGAGGCTTTTGCCCCATGCCACGGTCTGTGCCAACCCTCCCAGCTTAGTGCCATTTAATTCACAGGGGTGAGGGGTGACTCTAAAATGACTTTATGGCACCCCACCTACAACTCACATGGCTCCCCCCCTTGGTAGCTAAAGCCACTTCGGATCGGAGGCACGAAAACGGCCCTGACTTCAATGTCAATGCAAATTGAGGTCAACTGGGTTTTTATGGCACAACCTCTCTACACACAAACATATGTAAGCCAAAACTTGTGTCTTCAGTTTGCGAGCTCAGTTTCCCATACGAATTTAACGTGCTCTTGTTCCAAGGTTCAATGATCGCAAATAACACCCAATTGCTAGATAAACGGCGATGTCCAATTTCCTTCGGAGGCTTGGTTCACAGTATCCGGGGCGCCAGTGCTACTACTTGAGCGTCCGGGTTTTCCATCCACTGACATTTGCTCCAGGACTACTCATTTACAGACGGTTTGGTGCTGTTTTGCAACACTGAAGACTAGGAGGCACTTTTTTATTGATTTCGAATAGCCGTTTTTCTTCCTGACAAACTACTTCCGGCTTCATCGTAGCAAATTGTTAGGCAAAATGGATTGAACTACGTCTATTGCAAATCTTGTTCAAGACAAGAACACGCAATTATACACCTCCTCCCTTTGGACTTCTCTGCAAATAGCAATTATATACTTGTGCTATGTTTGTTATTATTGTAGTCAAGAAAATAAGTCAAGAAAATGTACATGTCTCGATAATAAATATGTATTGTGACTTTTTTTAAAAAAAAACTTTTTCACACAAGCATAATGTTGCTTAGCTGTTTAATGTTACAAATAAAAACAATTTTATAATTCTTTAAATTTAAATTATTTAAAACTCTGCGAGCTTTTTAATTTATAGACTCCAACTAAATAGCTCTGGAATTAGTAACTTATCCTCTTCAATCATGTTTGCATGCCTCAATCAAAAACAAGCTGTCGGCGACGCTGCCGACGAGGCGTTAACGCACGTGAGGATTTGTGCTCCATGAATCTATGTTTGCAATTATTTAAGAATAATTTTGCTCTAAAGATGTTAAACTTAAATACTTACTTCCAAGCTGAGGGACTAAACGTGAAAAGATGTGTGTCCAGAACGGTTAGAAAATGAAACTTATTACTTCGTTGGACTTCGATGGAAAGTCGCCCCGCGCCACCCCTTTTTCCCAGCCTGTTTTGTTGGCCTGAACCCGCTCTCCCGCTCCTCGAAAAGCAGGTTACCCCACCAAAGGTCATTTAAGCTCTCACTCAGCACCTTCCTCCAGAACTTCATTCTCGCATCACTTCTGACGGATTCTGAGTCGAACAAAATTTTCAATTTGTCCACAATATTTGAACTATTCCTTCAGTCTCAAAACGGCAACAACAACATACAGAGGCCAATCTGCGATTATGGAATCCTTAGACACCCTTGCTCTTCCCACGATTTCGGCACTGCGACACTTGGAGCCACGACCAGGAGGCCACTGGACTGTCACTGGACATTCCTCTGCCTCATACACACTGGCATATATCATGGATGGCGGGGCTGATGCGATCTGCTATACCATGAAGCTTTGTGCGACCGAGGAAGATGTTCTCACCCATTGCGGGTCGTTGATATACGATTACTCGGAAGGTACATTTCTGCTTCATTTCTGCCAGACACCTTTACTAATTAACAATAGTCAACGCCATGGGTTGTGATGGGCTCAAGGCAGCTACACAAAATGCTGCTTCAGGACCTATGCATATTGCTCTCCACCAGAAGCAAGACACCAGACCGAATGATCCCATAGTTGATCTTGCTCTGGATCCCCTTATGATCGACCCAGTGCCCGAACCTCAGAATCTTGCTTTCAGCGATACACAGCAATCACGATTTGGAAGCCTGGATCAAATCGATTCTCACAACCTGTATGAGCTCATAAACGGGTCAACAAACAATCAGAGTCAGCAGCAAATGATGGGCGCAGTCAATAACAGTATGAATTGGCCTCCTTCCGAAAACATTTTGCCAGTGATGGCTACTATGTCACAACTCTCAAATGTCTCAGGCTCAGTGGCTCCAGGAAATGAAAGCAATGCCCTACTTTCCGACTTGTGGGATGAGAACTACGACAAAGTTGAAACCTTGGGAGATGACGCCGTATGCAACCCTGCATGGCCCGTACAGTTCGCGACTTCTTAATCTTCTGGCCACTGCATTTTCTTTGAGTTATTTCAGGGATTTCAAGGATCAAGATGTTAATCGCTTCTGGAGTTGTTCGGTTGAAAGGTTTGTTCTCTAGGTGCCTTGCGTAGCTCTAATCTGCTAGTTTTGCCATGATGAAAAATGCAAATTCAAGCAATTGGTGGTAGGGTAAACATTTAGGTATCACGAGCGCCACTTGATACTGTTGGCAAAAGAATCACCGACTTTCACGACTAGGGAAGAGCGGTCGGCTCGCAGGTGCGCCAACAATGAGTTTTGAAAACATCCCAGAACATGAAAGTTTTGACATCGACAGCCCCTGGGACGCAGACACTATTCTGGGCCAAACTCAATCAGAGGGAGACAGAAGTAAGTTCATGAAACGTTGTCAGAGGAATTCAACTAACAACCACTCCAGCTGGAAACATGCAACGGAGCCCTGTGCACAACCCACAAGAAGACTTCAACTACCGTTTTGAAGGTCACAAGGCTGCAGAACGGCGTTGGGTGGCTACATGACCCCTACGTCTTGAATATGTATTATATGTTTCCTTCAGGCGTTCGGACACACGTTTTGCTACGAGACACATCAGTGTCTCGGGGAGGGACGCATGAAATGCACAGGGTGGCATTCACAGGCGCAAGCGGACCGGCCAAACATTTGTCTTGTAATTTTTTTGCTTTTTCTGCATTTCTACCTCGATACCCCATGAACTGAATGATAGCATAGCATGAACTGGTGGCATTACAATATTCGAACCGTGCCTCCATGGCTGCAATTGTACGTGAAGACGGACTGACATGTCGGCAAGGCAAGCGCCACGCCAAGCCATGAATGGTAGCAAGCTGTTGGCAAACGGCTGGCCAAGATGAAGCCCCAGCATACTACTGCCTTTGGCACCAACATAAGGGGGGGGCAAGCAGAGGCCGCCGTGCCGTTTGAACAATCACGCGCCACGCCCTTCTACGTGTTTGGACGGGGGGGCACATCAAACCGGTTCGTTCCAGACGTCAAGTGAACATTCTGGCCAGACCAGACGCAGGAGCAGCGCCACGCAGCCCGCATACACATCTCCAACAAGAAAAGGCTTCGGCACTCAATCAAGGCTAATTGCCCTCGAGGCTCACGGCAAGCAAGTCAGAGCCCATGTGTGGCATTCTCTCCACGGGCCACGGCTTGAGGCTAACAGGACCACGTCCGTGGCGTCCAAGTCGACACACCAAGTTGCTCAGCAGTGCCGCCTACTGCTAGTAGATGCTTCCCTCCATTTTCAGCTTCAGGTTGATGCCCACGTACCTGGGCACCTACCGTCGTGGCCCTGCCCAGAATACCTTGTGGACTACCTAATAAGTGTGGTGGGTATGGGGGTGGCGGACTCCCTTGGGACACGGATTGCACGTTGGTCGTTCCCAGTCATCAGAGATGCCACTTCAAAACGGCCCTGAGCAACAACCGCCTGCGTGCGTGTCCTTCTCTTCCTCTTCCTCTTCCTCTTCATACTTGAGCGCCGCAAAGGCACCGAGACCATGGGCGTAGCAATTCTGCAAGCCCGTCCTTGGATCCCAACGGCGTAGTGCTGGTGGGCCATTGGTTACCAGCAGATGCGAGTATAACAGTGCCTTGACCTCCCTTCGTACAGGTCATATTTCCCACCTTGCTGGTACCAGGCAGGACCATCCGGTGCCTTGTCGCTCAGCTCGGTGGACGGTCCCAGGTCCGGAACCTGCGGCCATTGTTGTTGTTGTGTTGTTGTGTTGTTGTGTTGTTGTGTTGCTGCTGCGGCCAGCTCTTCTTATTCTTTTGCTGCACCGCAAAGTTGGGAGTCGGCATCGGCAAACCTGTGCACCGCATATCAGGGTTCGCGAATTGATCTCTGCGCCATTGTTGCTTCATTTGTAGGTTTCAGTTCCCCTGAGAGCTCCGAGCATCTACCATTTTCTTTTTTTTTTTCCGTCCGTGACAAATACGCCCAATCAACCCGATTGAGAGAAGCCGTCGGTGCATCCTCCGCCTTCTAGCCCGTGCATGCATTGTGCACGTCAATCGTCGCCGTCGTGCCCGAGTCCAAAGCTTCTTCCGCACAAATCGGCCGGTGGCCTTCGAGACACCAGACGCGGTCGTGAATACAGATGAGACGACTGCCGGGAACTCGGACATTGTCATGGTGCTGATAAAAAGCAAACCAACCGCCCAACAACCTTTGTCTCACGGACGGGACGAAGCCGTTCCAGAACAGGCTATCCGAGGTCTCTGAATTACACCAAGCTCTGAGACATAGACACAAGCGCCTGTATGCAAGTAGTTGTTGCGCACAGAATACATTCTATCAGCTCCAATAAGTGACTTGCTTGGCGCACCGTCTTGTAGCACCATGGGTTGGTCGAAAAGTCAACATGCAGACATGGCAACAAATCCGACTGCATTGATTGCAAAGTCGGTGTTGTTCTCAAATTTGACGACTGGGTACAAAAAGCTCGAGCGACTGCTATGTTTGCTTCTTCTGGACCATACAACGAGACGACTGCATGATAGTATGCGTTGCAAGCTCCAAGTACGGGTCCAAGATCCGAACGACATGACCAACTCCGCTTGGCATTGCATCATGGGTTTTTTTTCCTTTTTCCTCCATGGCAATGCCGTTCTTCTGTGGCTGGTCGCGCGCCACGCGGCCGTTTCCTCATGGGTTGCAATGCAACAGGCTTGTGTCTCATCACTCGGTCCGGATCCGCTCCCGAGATGAAACGAGCAACGTGCAAGGGAACATTGCTGTACGGAGTACGTAGTACAGAGTATACAGAGTACTATGCTCCCTCAATCTGGGGATATGGATGCTTGAACACAGCATCTTCTGGGACCAAAATAGGAGTTAAGAGAGTGCGGTAACCGGCCAAAGCACCCCTGCATACACGCGACCCAAACTCGACCGCGAGCTTCGAAGCTCTGTGCAACTTTGAACGGTGCTAGCCAGGATCAAAATCACGCGGAAGTTTCGAAGCAAACCAAAATTTGGTATCCAGGGAAAGGTTCGTGGTGACGTGTCTCTGTTTTCTGCTATTCGCGGATGAGTACTGTGTACTCCGTACTCCGGACTCCGCAGATTCATCACTATGACAACATCCCAAGTCTCGCCTCGATCTGGATGCGCTCAGGAGAAAACCCGTGACGTGTGGGAAACAACCAGAGACACGGACTGGGGGGGGGCGCATCCGGATATCGCGGTCAACGTCACCGCTCCAATTGGAGCGGGCGTCAACATCCAATTAGAGCGGGCGTCAACATCCGAGTCGCCACGAAGAAATAGGCTACTATTCTGATCAATGCCGGCTGCCTCTGATGTAAGCCATTATTGTTTTGCTCATGGGCCTGGCGGAACAAGGCTTGCGGCTGGCAATCGGGCTCCCTGGCTGGCCTTGAGCAACCAATCACACATCTGCAAGGACACTCGACGACTTGAAAACAAGGAGGCAACACTGGACTGTCGGCATCCTCCTGCATTGCTGATTAGTTGATGGTCCTTGATGGAATGTTTCCTCGTTGAATACCTGAGCACGTACTCCGTAGCTCGACTTGCCCATGTGCGTGCCAGGCAATCGACCGAGTTTGAGTTTGAACAACTGACAAGGTGCATCTTGAAAGTCGTGTGGCAATGTAAGTGACGGTGTACAGCATAAAATATTAGAGCTGCCGAGTTCGACGCAATGTCTCACTCAGCCGAGGATTGACTCCGGTTCGATGAATTGCGTACGTGTGACAGCCTGACAGGCGTTGGCCATGCCGGACGGTTTCAATGGCCCGTGCTGACTAAGAGCCCCAGGAACTACCTCGCTGGTGGATACCATTAAGTAAGAAGCGTAGACGCGGAAGGAAGCAACGATAGTACTCCGTAACGAATCACGATACTTCGATGCCCCCCATCTTGGACGCTTATTGGGTAACTCGACTGCCCAGCCCTCTCCTCGAAAACATTCAGCCTCCCATCACCAACTTTCCCAAGACATGCATGTCCATCCGATTTGTGGCCCGAAGCCATGAGTCTCCCGATCTTTGGCCTCTGTTCGTCTCTTGCAGTTCGTTTAAAGTGATCTAACGGTTGCGGCACGAGCCAATGGCAGATCGGGCTCTTTGGCACGTTTCCTTCACGCCTCGGCCACCATCAGCGACATGTTGCCTGCATCCACAGGCTCGTCTTCGTCATCTACTACTCTTCGTTCCTCTTTGTTTTTTCCCTCATCCCCTTCAATCTCCATTCGTTACTTGAAAGTTGATACAGTATCATTGATTCAGCTGGTCGTGTAGCGTATCGCTGCTGGCCATGGCGATATCAAGCACGTTTCCATGGGCAGCCACCTAGAGACCATCAACACAACTTGACTGCGCTGTCACCCATGGTCCTATGCAGAAAGCTGTTTTCTTGAATCTGTAGTTCTGGCATCACGAAAAACGCTGGAGCTGTCGGACCCGACGCAATTACGCTTGTCCTGTCTGTGGTAAACATACGGACGTTCATCCAGGAGTCAGCCAAGACGACCTCGTGGTCGACTGGTCAAGAAGCCATGATCATGTTGAATGAAGCCTTGGGCCAGAAAGACATACCCACACCCACACGCTTCGGACATGTCCGGATACACCGGCAACAATTGATCCTGCCTCATCATTGTTCAAGGCTACATGTTGACCAATCGGCAATGCCCGACAATCGTCTACAAATAAGAGGGGAGTCAAATGTGGCCTAGCGACACCAGCTGCAACACTATTCTCCATTTCTTCCCTACAGAAGGTTGTACTTGGCGTCTGCTACTACCAGGGCTTTTTGCTCAATTGCCAAGACACGAGGGTCCGATACAGAAGATCGTTCTCGTGTGACACGACATCACGGCGATTCTTCATTCGGATTCGAGAACTAGCATACTACGTTATGTCGTTGTTTTGACTCGGATCTTTCCCAATGCATCGTCTCCCTCGCCCTTGGTCTATATCTCGATTCTGCAATCTTGGTGAGGGATTTTTTTTCTTACTCCTTTCTTGATCTGGGAGTCTGGGCTTGCATCCAATAATAGCTCCAGATATCGCAGCGTGAGTCCCGGTTCATAGCGCGCGCTTATCACTGGCAGAAAGTCGGATGGATACTAGTATCGCGGTCACGTTCTCGCACCACCGACCACCTTGCGCACCTCATATACTGTATAGTCCATGAGGGCACTATGGATTCGAAGCTCGGACGTGGAGGCTCTTGGGATGGCGCGACTTGTGTGCCCCAGTGGAGGCAGACCTCGATGGTATTTCCTTTATGCTGGTAATTGGCGCCAGCTTTTGAGTCAAGCTACTAGTCGCCTTGGCGCACACAGTAGGGCTGAGACTGTCGAGATCTATTTGACCGAGTTCATAAACTCGGAGCTAGGGAACTGGAGGGGAAGGCCCTGTGTCGCCACCGCTGTCTCCCTCAGGCTCTGCCGTTCAGCCTCGTCGAGGCGCCCACGCTGTTGAGACAGTCCTCTATCGAACTTTGGCCTTGTAAACTGTGCCATCGTCCCTTTAGCTCCCGCGCCCGATGGATGTTTGTTTCTACCCAAACTGTGGAGCATCTGCCTAGGCTAACGCGCTTGCTGCTACTAGTAGTCTCGACTCTCAACCGCCGCCGACGCTCGCAACGTCGACGTTGCGAGCCCCACACAGCCGTCATGACTTTATCCTCACTTTTTGGACGCCCATGGCACGGGCCATGACGCATGGGGCACGGGCATGGGACATGGGACATGGGACTTGCAGGGTCCACAGTAGCTTTCATCTTGCGTTCAAGTGCTCGATGTTTTGCTATCCACACCCCCTTTCTGGCCTTTCACCGCGTTCACCATCCCAGGATATCTCCGGCTCGGCTTGGGTCAGCATGTGCAGTGAGAGGTGAAGCACAGACAAGTCGACTTCACTTGCCGTTCACGTGAGCCGAGCACAGTGAGTTCTGCCGCTGCGACACCTCTCCCGTTGCGGTTCCTGATGACGGATTGCCTTCGACGGGGTGGTCAGGTTTGCTTCAGAACTTTGCCGGAGGAAACTTCAACAGTTCAAGCTGCACTTTGAGCTGTCGGCCCCCGTACTCGGCTTGGTGTATTCCTAGGTTGATTTGTTCAACATTCTTGTGAGCCCTCACGGATTTTCCAAGCGTAGCCGACGCTTGGGTATGCAAGCACTCTGCTTTCCTGTCCTTGTTCTAGCCATGACAGAAACACTGCTGTCTCCTCATGACACTTACACAGGTCAAGCACAGCGACAATTTACAGCCGATAACGATCCGTACTTTACCCGTCCGTATACGGAGTCAGCAGGATGCCAACCCGACTTGCCGACAAAGCCACTGATCAAGGATGCACAAGGATAGGCGCATGCCCGTCCGGTCACCTGAGATCAAGCCATGAGCGGATGGCGCATCAACTACCCAGGACACTCGGCGAGATGCGGTTTCAAGCAAAGCTAGACTAGTTCCGGTGCAACATCAAACGGCCACCGGCTCATAAAGGCTCCGACACGGACTGCTAGGTTCTTTGCAAGACGACTACCATGGTGCCTCGGACAAAGGACTTGTACCAAAGTCAATCGCATCAAGACAACGTCATGAGCCATGTCGAATCCCCCAAGGCGAGTGCTACTGTACGGTAGCTTTGCCGGCCTTTGCTACTTTTTCTCACTTCCCGGTCATAATCGATCTCAAGTCCGTGAAAATGCTTGAGATTTGAGTTTCATCCAAAACCGTCGCCGATGAGCGTCGATAATGCTGATGCCCACCATGAAAGACCAGCCTCACAGAACAGCCACGTCACCATTTCCTCTCGCCGTATCAACCTTGGCCAGTTTGTGGAGCACGGCTTCTAAAAAACGCGCAGCCATATTTCGGTAGGCCTGCCTCCCGCCTCCATTATTAGACCTACCATCATCTTTCAATTGCGCCGCTGGCGCCCCTCACTGGAAATTGAGGCCCGAGGCGCTTTTTCAGTGACTGGCTGCCAATTGGGGAAAAAAAAAGGTGTTAGTAGACTAACCATTATTCCCTATAGTTACATGGGAAGTTGTTAGATTTGACAGACAAGATAAAGATTCTGGTCACCTTCATCTCTCCATGATGCTGCTGTCAATCTCTCCCTGCCAGACACGCCACGCCGTGACAATGGTCCCAGGGTTGTATAAGATCCTGCCACTTGGACATGTGCCAAGCACATCGGCATCCTCTTTGGATGCGGGGAATTCTGTCATTTCCGCCTTTTAAGCTTTTCGATGGCCGTTTTCCATCAAAGGCAAGTTCCCGATTGGGTAAATCCTGCTAACGGGGTTAATTAGGGTAAATTAACCACGTTTGTCGCACACTCTCCAACACTCAACGAGATTTTCCCCTGCTGCCGAGTCTCCGTTTTTCTTTGCCTCCTCGAGCTCAGATCTCATATTGTCCAGTTCTCACTGCACATTTCAATATGTTGCTGGCGCCGTCCGAGGTCCCGCATCACAAGTGCTTCGCACCGACGCACCACACCTCCTTCTGACCCCACCCGTGTCCTCTTTGATCTAGACCTTGCATGGCGGCATTCTCTCGTACCCTTGCGGATCTCGTTCAACCAGGCAGGCGGCCTGGCTGAAGATCATGGCAGCGTTGCCAAGATCGAGCCAGACTTTTCCCCGACCTGAATACTACGGGGCCTCTTGACGCAAGGTGACCAAGATTACGGGCAGCCACCGTCCGTCTGTGCAGTACCTGCCTAGGGAGTGATGTACAGGACGCGTCAACGACATGACGAGGCTTCGTGGCCTGTGTCGGAGGGACCCAGCCCGCCATTATCAGGGGCTGTGATGTTGATGCGCACGATACCGTGACGGTTACGGAATACTTGACATGTAGATGGTGGGGACATAACATCATGAAGCATCAAAAAGGGAAGAAAGAAAAAGAAAAAGAAAAAAAACAACAGCAGCAAGAAAAGGTCGGACACCAAATACGGCACGGCGCGCACGTACAAGCAATCAAACAGATTAAAAACTCAAGAGGCACCGAGTCCAGGGCACGCTTGTACATGAGGCTGTGTCCGTTTCGAAGACGCTACGTACGACACACATGACTGATTGCCATCTCTCTTGGCTTCGCTTCTCTCCATCTCTGCCACTAGTAACTACTGCTACACTACTCCGTACTACTACTCCTGGTACGAAATCTTTCGCATCTCGCCCAACCGATGTCGGGCTGCAGCCAATGAGTTTTCCAATTTGAGAATCTCGACCTGTCGCGCAACCCACCCAAAAGGGGGACTGGTTAGCAAACACCATTCTCCGGCCTGTGTGCGAGCCCCTGCAAGCCCGAGGAGATGGAGGAGTGGAGTGGAATGGGTGATCGGGAGAGCGTTGATGGACGCCACCAACGTGGATAATCCGGGGTCCCATGGGTGGGGCTGAAAGGCGAACCTTGCAGCGTCCTGCAGCGTCCTGCAATTGTCACCATGCGAGCAGCCCGATCCAGTACAGCCTGGCCACGGCACAGATTCGGAGCACTTTGGGAGGGGGCGCGTGCTTTTGTTGAAAAGGTGGCTTCAGGCTAACAGTGGACACCGGCACACAAGTCTTGTGGCCTTGCCGAGCGTTGAGGCTGATCACCACGATACAATTCAATGGGATGAAGAGGTGTCGAAGGGGAAGCGGCGCGCGTACTTGCCCAGAATGGGCACATGGCGACCAAACGACTCCAAAACCACGAAGAAACAAAAGGAAATGTGCAGTATAGGGTAGGGCGACGGTGACTCGGACCTCAAGTGATGCATCTTGGGAAACAGACGAGCATCCTCCCCTCGTGCCCTTCCGTGTAACCGAACAAGGATGTGGTGCGAAACAAAAGGAGCGGGGGCCATTGTTTTCGAGGAAAGAGAAAAGGAAAAGGAAAAAGAAATTTTTGCCTCCTCACCTGCTGTTCCATTTCGCGAACCTTGAATTCGTGAGCTCCGAGCTTGGTGTAATCTTCCTGCTCATCTTCCTGTCCGCGCTCTCGAATCATGCTCTGTACCTGACGGACCAACGCTCTGCATGCCGCTCCTACCGCCTTGCTGGCCTGTTCCAGGTTCTCCTGGCTCTGCGAACGGAATCCGGCCTTGACCCTGCTCGCCGCGACCAACTGCGCGGTTGACGCGGCCACGTCGTTGGAGGCAACAATAAGCTGCTCGGGGCTGTTTCGGCCTGAGATGACTCCATCTGACGTCTCAATCAGTGTATTGGTCGACGATGCCACGGCCTTGGCTGCCGAAATGAGTCCCTCCGTCCAGCGATTGTTCTTTTTGTAGAAGGCTGTTCGTGAGGATGATCCTCGTCCCGCTTGGACAATCTCTTGCTGGGTCACCGTGGCCGCCTTGATCAGTCGTGTGATGGCATTGGTAATCGCCATGGCAGCATCCAAGATGGAGTCGTGTACCTTGACCTCGTACGTTGAATAGCCGTCCCGGGGCTTGTTCCTGAGCTTGGCCAGGCGGGCTGCAGCAGCCGCGATAGCATCAGCGGCCTTGTTCAGTTCCGAGTCGACCAAGTCTCCGAGATCTCCTTTGTTGTTCGTGAGCCTGCCGAAGCCAGGCGCAAATGCTTCAACAAGCTTGTTGAGCTTTTGTAGGTTCATCTGCACGTCGTGGTTCCTGTTGATAACCACATCAATCTTCTGATCCGTTTCTAGTTCCTCCAGTCTGATACTCAGCAGGTTGCGGAAGAACTTGATGCTGGATTCGGCCGATTGCCGTGCACCGCCCATCAAAGTATCCGTCTTCTTGTCGTCAGTTGCTAGCCTACTGAGACCCTTGGTGTTGCTGCAAACATCTGCAACGGCACCCGCGAAAACACCGATCGCCTTGATCAGTTCCTTGTGAGTGCTGTTAGGGCCATCAGCGATGAAACTATTGAAGGCTGTTGCAAACTCAGTTGCGCTATCCGAAGCCTTTTCGATCTGAGACAAGACGAATGACGGCGAAGCATTCTGGTTGCCAGCCTGCATAGACGAGTCGAGTTCATACAAGGCATCATCAACACGGGACACCCCGGCTTCCAGGACAGAATCAATGATGGCATTGATCTTATCGAAGTTGGACAAGATCAGAGCATCAATCTGTCCGTCCAACGCATGATCTGTCTCGCCCTGGTTCTTCTCGAGGTCGTTCAACTTGACCAGCGCTTCATCCATACCAGCCTTGTAGACTTCAAGCTCCACTTCCTTGTCTCGCAAGAGTTGCTCAAGGTCAGAGTTGCCGTCTCTCATCCTAGATTGCGACTCTTCTAAAGCCCTGGACTTGTTGCGAAGCGCTTCCTCCAGGTCGCTCATCTCGCGATTATATTTGGCGAGCATTGTCGACAACTCGTTGCCCTTGCTGCGCTCTAGGTTGTCCGCTCGGTCTTGGGCCATGCGAAGCTCCCGCTTGAGCTTCTCAACTTCGTCTTTGTTGCTGCCGCTGAGTCGGTCCTTCTCATGAAGAGCTCTGTCTCGTTCGCGAATCATGTCGGCCAGCTCGAGGTTTTTAGTCTTGATTTCACGCTCCAGCTTCTCTCTTTTGTCGATGGCCTCCTGAGCACTGGCGGCTTTCAATTGAACCGTCTTGAACTTCTGGAGAAGGTCCAGATGCTCATGACGCAACTGCGAGTACAGCTTGGCTAGTGATTCATACTTTGTCCTCCAGGTATTGACCTGCTCTTGCAGAGCGCGAATTTGATCATCCTTGCTCGTAATTTGCTGACCAAGGCTGTTCTGGATGTGTGCGAGCTCTCCTTCCAGAGCTTTGACTCGCTGGTCATACTGCTGGAGCATCAACTGGTCCCGTTCGTACTGCGCTCGAGCATTCAAGTTTTCTCGTTCCAACTCAGCCAGACGACCCTGAGTCTGCCACTGGGCTTGTTGAGCCAAAAGAGCTTCTTGCTCTCGCTGCTGCTGCTCTGCCAGCCGGCGCTGCTGCTCCTCGAATTCGCGCTGCGCCTGTTGTTGAGCTTGTTGTTGGGCCAGTAATGCCGCCTGCTGTCTCTCTTCAAGGACTCGCTGCTGCTCTTCATACTCTCGGTTCTGACGATCCAGCTCATTTTTCCAAAACTCGGATATCTCATCGGGCTCCTGGGATTTCGGCTCTATGGGAGGCGTCGGTCGTCTTTCAATTTCTTGTCTGGGTCTGGCAGGCAAAGCTGGGGCATCATCGTCATCTGAAAGCAGATTCGGGGGATCTTGAGGCAGTTTGGGAATAGTAATCAGGCTGGTCAGATAACGCAGATTCGAGCATTCGTAGTAAAATTTTACAAGCCGATAATGCTGAGCGTCGTATCTTTGTCGAAGAGGCTGTAAAACCTCATCATCTCCAGTGACTGGACACCACGTTAGCAGCATTTCGCATCCGTGCCGGAGGTCGTAGAGGCATACTTGAGTGCATGGCTCGAAGCATGCTGGTGATGAACTTGTAGATACCGTAGCTCTCCTGCACAAGTGGTACCAGGGCAGAAATACGGCACTCGTTGTTGCCGACGTTTCTGAAATGGGAGAAGATGAGTTTCTGAAATTGCTCAATCTTGTCTTGCAAGACCATAAGATCTGTGATGGTCTCATAGCCTTCGTTGGGGTCGTTGATTGCTTTCAAGCTCAGGTATTCTTCGTATTCAAAGGTGCCGTTGAATTCGGGATGCTGTTGGTGAAAGGAGAGCTTGGCAAGTAAGTAGTAAACATATTCACGAATCAAGGGTCCGTAACCACGGATGCCCTCGCCTGTCATGCCACGATTCATGCCATCAATCCATCCGCGGTTGGCCATGCCTTCCTTGAGCGCAGATGGGTGACCTTCCTGGAGGACCTTGTGAATCGTGATGAGAGCTTTGAATGTCTGGACCTCATCCGCAAGTATGGGTTGTCTATCTTGGTCGGTCAGCGATCGAGGAGATTCTCGAAGCAGTTGCCACGGCACCGTACACTTTAATTCCCGACCAGAAGGCCAGGGACGACCTATGATCCCAGGTATAGACGATACATGCTCTCACATGCTTGCGCTTCGGGGAAATTTCATCGCTGTTGGTCGCCTTCTTGATGCTGATGGCAAGCTCTTGGTCTGTCCTGTAGGCAAAGCGGCTGTTAGAATACCAAAAATGACGGCAGACAAAGGTCAAGAGGTGTTTGAGGGTATGGCATACTTGGTGTGCTCCGTAGTCCGCAACGAAGACATGATTGCGACTGTTCTGGAGAGCTCTCCAGTTGTTAAAGCTCCAATAAGGGATGTAGTGCGTGGTTAGTCTGCCGTAACGAACTCGAAGCGCTCGTCCCGCACGTGCACGAGGCCAAACACACGGGTCGTCGGTCGCCCTGTACAGCAGGCAGAGTGTTTGGCTACTTTGCGGAGGTTGGGGGAGGTAGGGGGAGGAGGAAGGACTTGACGCCCGAATAGAGCCGCCTTGTTTGCTGTCGTATGTGCTGTCGTCAGCCTTGGATGATGCACACTCGGGATCCATTTAAGGGTACGGAGTACCTGAAGGCAGGCAGCGTCAGAGGGCAGCCACGGTGGGTCCAATTGTCGCAAATCGGCAGGTGGCGCCCAGTTGACTTACCCTACAGATCCGACAAGACGTTCAATCAAAGATATGTAACATCGATGTCTCAATATCAAGTATTTAACTACTTCTTCGGTGCTTTGGCTGTTTGTTCTTCCTGGTGAGCTCGCAGGCATTCTATGCAGGCACAACTTGGCTGTCGGCAGAATCACCTGTGCTACTCAGCCACCACGCCATTTTCCTCATTATGTGCTGGAGCCCCTCAAGACATGAGTAATGTTGGCGAGACATTAGTCGCACTGGGCTTGGGAGCAAATTCAACCCTCGTATTTCGCGCGCATTACGTAGCGCTCCCCCCCCCCGAATGCTTCATGGGGCCAAGAAGGAATGTAAAGAGGAAGAATTTCTGGATAATATAATATCCATGAGATGAAGAAGTATTACCATCAAATACGAGAGCCCGTATGTATCCTAGCGTCCTGCCAGAAACGCAGCTCACATGTGATCCACCAGGTCATCAATTATCGTGATACAAGAAATCCCGTGCAGTTCCTTCAAGGTTCTTGGGAAGACGCCTGTTATTTCTTCCTTGTTTCAAAACCCATTTCATCTCGCAGTAGCAGACGTCTTCTCCAAACGTCAACGCAACTCGTTGCTGCTCCTGCGCCACTTGGCTCTGATGTTATCTCAGTTCTGCACCATGAATAGTCATCTCCATGTTGTAAGCTAATGCCACGTCAATGTTTCGTAACCGTTCTACTACCCAGGCTCTGGCTGCATAGGTCAGTCGTAATCACAGTTCCTGAGAATCCTCACTGGGTAGCAGACAACTGATCCCACAGCACTTATAATACAGCACTACCTGTAGCAGAGAAATGGCATTCACAGATAGCCTACACGACTGCCTGTAGCTGTCAAGAGATTTTAGTGTGTCCTCAAGGCATGATGGATAAGAAGGCTACCAGGATAACCTTCATCATCATGAATTGACCTGGCTAGTCATCTCGCAGCAGGAAAAATCTCGGTGAAGTAAACACAACGGATGAAAAGGCAGAGGCGCCCGCACGGCATCCAATCGCAACAAGTCGGTGCTCGAGTCAATCATATACACCAGACGTCACCTTGTGATTCACAGTAACATGGCAATGGTAAGTGATGTCACCTGGTTTCATTTCCTATGGACATCGAAAATGCAGACCTTGCCATGCTGAGTTCTTTCCCATCCGGACGCAACACCACAAGAAAAAAACGATGCCCCATGTCATTTCCACCCAACATACACCTTTTAGATCGTTGTCTCGTAAGGCAAAGGAGTAACAGTCTCAGGAGGGTTATCGGTCAGAGAAACGGTGCGTGCTTCCCGGGGCAGAGCGGGCAGTCGCTTGACCTGGACGGTAACACCATCGGCAGCGGCCTTCTTCTTGGCCTCGGCATTGGACTTGACTCGCTTCAAGAAATCCTCACGAGAGCGTGAGGGCTGGACGTGCTCGACTCGGACATTGAGGCGCTTTTCAATGTACCGGTGCCAGACCTTCTTGTAGATGATCACACCGACTGAGGTCTTGGTGACGTTGTAGACAACACCAGTCTTGCCATGGTAGACCTTGTACGGCATACTATTCACCATGAAATCAGTTTCAAGTAACTTCCAATGCGAAGAAATCTTGACTTCATCTAGTTCATCATATTCGTGGGTTCTGCAATGCGAATATATCACGCGGCCAAGGAAAAGCTTACCCCTTCTGGACAGCACCGTTAACCTTGACGTCAACAATGTCGCCAACACTGTGCATCCCAAATCAGTCTCTCCTCGTTTTCATCCCCAATTCTCTGGTTTCATTCGACAATCGAGTTTTACGAACCGGTACGTCTTCAAGTACGTGTTCAGGGCGATCATGCCCTTCTGGCGGAAGTTGCGGCTGAAGGCATACTAGTTCGACGTCAGTCTTGTCGCGAATCGAGGATCCAAAAGATTTGTACGCACGCGGGTGCCCGCTCGCTTTCCGTTGGAGTGACCCATCTCGTCTTATTTGGGCGAACAATAGGTTCGTGATCGAGAATTGGCGAAGGTGTATGGATAGAGCCTCCGCTTAGAGGTCTGTCGAATTTGCGGGTGGTTGTGGGAGCGGCAGCTTAGATAATCCGATATTTTTTTCCCACCTGGGAAATCAACTAGGGCATGACTGTGGGAGGTGGGGCACGGGCGGTGGGAAATCCTTAGGGCTCAAAAAGCGCGGCGCACGTGATCTTCTCAGTCGACGGGCGGAAATTCACCTCCCCACAATGTGAAAGATTTCCAGACTTGTGTGTGTGTGTGCAACTGTTCCATCTTCAGCCATCACCACAGGAGCACGTCAAGTAAGTCCCAATATCGCCAAATTACTTCAACTGCAATTATTAACAAGTCATCTCAGGATGCCGCCCCGCGCCCACTCGAAGACCTCGCGTGTCCCTCGCAGACCTTTCGAGTCTGCTCGATTGTCAGTACCACCGGCCACTGAACTAGAGCTTGACTCTGTTTAAGTCGATGTTGAACAACACTGACAGGTATGCAACAGGGACTCTGAGTTGAAGCTCGTTGGCGAGTATGGCCTCCGCAACAAGCGTGAGGTCTGGCGAGTCGGTCTGACTCTGTCCAAGATTCGTCGTGCTGCCCGGTACGTCGCGGTTGAATGAAAGGAAAATCTCGGTGCGCGACGTCGCTAACTCCAAATGTAGTCAGCTCCTCACCCTCGATGAGAAGGACCCGAAGCGTCTCTTTGAAGGCAATGCCCTAATTCGCCGTCTTGTTCGCGTCGGAGTCCTCGACGAATCGCGCATGAAGCTCGATTATGTGCTTGCCTTGAAGCTCGAGGATTTCCTGGAACGCCGTCTCCAGACTTGCGTCTACAAGCTTGGTCTTGCCAAGTCCATCCACCACGCTCGTGTCCTCATCCGCCAGCGCCACATTCGTGTCGGCAAGCAGATTGTCAACGTTCCTTCTTTCATCGTTCGTCTCGACTCCCAGAAGCACATCGACTTCGCTCTGAACTCGCCATTTGGCAGCGGTCGCCCTGGACGTGTCCGCAGAAAGAAGGCCAAGGCCGCTGAGGGTGGTGCTGATGGAGAGGAGGAGGAAGATGACGAGTAAATGCATAGGCTATGATCTGATGGGATGTCCGACTGGTATGAGGAACATGTTTCGGCATCCTGGTCATGGGGGGGAAGACTCGTCATAGCTTGCGGCGTTGGTAAAAGGATAAAAATTGATTGACTTCTCTACCAATACCAAGAAAATTTGACCAGTGCTGTGAATCATATTTTTCAGGTGGCGAAATGTGAAATGTGAAATGTCCAGCTACGCTGTAATACGAATCGCCTAGATGTGCCCATTACGTCGCTCTTGTCAAATGCCTCAATATGCGCATTGGTCAAAATAGTGTTCAACAAGTCAAGTTCAACCATTTAAGTAATTTGATTTTACATTTCATGCTTGCTAAGTTAATAATTCATCTTTCCCCAGCATTTTTGCCATTGGATCATCCGCCGCCGCTTTCTTTCTGCGGTACTCATCCAACTCCGCTTCTGAGATACCATTCAGCATTTCTTCCCGACTGCGTTTCTTCGCCGTGGTTTCTTCCCGCTGCTCCTGGGCGGTCTTCTCAGGAGCGTAACCTTCCTTCTCCTCCTTTGGAGCTTCAATCAAATTTGCGCCGCTTCTTTGTCGTTCAGCTGCTTCCCAGGCCTCTTTGCCTTCTTCTCCGGTACAGTAGCTGTTTTTCACGAATGAGTGACAACATGCGTAGCCCCATTTGAAATCGGACCACCAGCTTCCCCAAACAGAAGTATGATTGTTGATTAATACATCCTCTGCATACTTCGATTTGGCGGCTTTTCGCGGCGCTCCCTTGATCAAGCCTGCTTCGTCATACTCCACATATGACTCTGACTCGGTGACCATCGTGCTGCGCAAAGCAGCAGGCATGGCGTTTTGGTCATCTCCTCCATACTTCTCCTTGAGTTGTTTCTCACGCTCTGCACGTTTTTTCTCGATTTCTTCTTGCTCGATTTTCCGGTAAAACGCACCAGCAGTGGGGTTTGCTTGTAAATGTTGTGATGTGTTGCCACTTCTTTCTTGAGCTTCCCAGGCGTATCTCTGTGCTTCTTCAAACTCCCTGGCCTCACCCGATGATCGCATAAAGCCTTCCTCAGCAAAGAGGTCTGCAGCTTTGCCACCGGTGGCTCCGCCGTCGACCAAGGATCTCGTCTTTGGATCGTATTTTGCAGACTCCAAATCGAGATTAAGGAGGTATTTGGCGGTATCCTCTCGGATTCTCAGTTGGCGAGTTGCCGTGCTCTGATGTTTACTCATGTCGTTTTCCTCGGCATACTTGTCGCCGTCTTCGGATCCTTCTTCCCCGGTTTGAGCCTTTTGCGACTGTTTGCGGAACTCTTCCATCTGGTTGAACTCATCCACCACGCTGCGATACTCCCTCGAGTCGTAACCATTCCATCGATCGCGCTTGGCATCCCACCCCAAGTTGACGTTTTGTATAACTTCGTCGGCCTGTATGTCCTTGCCGGTCCACTTGGCACCCTTGGCCCTAGGGCGACTCAGACAATCCTTGGCCTTGTGTGTGATTGCGCCGCAGTTTTCGCAAGCGCCCTTTCGGTATTTCGTAGCGGCTGGGCCGGACTTCCGCCCTCGATCGTACCATTGAGATGATTCCTTCTTCTCCTCTCGTCGCTGATGCTTGAGGTAGTCGTTATCGTCTCCTTCTTCTCCGGCATAAAACGGTCTTTTACTGATGAAAGATGGGATGTAGATGTTCTCCTCCTTGTTTGCCGCGCCTGTCTCAGGCTTGCGAGGAGGCGCAGATGGCATCGTGCGGGCGGTTGCGTCCAGGAGGACGCTGAAACGAAAAAGAGTAAATTCAGGCAGAAAAAAAAGGTGATATGTTTTATACAGGTAGCATGGGCAAAATCGCTTGGGTTTTAATCTCGTGCGCAGATTCCTCGGGTTGGCGCATTTGCAAAGGTTGGACGTTGAGAATCAATGTGAAAGTCAAAGAGTGGATGTTTAATCAGCATCCCATATATTGTACCGCCGTTAACAGCGAAAGCGCTCAGTTTAACAGACGCTTACACGCGGTTTCACCTGTAAACGCGTATTGAAGCTATGAATAAATCCTCGAGTAATTCAAAGGCTGCCTGTAAGCCACAATCAGTGTTTAAGCACCATACAATGTTTGCCTCGGTATACATCTAGGCGTCTTTCAAGTGAGAACTGTTAGTGCATGACTTTCACCAAAGCATCAACGTACCTCCACCACGTGACTACGCGAGACTAGTGCGTCAAGACTAGCACCCTCGGCAGACAAGACGTGATCTTCCGAATAACTTTTTTTCTTTCTTCTTTACTTCTTTTTTTCTTATGTAGTTTGGAACTTGCTATTAAAATATTGTCATCAGGCAAGCGATGCTTCAAAAACTCATCATTGCAGTTGAACCCAATGGAGCCGCATGCTGCAAAGCATGAATTTGTTTCGGGTCAGATTGAATTGTATCGATCATTACCTGGCGACGCCAACCCGTTACGATCCTCAGCTTCGAAATGACGTTCGTGCATCGCAGGTAGTCAAAGGCCCCAAGGTTCCTGTCGTACGGATATTTGGGTCTACAGAAACCGGACAAAAGGTCTGCGCACATGTGCATGGCGCGTTTCCTTATTTATACGTGGAATACGATGGCGACTTGGCGCCCGATGAGGGTGAGATGTTCCGCTGATTCGTAGGATGCCAGCCATGCTGATGGTTTCGTCTAGTTGGAGCATACATCTATCGACTTCATCTCTCGATCGATCATGCCCTAGCTGTCAGCTACAGAAGAGATCAGTATGGAGAAAACTCCAAGTTTGTCGCACGGATCACCCTGGTAAAGGGCATCCCGTTCTACGGCTTTCATGTCGGCTACCGGTTTTTCCTCAAAATATACATGTTCAACCCAATAGTCATGACGAGGCTGGCGGACTTACTGCAGCAGGGAGTAATTATGAAACGGAAATTCCAGCCTTACGAAGCTCACTTGCAATACCTACTGCAGTTCATGGTTGATTACAACCTGTATGGGTGTGATTACCTGGAATCATCCAAGATCGCGTTTCGGTCCCCCGTCCCCGAGTACGACGCTGGGTCCAACTCCTCGCATCTATGGCATAGTCAATCTGTGCTTCCTCAAAATATCACTGACGAACCTTCCTTGCCACGAGTTAGCCATTGCTCCATTGAAGTAGATATTTGTGTGCAACACATCTCCAATCGCCAGGCAGTCAAGGAGAGACAGCTCCATCATGACTTCGTTGAGCGAAATTCTCCCATACCAGCAGATTCGAAGCTTGTGCACAGCATGGCCGGGCTCTGGAGAGATGAGACTAAACGGCGGCAACGTCGAATGCCGCGTGACAAGCAAGGCCACAGCCCCTTCACCCCTGATGTTCTGGTCAGCATGTCCGCCGATGCTAGACAGTCCCAACCACAAGGCTGGATTCACGAGGAAGAGTACTCGAACCAAATTAAGGAGTTGATCAACGCAGATCTTGCTGGGCTCGACAACCAGCAGCCAAAATTTGATGATTTCGTGCAACGAGCGGACCTGAACGACGAGGTGCCCACAGCTCTGCAATCGGTTGAAGATTTATTCCCAAACAAACTTATACCTGCTCTGGGTCTTCCCTCAAACATGTCGCAGTCGACGCAGGCGCCGCCTGCAAGCAGTATTGAGGTGGACGAGAAGATCCTCCAAGAACTCAGCCCTGGAGATGAATTTTTCCCGGATGATTCGGATGAAGAGAGGCTTAGAAAGTTGACTCAAGCAGAGAGTAGTGCTGAGGATGACATTGGGCAGGATTCTGCAGCCACCGTAACAGAACATATTCTAGCCCATAGTGCAGGCTTGTCGACGAAGATTAAGGCACTGCCGCCACCATCACATCTCATGCCCGGCTTATGTCTCAGCGTACTTACAACCGGCTCACTTCCCGTCGTCGCCGTATCACAGGAGCTCCTTGATGCTGCCGAGGATGAAGGACTAGTTGGCAGAGTTCCAAAATCCAATGCTTCGCAACCTGGAAAACTCGTTCCTCGCAAACGTTATGGGCCAACGGTGTCACCCATAAGCAGCCCGCGAAAGCGACCAAGAGCCTCCAGTGCCATATCAACATCGACCTTTCAGTTGTCTCCCTCTAAGCCGAGCGATTCGAAAATGGCAAATCGACGCCACGATGCTTTTTCATCTCCCGATGGTGGGCCTAGCCAACTCAGCAGGGGCCCCATCGTCGCGTCAAATCACACGCTGAATTACGCTTTTATTAAAGAACGGAGGGATCAAAGTTCGAAAGTGCGACTCAGCCAGCTCAGCCAGCAATCGCCTATTACGCAAAGTGATGGCGGCAAAGTGACAACATCCATGACCTGTCGTCAGATTGTTGATGATCTACCGGTGAAGATAGGCAGCTCCCAGCTCGATGGGTTTGCACCTGTCTGCTCGTCCAGCCTTTGTGAGCATGAGGATGAAAGGATCGAAATACAACGGGCCATGGCAAAGGTAGCTGGTGGCAGATTCATGATATACTCACACATGCCACCAACTGCTAGTCAGTTGGCCCTTTTGAAAGATCCTGAGCTGCCCGATGTTGTCTATCAAGATGCCTTTTACAGTAAAGAGTCGGATGTTCCAGAGCGCAGTCGTGAATATGCCGGTCGAGAGTATCGATTAGAGAGCAACACTCTACCATTTCTTCCTGATTTCGACGCCAGCGGCTTCTCCTCTGCCAGCTATGGGATCAAAACAGATAACTGTCAAATGCAACAAGTTCTCGAACAGGAACAGACAATACAGCGTCATCACTGCACTTGGCGAAGCTGGGAGTACGCCCAACCACCCCCGTCTCACCAGGAAGTAGTTGATTGGCTCAGTGCGAAGAAGCAGCAGAAAGAAGAGGGCAAGAAATCGTCTCGGCATGTATCCTCCTCATCAAGGGCTTGGCTGTCGCAGATCGACGGCCCTACACAGAAAAATAAGCATGGATTCAAGTATACACAAATGGGCAAGTCAACAAGTGTGGAGCACGAAGTTCAATACATGAGTACCATGAGTCTGGAAATTCACGTCAATACTAGAGGGAAGTACGTCCCCAACCCCGAGGAGGATGAAGTTCAGTGCATCTTCTGGGCTTGCAAGTCTGATGAGGTGACGCGAATCAGCCAAAACTTGTCGGGTGCGGTCCACACAGGGATAGTGGTGCAATCGAGAGACGGAAAGGAGAGCCAGGCCATGCGGAAGTCGACGGGATCCGACATCATTGAGGAGAGCTCTGAATTGGACTTGATTGTCCGCATGGTCGAGATTGTAAGAACATTTGATCCTGACGTATTGACCGGATACGAGGTTCATGGCAGCTCATGGGGTTATTTAATCGAGCGCGCGCGGTGCAAGTACGATTATAATCTGTGTGACGAGTTTTCCAGGATGAAAAGCGATTCACATGGACGATTTGGCAAGCAGAGCGACCGATGGGGCTTCAACACAACATCGACGATTCGCGTCACCGGTCGACACATGATCAACATCTGGAGGGCCATGCGTGGTGAGCTGAATCTTCTCCAATACACCCTCGAAAACGTGGCCTGGCATCTCCTACATCGTCGTGTACCTCATTACCCCTGGGGAGCGTTGACAGCCTGGTACAAGAGCGGCAAGCCCGGTCATCTTGGCAGAGTCGTCAGGTATTACCAGACGCGGACAATGATGGACCTCCAAATCCTGGAATCCAACGAACTGATTCCCAGGACCAGCGAACAGGCTCGACTTCTTGGTGTAGACTTCTTCTCTGTGTTTTCACGAGGGTCACAGTTCAAGGTAGAATCCATCATGTTTCGAATTGCGAAACCCGAAAATTTCATCCTGGTCTCTCCGAGTCGAAAGCAGGTCGGCAGCCAAAACGCACTGGAGTGTCTGCCCCTGGTCATGGAGCCGCAAAGTGCCTTTTACAGCAGCCCGCTCCTGGTCCTGGACTTTCAGAGCTTGTACCCGAGTGTCATGATTGCCTACAATTACTGCTACTCGACTTTTCTGGGGCGAATCACCAACTGGCGTGACGTGAACAAGATGGGGTTCGCCGAGTACAAACGACAACAAGGCCTGCTTGGCCTGCTGAGGGACCACATCACCATTGCGCCAAACGGCATGATGTATGCCAAGACCGAGATTCGCAAGTCTCTCCTCGCCAAGATGTTGACAGAGATACTGGAAACAAGAGTCATGGTCAAGAGCGGCATGAAGAACGACAAGGACGACAAGGTGCTGCAACAGCTGCTGAATAATCGCCAACTGGCGCTGAAGCTGCTGGCCAACGTCACGTACGGATACACGTCTGCCTCCTTCTCGGGGCGCATGCCCTGCTCCGAAATAGCAGACAGCATCGTCCAAACGGGCCGAGAGACGCTGGAGCGTGCCACGGCATACATCCACTCGGTAGAGCGATGGGGGGCGGAGGTCGTCTACGGCGACACGGACAGTCTGTTCGTTTACTTGAAGGGCAGGACAATAGACCAAGCCTTTGACATTGGCAGCGAGATCGCAAAGGCGATAACGGACACGAACCCACAGCCCGTCAAGCTGAAATTCGAAAAGGTCTACCACCCCTGCGTGCTGCTGGCCAAGAAGCGCTACGTCGGATACAAATACGAGACCAAGGACCAAGTCACACCCGAGTTCGACGCCAAGGGCATCGAGACTGTCCGCCGAGATGGCACCCCCGCCGAGCAAAAGATTGAAGAAAAGGCACTGAAGATGCTTTTTGAGACTGCGGATCTGAGCCAGATCAAGGAGTACTTCCAGAAGCAGTGCGACAAGATCCTGCGCGGAGCAGTGTCTGTCCAGGACTTCTGCTTCGCAAGGGAAGTCCGCCTGGGGACGTATTCCGACCGGGGGCCGCCGCCGGCCGGCGCTCTCATCAGCACCCGGAAAATGCTCGAGGACGCCAGGGCCGAGCCTCAATACGGCGAGAGGGTACCGTACGTGGTCATCACGGGAGCCCCGGGAGCCCGTCTCATCGACCGAAGCGTGGCCCCCGAGGACCTGCTGGCCAATCCCCACTGGCAACTCGACGCGGAATACTACATCTCCAAGAATCTCATCCCTCCGCTGGAGCGCATCTTCAACCTCGTCGGCGCCAATGTGCGGCAGTGGTACGACGAGATGCCCAAGGTCCAGCGTGTGCACAGGGCGCCAAGTGAGCCGGGGGCCAAGAAAACGACACTCGAGTCGTACATGCGCTCTACGCACTGTCTCGTCTGCAGCGCAAAGTTTGCCGAGGAGGGCCAGACTCTCTGTCCCACGTGCCGTGGCAACGCGCCCGCGTCGCTATTCACACTCCAGACGAGATTGGCTGGCGAGGAACGCAGTTACGAGGACTTGCTGGGCGTTTGCCGCACTTGCTCCGGGCTGAGCCCCCTCGAGGATGTTCGCTGCGATAGCAAGGACTGCCCCGTGTTTTGGACCAGGACGAAGCAGAGGACAAAGGTAGCGGGAACGAGGGCAACCGTTGGACCCGTCATACGGGCCCTGGCCGAAGGCAAGATCGGGCTGTCGGCATTGGAGTGGTGACTGAGCCGACGATGATCACGTTGCCGTGGGAAAGACGAAAGCACCCCTGTCTCGGGTCAAACGACAGCTCAAGTGCCTTTTTACGTGATACTGGCGTCGCAAACGAAGACCATGTTATGATCCAATGTCGTCACGACACTAGAACATGCAGCCGATTGCATGCATGACTCACTTGTTGCCCTGTTTATTCATGCACCCTCGTAGTATATACACGCGAGCTTCCCCATACTTGAGTGATGCATCGTGTCGTTAAACAGCAACTCGCCAGGCTGCAGTGGTATTCCATCCCCGTCAGACCAGTGCCTCTGTTGCCATGAAAAGTAACGCCATACACCTGCTCTAAATCACAAAAAGTAAAGAAAGAGGCAGCTCCGGCCCGTCCCCATCTTCTGGGTATCATGGGAAAAGAAAAAGAACTGCTCGCCCGCTTGTTTGATGTGTTTACACGACCGCCGTATCCACCACCCCCTGAACGAGCACCGGAGAAGTCGGTCGTTTTTTTTTCCTTTTTCCTTCACTTGGTTTCGTCAATCGTAGTTAGAGAAGCTCCGCTATCGTCCTCAAACGTATCCTCCAGCCAACCAGAGAGGTCTTCGTCGTCAAGACCGACGGCGGCGGCTGGTATTGCGGCCAGAGGGCTTTCCTTTTCCACTCTCGCAGCTGAAACAGCAGGCTCCCGTGAACATCCTTGAAGGCTGCTGGACGATGACTTTGTCGAGGCAGACGCAACGTCTGCGTCTGCCACTGAGAAGTCAATTGTCCCTGCTGCCTCTTCGAGTTTGGCTGCGGCAGAGTCTGCCCGAGCTGCATCGTAGTCCACTTGGTCTTCATAGGACGGTGTGCCTGGCTGGGAATCGTCAGGGGCAGCCACGACGAGCATGTTTTGCTCCACATCCTCCTCTTGCTGCTGGCTCGCGCCTCGTCTTCTTCGCTGAGGCAGCAGCGGCGGCTGCGGCGATGGCGCTTCTTTGTCATAATCGGCCGACTCGACCTGCGGCTGTTCACGCATGGGAACAGGTTTGCGTTTGGGTGCCGGCGCGGCGACAAGCCTCGTGGCCCCATTTGTAGGGCCCGGGAGCGGTGTTCCCGGAGGCGGTAGCGGTTGACCTCGCCCCATGGGTTGACTGAGATCAACTTGATGGGACTTGTCGCCGTTCTGGCGCTGGTCCTTTTGCCGGCGAATTGCGTTCCAACCCCACTGCCTTGCTTGCTCCGCGGCATTGGTGACCGCGGCTAGCGTGTTTCTTTTCAGGCTACCCCCCGAGGAAGACTCGTTTGATGCAGTGGTGCTGGAGGTGTCACGTCTCGCGAAGAAGTTTCGACCGAGTGGCTCTGCATTGCTCTTGAATGAGCCAGTTTCAGATGGCTTGGGTGAGCCGGGGCGAGACTCTTCACTGTGAGGGAGAGATTCGATTGAGGCCTTTTTGGGTCGCGCCGTCTGCACCGGTGTTGTGTCCGCATCCCCATTAGACTCCCTGTTGTCAATCTCTTTGGAGGACATGGACGAACGGCTCAACCTCTTGGCTCTGGGTGATGACTTTACCGAAGCCTCGGGGGCCATCGGCATGGGTGATGCGTCCTGAGATCGAGAGGCCAGAGAGGCCATCAGGTTGGTGGCATGGTCGGGAGGCGACGAGGAAGGTTTGAAGAGGTCGGCGTGGGCGGTCTCGGTGCCCACCACAGGGTCCGTCGAATTCTTCATGATGTTGAGAGATCGCGGCGTGCTGTGGCCGGAGGGGACTGGAGCCTTGGAGTCGGTGCCACTGGTCAAGACGGAAGTCGCGCTTCCATTGGCACCCTTTCCAAGCTTCCTCCCAAAGAAGCCCGTGTTGGTTGGTTGCTGGCCCGTAGCGGGTAGAGTGTGACTCTTCTCCGGGGGGCGAGTCTGATGCACGAGATCTTCGTGGTCATGCGGCCTCTCCGGTTGCTCGACGTTGGAAACCGCGGGCGGACGCTCGGCAGCCTCGCTTGGCGTGACGGCATCGTCGCCTTGGAATATGCCTCCCCTCCACACCTTGTGTTCGGTTCTGAGGAAGGGTACGTCGTCCCAGAACGGCTGCACCAGAGTCTCGGCGAAGACTTCCTTTATCCTGCTCTCAATCTGGCGCAAAATCAGGGTATAAGTGATCTGTCTTGAGCTGACAATTGGCTCGATGGCCGTTTCCATCTTGGGCATGGTCTGGAAGGACATCCACACACGGTTGCTGGGCGGTGCCTTGACCTTGAACAGAACGTGACCCTCAATTCGCTTCAGTACAACGGCCAACAGCAAATTGACCTCGCGGGCCTTGAACCTTGCGCCAAGGTCAATCTTGGCCGTAGCGCCAACCTCGAGGCGAAAATTGCCGGTGTACCTCACGTCCGCCTCGACAACGCACTCGCCCTCGACCGTCAGATCCTTGAGTTTGAGATTTGTAAAGTAGGGCGCCGCCTCGCCGGTATCGATCTTCTGAATGGTGATGTTGGCTAGAAATGAAGGTCGCTTCACTCTGGATATTTTTTTGGTGATTTTTTCACGGATCAAGTCTTCCAGGTCTCGCGTTCTGTAGACGGCAAGGAAGATTCTCCCGAGCATTGCATTCAACCACCTGGAGTGAACGTGGTCCTCGGAGGAGTGCAGCCGTTGGACCAAAGAGATGATGTTTTTAACCTCGAAACCTTTGGGGATGGGGGGGTTTGAGTCGAAACCAAAAGTCTGCACCTGGTTCCGCAGCAAGGCGAAGTAAAAGTCTTCCTTTGCGGAGCAGTTTTCAGAAAACAAGTAAAAAGGCTTCAGGACTTGGCCGTCCGCGTCGGGCTTCTCCTGGCCGACCTGTCTCCTCGACAGGCACAGCGCATTCCGCTTGATGAACAATTCGCCTTCGGGGGTGACGTCGCCGCCCGAGTAGATGCTAATGTCATAATTTGCCAACGAGATGACATGGCGTACTTCCAACTGCTCTTCGTCGTCAAACAACATGATGTGACCGTGCCTGAGGGCATTGCGGAAAGTGTCAGTTTAGAACATGAGAGGACTCGACAGCCGGCGACAAGGCAGGCCGCAAGGCAAGAGACGGCGATGACGGCAAGAAGAACGGAGGCCTTCACTACTCACCTTAGCACAACGTAAAAGACGTTGCCAGCCTTCTTTGGACGCTGGCTCATACTGTTGTTGATATTGTTACTATCCAGGGGACCGGTCGCGGGCCTCCGGTCGAATATACTTCTGTACATGGTCTGATAGACGCTTGGGCTCGGGGAGGCAACGGTTGTGGAACCGACGGGGGTCGAGCGTTCGATGGGTTTGGCATTGAGGCCCATGGGAGTGTACTCGCGGCAGACGGCGAAGTAGCCGGCGGCAACGTCGAGGTCGCGAGTGGCACGGGTATTGACGGCTCCGGCGAGTGGTTTCTTCTGTTCTGCCTCAAGAGCCGCAGTATCATCGCCGGGTTGAACGATGTCATTCTGGGGTCGGTCGTGGTCGCCATCACGGGGAGGCATCAGGTCGTGTCGATACGGGAGGGTGTAGTGGGCGTGAGCGAGCATGACCAGGACGACAAAGGGAACAAAGGTGATGCCTCCGAGGAGATATGTCAACAGCAGTGTCGTCCATGATCCCATGGCTGCTGTGTGTATGCGGGAAAAGACTATTCCTCCAAGGCAAAGGCCAAGGCCACTCTGGCCTCGAGGGGTCGGGGTCCGATGCGGACGAATCGGAAGGATCAGCGGCGGCTACCGGGATAGTCGACGCTCGCGACAGGGGTAGTCGACGGCGGATTGCCGAGTTCAAAGGCCAACACGGAGCGGCCCGGCTGTTGGGAGCAGGCAAAGACGACAAAATTCCGTCGTGGCGGCGGTGGTGGTGGACACGAGGTGTTTGTGTAGATGTGGCCGGGCGCGGGACTCGGAGCGTGCAGCATGCGGCACGCAATATGCAACATGCAGCTCGGCGGCGAGCAATGGAAGCGGGCTGGCGCTGAGCTGGCACGGCCAGCATGCAGAGTAAATAGACGGCGCCGGGCAGAAACAAGCCAAAGGTCAGGTGGGCAGCGAGCAAGCCAGCAACCAGCGGAAAGATGGGAATCGAAGGGAGGGTTGAGACGAGCCCCAGATGCCAAAGAGTGGCGACGTCGAGATGGGAACAGAAAAGACCCGGGGAGAGAAACTGATGCCGGCGTCGGCGCAAGGTCGACGTTGAAGGCCAAAGCCAAATCTAGAGCCAGAAAGATTGAATTCGCTTCGAGGCCGAGTGAGTGTTGGCGTTGGGTGGTTCTACAGGTACAGCCAGCTCGGCGGCAGCCAGGCAACAGGTGACAGATAACCAAGCAGCCGAGGTGCGAGAAGCTCAAGACGGGGCCGTCTCGGTCCTGAGGCGTCAGAGGGCGGATCGCGGATCGCGGATGGCGGATGAAGGACCAAGTCAAATTTAAGCTCGACGGGTTCTGGTGCAAGCTCCGAGTCGATGTGGCCTCGGGGAAGATGGGGAAGTAGGCAAGCTGCCGTCTGTCAGCCCGCCCTGGACTGGACTCTCCTCTCCGCCAGCACCCAAGCAAAAAGTGGCGGACCGTGGCGCACCTACGTCATGTGATGGGTCTCGAGTGCTGCCGAGTCTGGCAGGGGGCTGCCTGTCACGGTCCGTCTGTCAGTTGGCCTGGCTGGTACGGAGTACGTACTTTCAGCATGTGGGAACCAACCATTCGGCCGTTTCGGGTCGCGACCCACCAGACATGACTTGAAATCAGACCCAAGCATCATCTTCGTCCATCTCCCTTCACACTTCACACACTTCGAGACACGCCAGCGCCATAGCCACAGCTACACACCGTCCGCCCTGTATCCAGAGAAAATTAAAAACTGTCATTCATTCGTCATCTAGTAACACCCAGTCTTGGTCTTTCCCGTCTTCTTCCCATCTCTCCTCCGTCTCGTCCGCCTCCTCGGGCCGCTCGCCTCATCTCCCATCTGCCTTTCTCATCAACGCCCTCGTCGCATGGCATCCTTCTTTGTGCTGTGCCTGTACCTGTGCAACTTCCCCGCGTCTTCATTTTTTCTTCTCGCTGCAGTCCGCCCAAATTTGGACTGGCCACCGTATTAATCAAGTGGAATGTACACTTCAACGACGTAAACTTATGCAGCCGCGCCAGAAAGGTCCAGAGCCCATTCAGCCAAAGTCGAGTCTGGTCCCGGCTGGAAAGAACAGACGACGGCGTCCCTTCGCCCCTTTACCCTTCCATAAGCCACACGCACAAGACTTCTTGATCCATCGGCCGTACCAAGTGCCCTTTTATATGCCATGAAACAGACTAGGGCACGTGTCGCAATATAACCAGTCTGTCATCACTCGGCCGCCAGCGACGAGTTGCCTGACGTGTTGTTGTGATATACAGAGATAAAAGAAATGTTGTGCCAAGAGGGCGTCAAAAGCCTAGTGCGGCGACGATGCAGTCCGAGGTCGACGACTCGATGGAATTGCCCCAGCGGAATATCCCGTTCTGGAAACGACTCTGCGCCGTCATTGAAACGACAAAATCAAATTTCGCTTTTTCTTTTTGTTGTTATGAAGTCGGATTCGTTGAAAAGCAAATCATTGTACGAATCCCAAAGGCCGGCCCAAGACAAGGCATAGCTGCGCAGAGCACTGTGGTGGAAGAAATTTTGAATTATCGAGTAGAAACAGGATATGAGAACCATACAATGAAGGACGGGATATCATCATGTCGTCAAACTTTCACACAAGATTAAATAAAACACACAGGTCGAGGAGAATAGTTGAGTGAGTGCTGGTTTTTTTTCCCAGAAGAAGTGGCCCCATGTTTTCTGAGCGTGACAAACACCGAAAAAGTCATGGCAACAAATAGTCGCACCCGGGCTACGCCCGAGACCGCATCGAGGCCCTCGGCTTGGTGAGAACAGACTGGCCATGGTGAGGGTGGGAAGGATGCCTGCCACCCTTTCGTGAAGTGTGCGGCAGAGTTCCCACATCATGCTTCCCGTCACAACAAGCTCGCACATTCTCAAGCCGATCCGCCTCTCGGTCTTGGCGCTCAATCATCTCGCGCACGTCTTCAGCGCTGTCGTGCGCCTCACTTGCTTCATAAATACCCCAGTTTTGGCCGCTGGCACCTCGGCCGCGCAGGCTGGAAAGAGTGCCAGTCAATTTTGGCGCGCCAGATCTCCAGTATCCGCTGAGTTTACCCAGGGTGCCTGTCGAGGTTCTGCTGCTCCCTGTCGATACATGCTTGTTCTTCCTAGACGGCGTCAGAGTTGCGACATTCATCGACACGCCGAGCACCGGAGACTCATTTTGCGTTGTACGAGAATTGTACGAGGAGAGTGACGGCGCAGCTCTTGACCCGCCATCATGAAGCGGTCGACGACCGAGCTGTGGGTTGAATTCGTCAACATCTTCTCGCGTGATCTGCCCAGCAACCTCTTCTGCGTCCGTCTGTTGGCCCTCACTAGTTCTCAGCAACAAATACGAGAGTGCGTTGAACCAGGTCTCGTGGCGCTGACCAGTCGTGCAAGTGAACTTGATGGTTCGCCCGGGAGAGATGATGATCAAGCTCTTGCGGTGCAGCCCTGGCGGCATTGGGTTGTCATCAGTGACCACACGAACAGCCTCGACCGGTACACTCTTTGTTCTGAGCTCTGCGCGAACTGCGGTGGATGGGTCCTTGTCGCTCCAATACAACGTCCTAGTGTACGGGTGAACCCAGAAATAACGACGGTGACGGTTGTCAGAAAACTCGCCACGACCCGTCTTGCGAGTGTACTTCCACAGAAATTCGCCAATCATGGTTTGCGTAATGGCTTGAATCATACGGGGATCAGTATTGGGCCCAAATCCAGTCGGAGGCAAGCCCATCTCTAGAGCTCGCATGTTGAATCGCGAATCAAGCTCAGACGCAAAGGAAGACACAGATGATCGTCGTGAATGCGCTGTGAGTCGGCCAGATGTACTAATCTCTGCGACTCCGTTATGTGTGGATCCGCTGCAGGCGGCCCGCGGCGTTGTAGCTCCACGGACAGATGTCATGGGACCCTGTTGACTTGGAGTCTGGGGCCGATGTCTCGTTGCCGAGGCGGGCCAGATGGGAGGGCCCATGCCTCCTGGTTGCTGGCCGTGAGATGAACCAGAACGAGCTGCTTCGATAATTTGGCGGTGGTTGGAAGGTAGCGGCGGTGCATCGTGGAACGAGCCTCTGCCGCTCGCTGCACTTCCAGGTCGGGCCAGAGCCCCCGCATCGTGTGCGGGCTCGACCACGGCCTTGCCCCTGCGACGAACAGGTGTATCAAGACTCTCTGGTGAGCGGTAGACCCTAACTGTGCCGGTGGTGTCAGGCGTACCAGCAGAGCCAACGGACGAGTCCTTCGCGTGTCTCGGAGAGCGTTGAGAGTCACTTTGAAGGAGCTGGTCAATAGCGCCAGAGGTCAATGAAGTCTGGGCGGATTGATCCCTGGTGCGAATACTCTGCTTTCGTGCTGGACGGAAACTGGCATTGGCTGAAATCTCTTTGAATGGCCGTTGCGACTCAGGGGTACCACCATCCAGTGAGGTGGGAGACTGCCGAGTATCATCCTCGGCAATGATTGGCGTAACATCTCTCTTCTTATCGCGGGAAATGGCGGACCCAAAAATGCTTTTCTTGGTGGGTGTCCTTGGCACATTGGCCTCTCCGTCTTCAGAGTCATCGCCTCCCGGAAGAATAAAGGCTTCTCTCCAAGGACTGCGAGGCGATGTGGGATGGGTCTCGACGGATCCGACGGGAGATAAGCCAAAGCTTGGTAGAGTCATCAGGTCTGGCGTTGATGACACAGGCTCTATATGTTGGGCAGAAATTGTTGACAGAGCCAGCGTCGGTGGAGGGGGAGGCGGCTCTGAAATCGGCCGTGTGTGTTGCGTGAGGATCGATGATAGAATGAGTGACGGCTGCGCTGGCGGCGGCAGTGACACCGGCTCGACATTCTGTGCGGTAATTCCCGAAAACTGCAAGAGGGGCGGTGTTGGCGATACCACCGGTTCCTCCACAGGCTCAAGTTGTTCTACATATATGGAAGACATGGTCAAGATTGGGAGTGTTGGAGGAGCAGGGAATTCGGCCAGCTTGCTTTCCAAATCTTGCTCGTCCTGAATACTGGCGTCACTTTGTGAAAACAGGGACGCTGGCCGAGAGACGTCTCTGTCCATACCTTGGCCGGTTGGCCAATCTGTAGGCGGCCGGTTCTCACGGCGAACGACTGATTCCATCGACATTGGCCTGTCTCCACGTTCCTCGAAAACTTCTGCAGTGATCGTTACGGGGCTAGTCATGACACCGCGGTCCACCATGAGCACGCTGGGCAAGACTGGAACCGCAGGCAGTGGCGACGCGGTCCGACGAACCGATCCGGGAGTAGCAGATCGGACACTTCGCCGGCTCGGCATAGCGGCACCAAGAGACTCATCGTCGCTCCCAAAATCTTGAAGCTCTGCGAACAGGCTCTGGCCAGCGGCCTGGGGAGTGCCGCCGCTGGTATAGCTGGCCGGACTGCTTCGTACATTTGGTTCTTCGCTGGCCTGCCTCGAACTGCGAGAAAACAGATTTCGGCTGAGTCTGAGACGGCTCCGTTGAGATGATATGGTCCCTGTTGGCGTGCGCAGATTGGCGAGTCCATCCTCATCTGCCGAAGTAGAGGCAGTACTGTCAAACGAGTCCCTGCTGCCTGCCCTTGCTAAGCCAGCGGGGAGGCTAGGTGGTCGCTTCATCCGACCGAACCCTCGAGAGGTGGTCTCAGTCTCCGTCTCGTTATTGTCGTCACCGCCAGACAGTGCCTCGTTTCCGGTTTGGAAGTCCTCAGTCTCAGTGGCGGTAGCCCGTTCATTGGCAGTCTCGAAGGCAGACTCGCTAGCTTCATTTGCAGTCTCGAAGTGATCGCTCGTGTCAGTGGGATGTACTGCCTGTACGTTGCGACGGAAAACCCCCACGGAGGGACCCGCCGGCGACATATCAGCGTTATCCTCCCAATCGGGATCATCCATCACGATCTCTTGTCTGCTAGATCGAAGGTTTCCCAGCAGACGAGCGGGTTTCTTGATTAATTCCTTCGAGTCCATCTTGCGGCTGCGACGAGAGCCGAAAGAGGTATTCGCATCGGTCCTCGCCTTCTCCAGATCGTCTCGAAGGTCCTGAATAATTCGACGTAACTCTATCTTTTCCGTCTTCTCTCTGTGGAGTTGGTTTCTCTGGCTCTGGATTGTTCTCTGCGCATGATGCAGGGATGATTTTATAGTCTCGGTCTCAAGCATTGCGTGTCGAGGTGTCCCCTTTACGGGGGATGGCGGTGGCGAGTGCTCAGGCGTGATGTTATCTGTTGCCGTTTCGAAATCCTCATCGCTCAAACCTGGCAATGACTCTCGATCCGTAGTCCGTCCCCGTTGTGATGAAAAGGCTTTCGCCAGCTCCTGGTTCTGGTTCATCAAGTCATCAATCTTGCGTTGCATCGACGCTCTCTCGCCATCAGCCATGACCATGTTGCGTTTGGCAGCGCCCAACTCGATGTCGAGATGCTTCATAGCAGCTGCATGTTCCTCTGCTAGTTTGGAATAAGACAATTTGGCGTCGTCTAGCTCTTTCTGGACCGACGTCTTCTCGGAATCGGACAAGTTCAAGGCTTGAGTAAGCTTCTTCTCACGATCCGCAGCTTCTCTTTGTTGCGAAGAAATCTCTTGGAGACGAGTCTCAAGGTTCCAATTTTCCTCTCTGTATCGATGTTCGCTCTCATCCAGTGTTTTGAGTCGCTGTTGCAAGCTCTCCGACTCGATTTCCAGTCTGGCCTTGTCCGATTGGATACCCTTGAGTTCGTCATCTCGCTCGGACAGCAACGCCTGGAGATTCCGGACCTGAGCAATAAGCGACGTGCTGATTTCAGCGGCGAATTCAATGTCGTGAATTCGATTTGACGGCTGATTTCTGGTTTTGCGATTCGGGACGCCGACCTTGGTTGGAGAGCCAGTGGCTTGGCTTTCGAATTTGGAAGGGCTCACGGAACGCTGTTCAGTGGCTGGGTTAGCTTAATACACCACAAGGCACGTTGTAAGAGAGGCAAATCCTTACCCTTCCGCTTCGCCCTTCTGGCACAAAAGGCGAGCCCGGGTGAGCATCATTGCTCGGCACTCTCTGTTTCGGGAGGAAAACTCTTGCAGACTCCCTGGCCAAGTCGTTATATTCCCGCTCAATTTCCACGAGTTTCTTGCGCAAGTCCGGCCCAAGCTCGCCTTCAGCCTGAAGCTTCTGCACTTCTTGCAATCGCTCGGCCAAGAGCTTGCGCTGGGCAACGAGGGCGGTTCCCAGCCTCCCCGCCTCGTCTAGCCGACGGTCTGTTTCTGCGAGATGTGCCTCCAGGGCCTTCCTTGCCTGTCTGGGTGAAGAACCAGGCCCGGCGGCGAACAGTTCCAGGTCGAAGTTGGAAAACCGGTGGTGAGCAGATGAGGACGAGTCGGAAACGAAAGGATCGCTGGCATTGTCCCCGTCAGCAGGCGCCAACAGATCCGGCCGGCTGTCGGGGGCCAGAGACGAGGCCATTCCTGATGAACAAACGAGTTCAACAGGAAGACTATCTACAGGCACTGTGGCACCATCAATGTTCAACGGCTCTGTGGCGAGGAGAATCTGCGGCTGTCAAGAGCGGCCGCAGGTGAGGAAGAAAGGAGAGTCGAACGAGAGGGCCGTCTTCGGACGGTACTTGTAGGTCGTCGTCCGCAAGTCCGTCGAAGCAAAAAGGAAAAAAAAAAGAAAGGTAGGCACGACAGGACACTCTTGGCCCAATGTCAAAGTCGGGGGCGGCCCCCTTGCGTGAGCCGGGACAGAGCTGCAGGGGTGTGAGAGCTCGAGTGCTGCGCCCAGCTCAAGGTAGCATCCACCGGTGTCAGAAGTCTCTCAGCAACAGAAAAGAATAGGGCAAAAGGTCAAACACAACGACGACGTTTGCTGGCAGCCGACGCGCGCCGTGCAGGGCGAGGCGAGGTTGTTTTCGAGAGGGCTGGTCACAACGGCAGAGTGGTTTGTACGCCGCTCGTGCCCTCGGCGTCGGTCCGACGGGTCGATGGAATTGGCGCCGAGCCCCCTTGGCAACGAGCAGTGGGCAGCCACAGGCAACAGGGATAGTCTCAACCGGGAGTCGACGCGGCTGTGTTGTGATTGTGTATCTTTCACAATTCGTGATGGACTGGAATGGTACGCGCCGGGCACCACTTGGCCAATTCGGGAACAGAAAAGTGACGACTAGTTTCGGCAAGGGCGGGGGAAAAAAGCAAAAAGGAAGGAGAACAAGAATAAGAATAATAAAGAGCCGTCAGGGCCAGCAAAGTGTGCGTGCGTACGTGCGTTGAAAGACGCGGTCGACTCCGCGCTAGTCGACACAACAGAGCGAAGAAATCGCGGACGTTGGAATAATGAAGACAAGCAAAGTGGGTTGGAGATGGTTTGACGGTTTTAAGGTTGGGGCGCAAAGGCAATTTCCCAAGTTTGAAATAGGCAAGGTCTGGTGCAATGAGTAAATAGCCTGTCTGGAAAATACGACACGACATGCAGACTGCTAGTACTACTAGTACTTACCACCACACACTTGCGGGAGTCTGGCAGTGCAGGGCAGGTGCGACCCAGGCCTGTTGACATGAAATTGAATGCTGGAGTAAATAAGACAAGACCGGTTGACGCGTAGTGGCGGCGCATATGCTCTGTGATGTTGGATGGTGTTGGGCTGCTTCGTCTGGTTCCCATGTGAACCACTCGACAGTGTCAACAGTGTCAAATCGCGTGGACCGTGTGAACCGAGCCGGCGGATTTGATGCAGACAAAAACACACCAACGCAGAAGAACACCATTGGGCACGGTCCAACCCAACGTGCTGACAGACTGTGACCTAGGTACGTAGTTACATGGGCACGTACACATGGACGTCGCGACGCCGAATGCGGCGCAGGGCTCCGTACTATGGTCAATTAGTACTAGCTCCGTTGAGTTGATACGGGGTACATGCTCCGTTGTCCATCCAGGTAAACAAAGAACAAGTTGCATTGGCGGCAGGCCACGGGATGGGGAACACAGAGAATAATAACATGCAGGGGTTTTTACGATAATTCACGTTTACGATAATTCACGGTTATCTAAGGTTTTTCCCTAGTAAATCGTTAATAGTCGCGTTACTAACAATATTGTTGACTTTTTGCTTAGTTACTATGCATTTTATTGTTATACAGCCCCACTTTAAGGGCTGAATTCCTTATAGTGAGGCTGAATTTCCTTTTAGTGGGGCAAATTTTGCTAATAATCCCTTAATATATACTTTCTACGGAGTACTAGTAATTTCTAAGGGAAAGGTACAACCCCACAATAGTCGCATCTTAACGATAGTCGCTATACTACGATGAAAAAAGCCTCACGAAGGTTATCGTTATAGACCTAGTTTACTGTAATTACTAGGTGGTGACGGCACAGAATGGAGAGTGCTGCTCGGGACAGAGTACAATGGTCATTGTACGGAGTACAGTCGAGGACATACCACCGATGACGTAGTAGTGTTTTTTCACAGACATTGCTCGGCTACTCCGTACCTCGTCTCCAAGGAAGAATAAATAATAAATAGTACTAGGAACGTTCAAGAGGTGGAGCAACCCAGCAAACAACGATGGCCATCAAAGAATAGCATCGTCTCGTAAACGGAGTGGCGGTGGATCATGGCCAGCACCATGACTCTTTTCCTGTGTCGGCTAATTGAGGGACCCTTTATAATATAATAGAGATAATAGATAGAGCTTATGTAATCTAGTTAATTACTAAGCATAAGATAATAGGGATTCTTAAGGTATAATAGAAGTAACTTTAGATATAGTATAAAATTATATATAATAGTATGTATTAAAGAGT